GGTGGCAGGGGGTGGGGAAGTGACTGCAAGGTTGAATGGACATGGCATTGAGCGACTAAGTGTATGAGTGGGTAGGTAATGCCAACGGGTGGTTACCAGTTTTGTCCAAGCACAAACTTGCCTCAAACTTTGATAAAGTTTTTCACTCTGCAGGAGTAAGTTTTCAGAATCATTTGCCTAGGAAAATGTGTTTGTCAGAGAAATCTTATGATTTTGCCAGATTAATTGCTCAATCTCGAAAGTTTTCAGTAAATTAAATGAAAATTTTCCCTCCGATTGCCAAAGATATTTTATTTATCATTGGCTTATTCCGCAAAAGTTTGAATGCAGTTAGTGGAAAATAATTATTATTATTTATATATTTTAATTTATTTTTTACTAGATTAAATAACTTGCATCTTCGACGTATTCTAGAATGTACATATTGACAATTTCCTCAACTGAAGAAGCAAATCTTCCGTCAATGAGGTCACCTCTTGCACCATCTAAATCTGTTTGATTTCTTCCGCTGCTTACGAAACTTTTGAGGCCAACCTTGTAAACAAGGATCCTGGTAAAAGTGAAAATTGTTGCTTCCTTTGTGTGGCTGTGTGTGTGTGTTGTATATATATTTCTATAAGTACTTCTGCAACTGTCTGGGAATACACTTGTGTGTGTGTGTGCAAGGTGAAGCGCTCTGGTGGCAGACATTCAAATTTAGATACAAATGTTGCACGTGCCCTCGGAGGTGTTTCAGTACAATCCTGCGATTGTACATACACACGTGTGTGTGCCTCCTTTTCTGGGTGTTCGTGTATGTGTGTGTGTGTGGGTGTGGGTGCGCTCATTTCGGTGATTGCGCTGCTAAGGTTTAATAAAGCAACACCAAGACGACGTCGAGGAGGACGATTACGTGGAATTGCGTGAAGCAATGGCAGAAATGGCAGCCGTTCCCAAGAATCGAGGAGCAGTGCGCCGTGGCCCTCGTACAATAAAGCAACTTACCGGCATAATTGGCAGCCGCAGCCAGATAAAAAAAGTAAAAGTACAGAAAGCGTGGCATAAGCAAAAGGCCCACACAAAACTTCAAATTGAAATGAAATGAAGCATGAGGCAGCATTATGCGCATAGAATCCCACCTCAATTTGCTCTTTTATATGGCACGGGGTGTTCCAGGAAAGTGTATGTAGTTGCTTTCGGTGTGCTTGTTTAGCTTAATTAAAATGCCCCGTGCAAACACTAAAGTGTTTCAGACCTGGCCATAAAAGTACACGGAAATTATACTTTTATTTTATCATCTTTTTGCACTCGCAGTCCTATTTCATCTTTTTGTGCCTCTTATATTGCCTGGAGCTGACCACGTGATGGGTCATTCTGAAAAGTCAGTTCCCAAAACGACGAGGCTTCGAGGTGTTGAACAATAAACAAAAGCTGTTATAACATACTACATTATTAAATTCTAAAACAGAATTGCTTTCTGTAGGCTACAGTTCTGTATGTATCTTTATGTGTCACACATATTAGTTTATTTGGGAAATACACAATTTCTGAGGTGAATAATTTCCGTTCTCCTACTGAATGCACAAATTTTGTGCACCTGTGTATGGCGAAATAATTATCTTATTCGCATCATCATTAAATGCATATAAGTAATTGGCATCACATTAGGAGGACGTAAAACAATTAGTTTGCTGTGGCAATATTCTAAACTGATGTGGTTACAACCTGCAAACCAGTTGATTTAGAGCTACATTCCTATTGCACAAATGAGAGACGTAGAATTGGGATTTAGGAAAATAAAATATTAAGCTTGGATAAATAGAGTATACAGAACATAGAACATAGAAATATTAGGCGTGAAACTTGTATAATATTTCTGCACGACTCTGGGGCATCTCTACTCTGCCACCTGCTGGCTTTCCAGGATTCCGTTGACGGGCGGCTGGTGCCTTTGGTGTTGCCGTTGATGTTGCCGCCGCTGTTTACTCGGTTTATATACAGCAAAAAGCAATTTGGTATGCCAGCGAGTGGGCTCTGGTCCGCCTCCTCGTCTCTGACAGCCTTTTGTGCTGTCTGCTGTCTGCTGGCTGATGTCCTGATGTCCTGATGTCCTGCCGCTCCTTCGCCATCATCCCTTCGCCGCAAACAAGCCGTATTATGCTGCGTCCATTGCCGTTGTTCTCGTGGCTCCCGCACTGCGGTGTTGACAGCCCGCTGGCTTGGCACTTCAATTTCGGACCGAAGGCATATACTCGTTCATTCCCTCATTGCAGACTCCCTCACCTGCCTAATGGTCTGTGGCCGGACATGGGCGCCCATAACTCTAATGGACGCGAAGACATGACTCTTTCATTCACTTTTTTAGTGCATAATCAAGGCTATTAAACTTCAGTGTCGGGGATGACAGTGCGTATACGTAATGCGGCGAGATTGGCCCAAATTGGGTACACAAGGCGGGCTGACGATGCCTCCAAGCGAAATTTCACATTAAAGTGCCCTTTTCATGGCATCACAATTTTAAGGAGTTCCGCAAGACGGAATTTAGAATTTTTAATTCAAACCCCAGCCAGCAGGTTAATCCGTTCGTTTGCTCTGGAGTTCCTCAAGACACAGCTGGCTGAGAAGCCGCGGGAACCGCATTCATCATCCATCATCCGCCAGCTGAACCAGCGCTCCATCAACTACACAGCGTTCTGCTAATGATGGTGTGCCAGAGGACTTCACCTCATCCTTAATCAGGCTGCAGAAAAATAAAACGTTTTGCTAGCTGCGAGCGCTTCACAGCCATTCGGAAAAATAATATTTTGAAAGAGTGTGTGCGTGCCGACGCGTCGGCCTTGGCGGAAAACTTGTGTCGAGCGTAGCATAGTTTTCCGCGCTTTTCCGAGACGCCCCCCAAGCCGGCGCTTTAATTAAAACGGCGAACAAACACAAACACGAGGCGGGTATGTCGGCTTATGGCCATCAATCAAAATGACAAAATAAAATGTTTGTTCGCCCGACGAGGGGCGGTGCTCTGCAGATAATAATGTGCATTGACAAAGCCTCGTCAAGTATGCAAAGGCATTTGGATTCGACTGCTTTGCAGCTGTCGAAAATGAAGAGACCATAAAATGTTGTAGCAAGGCGAATGAAATTTATTGCCCTGTTGTGATAAACGTGACACGCTGTGCCAAGGGCCACGCCCTCCGCAGGGGGCGGGCGGGAGCAGGACATTTTACAAGTGCCTGTTACGTTTGATTTGTGTGACGCCGCTGTGCGTGTGTGTGGGTGTGTGCGAGTGTGGGTGTGGCCGCCAAGGAAAAGCTGGCATTTTCCGAGGCCTACGAATAGCTGACAACAGGTTAATTCGAGCCAAAAGGTTGCGGGGAGGAGCATTGTGAATAATGAGGCCAGATTGATGATCTTTAATGGGCGAGCTTGGGCACAAGTTGGACAAATTAAGTTGCTAGTCATTGTTCAGAAAGAAGGATTTTATCTTCCTAAATTAAATGTTGAAAACTACGCTCTTATTTATGGCGGAATCATATAGACTGTATTGGCCAAATTCATTGAATTCAAATTGATTCCATTCTATATAAGCACGTTCAAGCCCATAATGTTGCAATAAATATAATCGCAGCAATAAATTACCTATGCTGCTCTACATTTCCACCAAAATAGCGGACGGAACACACTGTTTATTTGAAAACAAACGCCGAATTAAATTTTATCAAATTTCCCAAAACCGGACGGAAACGGGGATGACTGCATTCGTTATTTAAATCCACCTGGAGGCCAAAGCCAAATCCAAATCCAAATCCAAAGTTCAAATGCAAGTAAAGGCCCTAACCGGATAACTGATAACCTAGAAAAGCTGCCATGACTGCGGAAAAGTTTACGTTCAAGGTTCAATCAACTTAGCCCGGAATATTTGCCCAAATTCGTGTCCAACGTGGCGTACGCTTGACATTGGCTCTCACCATGTTTCACTTAGTGCTTCAGTGGCCTGTTTTGACATTTTCCCAGCGCCATTTTTCGGCTTTATTTCCAACATTTTTGGGACCGCGTTTTTGCGCTGGATTTTCATACCTTTGCTTCACACTGCCCGAAATAAGCCTAAAAGGTTGAAGACTTACGCTAGAAAAAAACGAATTCCACGAGAGTTCCGCCAACTGCATTTGCATTTCCCCCCTTCCGTACTTTTTTGTTGGAATTTTTTCTGTTCTTTTATCAGTTTGGCTGCCAAAATCAAAGAGCCAGTTGGCCAGTTTACAGGCTTAGATAGGGACTCTTGGAAATTAATGCGCGATTTCTTTTGCTCAATGGGTGTCTGTTTTTGGCAGCCAACTTGAATTGGCGATAAGGTTTAGCTTTTCTGTGTGCTGCTTAAATTTAACCTCACGATTGTGGGGCACAGAACGCATAAAAATGTAGCAAAGCCGCACGGACATACGGGGCGTATACGTCACGTGAATGTAGCTGCCCACTTTTCTGCTTTTCCACGCAGCCATAATCGTAAAATATAAAATTCGTTTATCGGCAGAAGGTGACCCAGTCGATGGCTTAAGATACCCTCACCCGATTGGGCATATTGGTTAGAGCATTCGGCAGTAAATTAATCAAATACGAGTATGTAAGGACTATTCCCTGTTTGCTGTCAACTAAACTTAACCACCCCCCAAAAATATCCTGCAGCCAAGAGTATTGAGTATTAGCCGTTGATGAATGATGGCCAAAGTTCAAAGAGCGCGAGATTCGATGGGAAATGAAAATAAATATAAAATTAGCAGTAAAAGTTGGGGGAGGTGCCCGCGCAAGTCGGCATGCAAACGCGTTAAAATGGGAAATTCAATTTGCTGGCGCTGAAACAGGCAAAGAGCAAAAATGGCAGCCGCAAAAATTCGGTCGGTGGAAAATGTGTGTCGGTGGGTGAGTGAGAGTGCGATTAAAGTGTGCCGCTTTAAAGGCGGGAATTCCGCTGCCTGGGGCAGCAGCCAGCTGAAAGGAAGGACGAGCCTTTCTCGGGACTCAGGACTCACCACAATGCGCCTGACACGTGTCATTTTGCGGTAATCGCCCAGCTTGAGGCCTGGCAGGCGGACAATTTCCCGGGATTCGGATACGGATGCGGATTTTGGATTTGGACGAAGTGCGAGGCAGGAGAAGCGTAACCGGCGGCAGGAGCAAAAGTTTTTCCTTCCTGATTGCCGCCTGTCAGCTGCACAATTAGCGACGGCAAATGCAAGACTCCGCCACCGCAGGACACTTTCAGTTTCTTCCCCAGAGCACCACAACACTTGGCTTGGTCCTTTCGGAATCACTTTTCACAATTCACTCTTGTTCACTCTTCAGCTTTTCAACCGGGAAAAAGTTCATTAGCAACTTCAGGTATTCTTAGTTCGAAACTAGGGTTTTGCTATTGGAATTTTTGAGGTTTTCGCCTTCTTCCTTCCTTGTTCGTATATATTTCACAGCGTTTGGCCTGATTCACTGTGGTATCGACCGCTGCGCCAAACGTCTCAGATGAAACTGAACGCTGCCCGAGATTCGCAGCCAGATGAAGTACCCCTGGAATATTCGTGTGGCCAGGCCAGGAGCAACAACAAAACTGCGGCAAAGAGCGCAACTGCCGCTCTCCTGCTCCGGCTCCGGCTCTCTGGCCCGACTTCTGCTCTCAGCGCCGCTCTCGCAAGGCACCCACTGCGTACATGTAACGTCACGACGAGAAGCAGCTGTGAGCGCAGTGGGTTGAATACTGCTGGAAAGGTTTCGGAATGCTTGGACTGCACAGGATTGGATGGAGTTTGATAAAATGCAATTTCATTTCAACTTTTTAACAATACTATTTACACATTTATTTGTGTATTGTTTGGTTGTTCTTCGAACGAATGTTGTAAGCCAATATAATACTACATTCTTATGAATACCAAAAAAAGTTCAATGAATAAAACTATTTTGTTTCGCAACTATTGTTATTTGAAATAGCAACAATAAAATAATGATGCAGCCATTTAATTTCAGTCTTCTAATATGGGGATATTCGCCTATTTTTCCCCCTCCAATCATTCTCAGCCCACTGTGTGTGGGAATTCTCCTCGCGCCTGGCTGTCTCTCAGTGTCTGAGAACAGGGAAAGAGAAATGTTCTGTTTCCTCTGAGAGAGTGCTGCCTTTTTGCTTGATACAACTTTCTCCAAACAAATTGCAGAGACAAAAAGTAAGGCACGCGGACAGCCTGAAGCAGGGAGTTCTTGGGATCGGAAGGGCAGGACAGGCTTCAGCTGGAGTGGAAGTTTTGGCGGCTGGAAGAAATGGGGCGGGGCGTGGCGGGGGGAGGGGGGCTTATTGGGCTGCGTGTGTAAGCGTGTGTTTATCTGTTTGTTTGGTTACATTTTCTGTGAATTTCACTGTTCCCTTGTGTTTGTGCTCTTGGAGCGTCCCGAAGTCGAGAAATTGTAAAATCAAGCACTGCAAACTTGTTGATGAAAAGCCCGGGCTTCAGTGTGTGTGTGTGTGCGAGGTGTGTGTGTGCTTGAGAGTGCGGAAACTCTCAGCATGGCTTTAAAGCGAGGAGAGATAGTTTCCTTGCGGATTCGGTCGGTGGAAGTGCAGGTAGGTGGGCTATTTACATATGACAAGAAACAACATGTTGATCTTACACGTGTTCAACTGGGGCAAACAAGTGCACATGCTCACCATCCAAATGGAAGATGGTGTCCTTCTGTCTAGCAACTGCTCACGTGTGTGATTCAAAAATGCAATTACTTAACTGCACGCTAATTGCCATTTAATTCTGAGCGTCGGAAAGGCCCAAGCTGAATGAGCTACATTGTTTTTGCCCCCTTTTCTGCTACCGGAAATTGTTCGCAAATGGAGCACAGATTTCATGGGTTAAGGGTGCTTTTTGGGGTTGCGAGTAAGCCTAATTCTTACAGGCTCACTCAGTTGTAAGCGATTAAATAAGGGAAATATGACGGCTTTTCCGATTTAACTTCTTAGGCTGTACTTTTTCTTTATTTGGTAAGCGAACACCGGAAGGGATTACAAAAAAAGGACTACAAGTATTGTATTCCAAATACCAACAAAATATATTTTATTCAAAAAATAGTAATTTTGCTGACTCTTTTTTGATACTTTACTCAAACTGAATATGTAATGCAAAATGAGGTTTGAACATTTTAAATATGTTTTTAGGGACCCATGTACATGCTGAAACCCAAATATAACTTGAATCGAAATCCAAATCCAAATCGATGGCAGAACGAACAAATTCCATCGGAAATCAAGCCTAACATGCATGATTCGGTGTCTTTTTCCAGCTTTGATTTTTCCTTGGCTTTTTTGCCTTTGCTTTCCCAAGTCGCAAGTTACCCACTTTTCTGCTGCCGTCCGGATTGTTTTGCCATTGTCTTTTGCTTGGCAGCTTTGCCAGTGCGGCAGTTCCGGTGAAGGAGCCACAGCAGCGTGCCCAAGTGGCCCCAAAGGGGATTTCCCACTACGCCGTGCCACGTGTAATCCTTTCTGCCACATGACCCCATCGGTCGCCATTCCTGTGCCACTCGCTGCCCATCGGCAGGCCTCGCATTCCCTTGGTATTTTTAGGCCTTCGCTTGCGAGCTTTCCATTGTTGGGGTTTCTTGTTTTGTTTGGGCCTTGATTACTTGAAGTTTTGGTCTTCGAATGATTGGCCCAGCTGTGTGGAGGCGGCACTGATAGGTCTTTGATGTAAATGATAGCATGGGGGGAATCCAGCTGGGATATTGGAGCTTTGAATTTACATTTGAGCCGAGCTCAAGCGGAAGCTCCCTGGATTTGCAATCTGCCCGCAGGCCTGGTCGATAATTCATTTCATAATTACACATTTGCTCTAATTGGCGGAGTTGGACCGTGAATTGTGGCCGGGCATTCAATTTGAATATTATGCGGAATTAGTTTCCCCTCCTGCACAATGGTTTATCATAATTTCATAGAGTAGCCACACAGAGTGCAACGCAACTGCATTTTCATGGACGCAACTATTTCAATGATGCTCGCCCAAATGAATTGATGATAAAACCGAATTTATGGGGAATGCTTAGTGCCAGCATTAAATTCCCAGCGCTCTGGAATGTGTCGTCAAAGCAAATGAAACTGCGGAATCAGAGGAGCGACTATACCCTGCAAAATGGCTGCAATCATTTCAGATAACTTTATGTACGAGTTGCTATAGAGTAATTGTTGTCTAATTTTCCGATGGTACTTATCCCTCGGAACTGCTTTTTAATATATATTTTGTTCTAGTAACTTATTAGAACAGTTTTGAATACTCTCTGAAAACAATTTAGAGTGCACAAGTGCGTCGGTTCGAGCCGAAAGTTACGATCCGCTTTTATGGCCAAGCTGCAGTGCTATTTGCTGACAATTAACATTTTATGCGTTCTATTTTTTGCGCTTTTTTGTGTCGTCCATTGCAGAAGTGACTAACTGCCTAATCAAGAGTTAATCCCCACTCTTCCCTCGACCCCTGAGTGAAGTCATAGTTTTGGAGCTCTGGACCGAGACATAATAATTAGCAGCCCGCGTAATTTGGCTCAATTTATGCGCATAGTTTCAGCAAAGGGCCACTCCTTTTGTACAATTTATGCAGAACACGCTGCGATTGTAAATGCTCAAGCGATGGAAAAACCGGAGGCAAATGTTTGAGCCCAATTTGGCATCCGGTTTTAATTGTGGCCAAGCACAATGGATGGCCAGGATGGGAGCTAAATCTACATCTATATCTGTATCCCCATCTCAAGCCCTATCTGTGGGGAATCTGCTCCTCCATTGGATTGCCTTGGACGAAAGTGACAGCCTGTGTGCTAAGTGAATGTGGTCGACGCTTTCTATTTGCCATTTCAATTGCAAATTAACTTTGCTGTCCCATGTCTGACAATGCCAAGTTCTTCCTCGACATGTGTGCAAATGCTGTACAAATAGACGCGTATGTGGAAGTGTATATAGTTGTAGAGTATGCATATGTATTAACACCACATGGCAGCCACAAAAATAAACTCAACTGCTGCTGTCGAGTGGAAAATGCAATGTTCCTCGCTTCGTTGGGCGCCACAATTTCCCTGTTCCTTCAATTTGCAATTAATGCTTAATTGCATCAAGCTTGTAAGTGGGGCAAATAAAAATCATATCAGGAAATTAGATATTCTCAGATCTTCCAGTTAGTCGCCTCCTTGATAAGTGGACCAAACTACATAATGCTAGTTGCCAGTGCTCTAAACTCTCGGCCGGCTTAAATTGAATGGCAATTGCTTTGAGCTAGGCTTACACAATTTTAGGGGATTTTTCAACTAGCCAACTTCGGTTATTTATGCCCGTACGTGCATCAATGTTGCTGCAGCTGCCACAGCCAGCAGCCAGCAACAAATTGCGGCAGACAAAACAAACCACTGGGCCCGAATGTGGGGTGGCAAGGCAAATTTACATAAAGACTTAAGCCAGAAAGCCAGGAATCGTGGTCGAGTCACGTTTATTGGCCACAGGCTGGTTGGACACACAAGCAGCACAAATCATGCAAAATTAAACTGAAGAGCCGAGGCGGCGACTCCAACATCCCATCAGCAACCCGCCCCCCGCCCACCGCCAAGTTCGTGCCTGGAGCTCACCCATTCGATTATTGATCAAAAGCACATTTTTCCGAGCTTATCCAGTATCTCACGGAATGCAATTCTCCGACTCCACCCCATTCGGTTCAAGTGGTTGCCCAAACAAGGGTACATGTGTCTCCTGGCCAGCCGGAACGATATTGCTCGGCAACCACCAGTCCACCATGGATAAATGGAGCAGGACAGCCCCACAAGATCCATGGCAGCGCAAAGTGCGTACTCGATGCAAACCGAAACTGCGAGACGCAAACACATGTTTTGGCTTTTCAGAAGCTGCAGGCAAACTTGCTGATACAGAAAACATATTTCGATGGGATGATTGCATGTGAAAGAGAATGGGATGTATCCCTTTTCAATGGGGTTAACAATAAAGAGGGTTGTAGGCTTTTGTGGGGTTCCAGAACTAACAATCTTGTAACTGGGTTCCATCTATTAAGACTTCAGTGCTTTGTTAGGCCTTTTTTACATTTTTGTAGTAAAAAGTAGTATGTTAGCCTAATTCTGAAGCCAAAGTTTCAGTGCAACAAGTTTGGGAAAATATTTGCATCTTTGACGGAGTTTTAATTAGAATTGCTCCATTTGTTTGACCACATCACGCATACGCCCCGTGGTGCGCTATTCAACTTATTTATGGCTTTGTGTTTTGGTTCAACAAATTTAATTAAAGTTCATTTTACGGCCATTCATCAAAAGCGTATGTGAGGGTGTATCCAAGGGTACATGTTAGGATATACGAAATAAATGCGCATACTACACTGCACAATTATGTGTCGACATTTAAATATTATTCTTTCTGTCCAAGACAAATTACACCATATTTTTGAGGCAGTTGCACGGGGAGTTTAGTCCACTTTGCGTTTCCATTACTTATCCAGCTTATGTTGGTTTTAGGTCAGCAAAGTTAGTAGTGGGAAGCTCAAGGGTACGCTCTTAAAGTTGAACTACTCTGCATTGCATGAATGTATGGACAACTCATCGATCCAACCTCCTAACTTGGTCAAACATGGTCCCCCGCAGTGACAGCGACTCCTTTGATTTTTGTTTGTTGCCGTTTTACTCATTTCTGCCGCTCCGCCTGCTGTGACCGAAGAAAAACTTCTAACGAGTTCCATTTTCGGGTTTTCTTCGCTGCTGATTGTGGGCTCTGGGTGGTTGGCTGGCTGGGTGGTGGGTCAGTTTGGACCAAGGAGGCGGAGCTGGAGGTGTAGGTGGTTCCGCCTGTCAGTTGCCAACAAGGAGCCTTTTTGTGCGCCTCCGGTGGCTCCTCTGGAGCTCCGCAACTGTGTGATTTATATCACAATTTACTCGCATTCGAAGCTCGCATTCTGCTGGCCATTGTCCCATTGCCGAACTACTTGGCTGCCGAACTTGCGGATCTCCCCTCGCCAGGGCCACCATTTAGTTGGTGGCGCACTGTCGATGATAAATCAACGTGCTAACGAATCTTTCGTTTGCTTTCGCTTTTTCGGCTTTTGTTTCGTTCGGCTGCAGAAAGGTGATTTCTTTTGGGCCAACAATACCTTAAGCCTTCCGCATTTGCCAGGCTGATGGGATGGGATGGAATGGGTTGGGTGGTGGTCCTCCTCCGGGCAGGAGCTTCATAAATTGCAAGCAGCCTTTGTTTCTCAAGATTTTTGCTTGAGTTATTTTTAATTTCGTGGCTCTTGCAATTTCTCAGTGTCAGTTGAAGGGCCTGAAAACATGCCTCAGACAGAGATGAAGAGTGCCTCTTACGCCTTTGTTGTGGCCAAAACAGCAGAAAAGGAATGCAATTTTTTCATTCAACTTGATGCCACTGATAATCAGTTCCATTTGTTGATGGGCCGTGTTTAATTAAATTAGCAACACTCGAGTAATTAAAGAGCGTTCCTCAACGCCCCCGAAAGCCTCGGAAAACCCTTCTTGCTGTTTTCCCTGCGGGGCAACATCAATCATATGCCAAAACACAAATACGAAGCTTGACGAAAAATAGAAAGAGAATTTCTAACTTTTTGCTTTCTGTGTCAGGCTCAAGAAGATTTATGGCCAAAACGGGGATGGGACACATGTGAGTTGGCCAACCAGGCGGCCAAAAAGGGGGCAAAAATGAAAAGAAACGCCTGCTTAAACGGGGCTAACAAATGTAGTTTTTAGTCACATTTGGCTCAGCTTCCGACTGATTGTTTAAATAAATGAGTCAGTGCTGCCCCGTTTTCATCGATTTTGCAGTGCAACTTGTCGCTTCCTGCACACAACTTACCCACCAAATTGACAAGCCACTGATTGATGGTTCTGGCGGTTGGGTCAAGGCATCTCCCCAATTCTTCCCGGCACATTAAGTAGCTAAAAAATTGCAATTTATTTAGTTCTTATGGCCCGCATATTTGGGCACCCATGAAACCTTTTCATTTCAGTGGATGCTAACTAATAGTTTGCCATTATCCCATCGGCAGGAATGGCAATTGGGCAGGATTCCATTCCGAAACCCACTCCGAGCACTCCGGATACTCCCCGACATTTCGGGGAATTTGATTGAACGGCCCCACAACCATTTCAACGCCCATTCCCCACATACGTACAGTGCGCACCGGGAGTGTAAGGCATTCTGAAGGAGCTCAGCCTTAACAGCATATTATTTTCTGCATTTGTTTGTTCGTATATATTTCGTATTTCTTTGTATGAAGAAAGCAGTTTTTATTGTATTTCAAATAGTTTTTGAATGAATCATTAACAGAATGTCTTGGGTCTTTTGACTGAAAACTGTTCGCATTCTTTATGTTTATGGGTCTACTGTATCATAAAAACACTGTATCAATGGAAAGAACTGCCAAGCGTTCCGAATAATCGATAATCATAAACATTAGTGCTTTAAATTTAATATCGCTGATGGTCTGACAAGTCGAATGGGTAAGAATGAATGATCCATTGCACATGGAGCAGAGAAAAACCCAACAGCCAAGTAAGCACAGTACAATATACAAGACATTAGAGGGAAAACCCCCAGGAAGGTCATAAATGTATTGCAGGCTAGTCCCTTTAATAAGCCTCAAATTATAAGACAAACAGCAACTTGTTTTCTTCTTGCCTCTCATGGCCACAACTTTTTTGCCTGCACCAATTTGATTTTGTCATTAAAAAGTTTTTAGCGAAATAATAAAGTTTGTCGGCGCGGAATCTGAGTTCCCACCGAAAGCAAGGAGATCCGGAAAGAAAAAAGCGAAAAGGAAATCACAGTCCAAAAGTGGCCAATGAAAGTTTTAATTTTTGATGTAGCATGGTGGTGGCGGGGTGGAAAGCAGCTGGCCAAGAGCAAACTGCAGACTTTTGGCGGAACGCAGCCCAAAAGCTTATCTTCACAGAGTTCGAGATGTGTCCAAACTCGGTTGGTATACGAGTATACGAGAATGTCAGGAGTTTAAGCGCATTCTGCTTGTGCAAAAAGCGATAATAAATGACCTGCAGTCATCGCTTTTTGCCAGAGAAAGTTTAATTAAATTGGCAAAATCAATAAGTAAATTGATTACTTTTTAAATGACTCTGTGCGCCAATGCTCGTCAATGTTAATAAAATGATTGTGATTTTAAGTGTAAAATTGCCATATTCGCGCTATTCAATTACTTCTCATTGGTTGAGTTAAAAACTTGCTGACAAGTCGTTTATTATATTGGCCCATACTAATAATTAAAGTTGGCTTTTATGTGCGTTTATGTGCGTTTCTGGTGTCAAAAGTTCACAGCACAGCAATGAGAAATATTCATACCAAATCAAGTAAGTAATGCTAGTTTCTTTCTCACCATCGACATGGAATGCTGACTGAATGACGAGGTTGCAATTTGCATCACTCCCCCACTGCGCTTATTGAATTAAATGCAGCTCTGGCCGATGCATAATTCAATTAGCATATGGAAGCCAGCGAGCAGTCCCTGCAGGCACTTCCTGTGTCCAACATGACGTATGCGCAATCCGACGCAAGGATGGTCTTGGGACTGGGACCGGGACATGCTGCTCAGTTATGAATTACATTTCAATATGCTTCAGCGTGTTCATCATTTATTAAGCCAGCTGGGCAGGCTGCGAAATGCCTATCGAGGAGCGGAGGATCCATGAGCCCGACCTGTGACCTGGTACCTGGGACCTGGGACCTGGGACCTGGGACCTGGGACCGGAAACTGGAATCCTGCTGAGCGACTGGCGACGAGTGCTTAGCTCCGCTTGCAATTTCCGTTTTGTCACATTTGTCTAAGTGAATGGAAATTTATGCAGCCGCTCGGGCTAAATTATGCTGCCTGGATGTTGGTTGGGTTAATGCTTTATTCACGGTCCAGCGCTTAATGAAAGAGTCATTACACTCATTCATTCAATCGCTGATTCATTCATGAGCAGACGAGAGCGCGTGTCCTTTGTTTTCCACTTCCCATCGCTTCCTATCGCTTCCCATCGATTCCTGCCTCTGCCAGCTCCTGTTGTTGTCGTTAATTAATTGATTTTCATTGATGCTTGGGTAGCATTAATCATACGCCGCGTTGGCCCAGCAACCGTGGCCAACTATTGTTATTCTAGCCTTAGTGCCTGTCCTCCAACTTCATCGCTATTTCTCCTGTCGTTCAGCGAAGTCTTTCAATTTCCCTGCCGGAATGCAGTTTTCAGACAAAGTTTTTCATTAACGCTTCACTTGCCAGTTACGCAGCAGTCTAAGGAAAAGGATGAAAAGTTGCAGCTGCAGAAATTGAAAATTTTTGGTAAGAACCTCAAAGGGATTCAGTTCAAGTCCAAGAGACATTACAAAACTAATCATCATTCTTACATATTTAAAACGCAAAAGTAAGACCTTAGACTACAAGAATAAGTTTATAATATAAAGGCATGCATTTATCAAGGATATATATATATTCTATTCAAGCTGCTCTGTTCTGTTCCAACTTTTTGCTCCAACTTTTTCTAATGCCATTGTAAAAGTTTTTAAATTGATCACGCATCGCCGCCTGAAAATATGCGGCCATTTATTGAAATCAATTATTGAATTTGAGCAAAGATTAAACCAATTTAATGCCGCTCATACAATAAATTTTAATACATTTTCCATTGCGGATTTTCACAAACGCAATTACAAAAAAATACAAATGAGCTGAGTTGAGCTTGCACTTTGACTGCTAGCTGACCCATAAATAAATCATTTCCGCAAACAGCAAAGCGCTGTTGCATAATAGATGTGCGGATTTATGTGCGGTAATGTTGCCTAAAATATGCATAAGTTATAACCGTCGATTTAAATTTATTCCCAACCTGCACCGCCAACCGGAAGCTTCCAAATTGTCTCCCAGTCCCAAAACGCGACTGCCAACGTGGCTTGGCCCGAATCAATTAAATTGGCTTGTGGTCTGACTGCCGTCCAGAGTGGATCCATTTCGAGCTTAGTGGTTGACGTTTTGACAGTTTTATTCTAACTCATTCCGCGCTTATCTGCCTTAGAGGCGACTTATTTGGTGGCGACCTATTTCTGTCAGAAAGCGATTTCAATATAATCAACGAAAAATTGTAACAACAGAGCTTAATGCCAAATGTTAATTGAATAAAAGAGACAAGCAATGGGGATTTCAAGAGCCGAGTGTCTCTGTTATATGATAGGCTATTCCAAATGTTAAACTAAAAATTGATGCGAAATTTCTTCAGAGCTAGGGGAAATCAGTACAACTATACACTACAAACTGCACTTCCTGTTTCCAGCATATAATTGAAACCACAATCTATTTTTCCGCTTTAACCACTGTTTTCCATTTTACTTACTTTGCCTGCCTTTTTGCAGCAGTGTAAAAAGAGCGGAGCTGCCAGACCTGCAAATATGTTTTAGGTTCTTACCCAAGTTCTCCACCAATACAGTAAGGTTCGCAGTGAAGGCATGGATCTCGGTTTTCCCAGCCCTGATGACTCGACCGACCAGCTGACCGCCGATACTCGCTGGCATTTTGGCGAGACGCGGTCACACCGAGGGCAACAGCTGCTCGCGGGTAGAATATCGAAAAGTGTAACCGAAAAAAGACAATTGTGCAACTGCTGCGAAAGCGAAACACAATTGAACAAAAGAGCGCGCAACATTGTTGGTAGCTGCCCGTCCGCGCGTGGATTTGTGCATTAAGTTAAAAAAAATATTCATCGCAGCAAGATGCACAGCGCTTGGTGACACAGAATGCAGATTGCTGGGCTCTTGCATAAATTCCGTTAGTAATTCTAACTATTTCAACCGCCCTATATTTCCTTCTGTTGTTGTAGTTGTGCGCGTGTGCAATATGTGTGTGTGTGTTTGCCATGGTGTCTATATTAGCTTAGCGATATATTTATATTCCTAATTACAAACGCTGTGTCTGCGGTGGTCGCGTTGCCGAATTAAAAGAAAGCATTTCAGTTTCCCATCGGCGGGCGCAGCTCAAACATTGCAGCTCGTCAACATTGCAACGAACTAACGGTGCTTACGTGCCACACAACGCACACCACGTACCGCCATCCCCTCCCGGGATCGCCTTCACCTTGAGCTGCCTGTCAATTCTCGGCATCGCTTCCTATTTATTCGCTGCCCCCATTCTAACGGAACTTCTAGCGGTGTCAAGGTAGCCGAACCACACACACACTTACACGCGCGTGCACACACACATGCTGACAACAGCTGTGGCGGAAACAGCTATTTCTATTGAATATTAGTGCCACCAAACATAAATTCGAAACGGGTTTATTTATTTTGTATTATATTATTGTATTCGCAAAGGTAACATTATAATGCACTGCAGACAAGTTTTTAAATTCTTGTGATAGCCGGAATTAGTAGAACCTAGTAAGACTATCCTGATATTTTAGTGTTATTCTTTTGAACCGAACTGTACCTACATACGTGCATACATATTAATGTTTATGTTTATATGAGAGTCTGGGAAGAAAAGTGCCGACAGCTGATAAGAAGCCGACCTAATGGTTTTCGCTCATCGATTGCACTTTGGACGACCCATAAAATTTTAAAAACAATATCATTATCGTCATTGTGTTTTTGCAATAAATAATTAACTTTTAATTGCCTCTGTTAATTTTTTGTTTTTGCAAAAAGTGTCGGGTTGTGTGTATGGTATACATTGCATCAGCTTATTTAACTCCGAAGTGTGAATACTTTAAATTTGCAAACGGCAGTGAATCATTCAACGATTGAAAATTTTGTTTTTAAGCAGATAATTATGCATATTTCCATAAGTCTTTATAAATGTAAAAACTATTTATCCCATGATATTCGATTTCTCATTGTCTCAGTCAAATTAATCGCATGCGATAAAAATTTACTCACATATTGCTTAGGCAGCAACACTTACGATTATGTATTTCCCTCTCTTCCTCGCCCACAGACAAGGCGGTCGGCACTCGCACATCACGTGTTTGACTCAGGCTACAAATTTGTGGCCCACGATCTGCTCTCATTTGTGGTTGCGATGTTCTCACTACAGCAGTTGCTCAGAGCGACAGCGACGTCGAATGGCGGCAACGATCTCAGCCGGCTGCTGCGCCACATCGGCGGCGTGACGTCAGGAGCCACAACGACACTGGTAAAAATTTTAACCGTTTAAGTGCACAAATTTGCATGCATATGTAAATGTAAAGTAAATGTAAGATTTGCTTTTGAATTGCTTTTATAAATAAACTTGTTAGTATACAAATTTCTAAGTGAAATTCGCTTGAATTCATTCGGTTTCTGATACAATGCTGGCTTTGAATAACAAAATTATTTTTTCAGTGCACAGCGCCAGCCACAAAGCACTCTAGTCAGGCGAAGTTCGGCGACAACAGCAGTCACGGTTCGCCCTCGCACACGGACGGTCGCAGTCACGGTGAATCAGAGTCGGATTTGGAGTCGGCGCACGGCCAGAATTTCACAGCACACCATTTCGCCCGACGGATACTTCAGCAGCGCAGCCAGGACATCCAGCGCCACATCCACACGCAGTCAGCCAAAGGACAGACCCGAGCCAAGTCCTCGCAGCAAAATCAGCAGCAGCAGCAGACCGCCACCAAGTTCGCCATGTCATCGCTAGCAGCCGAGCCCCTGCAGTCGCAGAAACCGGATGAAATCACGGCCAGCACAGGCGGCAATGTGGAGACGCCCGCACTAGGCGCATCCTGCCACGAGGTGGCCTCCGCATCGGCCAGCGCCGGCAAGAAGCCCTGCTTCAGCTCGGGCCTCGGCGAGATACTCCAGTTCATGGAGCTCATCGGCAACCTAAAGGTATGTGAAGCTGGTTACTCAGCGCAGCGCCTCCTTTGCGATTTCCCCTGCTCCGCTTGCGCGTCATATGCTCGCATCGATTTTTCCCGAAGTCCTGCGTGTTTTGATTTTGCCACCAACTGGTTGCTACTTAATCGAAAGGAAACGTTTTGGAGAGTGGTTAAGAATATGTTTTGAATCTATTTGTATCATTCATTTGGAATTTTTTGAGGCGTGATACAAGTATTATACTTGATATAAACATATATAGTAGTAGTCTGTTGTTTATGCATTTGGCTTAGCAATTTCATATTTGCTTTTCCTTAGGAAAAGCATTCACTCGCACTTCCCAACTGTATTACAAAACCCTCTGCTAGTACAAGTCAAGAATAGCTTATCAAAATATTCCTACAAAACCGCGATCTCGAGTAAGGCCAGCTAGCAAACAAAACGAAAACTAACGCAAATAGAACGCGAAGATGTATTTATTTACGTTTTGTATAATCAATTCTATTTCGCCTGCACTCTTTCTTTTTTCAGTTTTCTATTTTGCTTAGTATATCTGCGAAAGATTGTATAATGCCAGCGGCAACCTCGCTCTTGTCCCCCTTGAACGCATTTGTATAGTCGGTTGCCAAAAAATATATCTAATACACAGGCGTGTTTGTATATCTGCAGTCAAATATGTTCTGCTTCAATTCATTTTGAATTGAAATTAATTTTTAAATTAACTTTATAACGTATAACTTTTCTCATATCTACGACAAAAGCTTAGACAAATTGCAAAGTCTAGCCATATTAAAAAGTATCTTTATGGAACCCACAGCTGTGTCATATAAGCTGGCATGAGCAAAACAAACAGCGCAAAAGGCCAGAGCTCGGCACGTTCTGGAACCATTAGCTCAACTTTTATCTAATCAGTGTAGTTCAACCCATCCACAGAATGACGAAAATCACCTAGCACGGGGCTTGATTTCCTATCGACAAGCTGCAGAAAGTGAATCGTTTTGTAATTCCAGCCGCTGCCCCGTCGTCCATGGGTGAAAATGTCACTTAAGTGAGCTGATTGTGTGAGTCGCCTAATGGCGGCAACAAAATTGCAATAGCTATAAAAGCACCCGAGCCAATTTTCAAATTTCTCACGTGAGCACGTATTTTTTGCTTGGCTGTTTCCTAAATGTTTTGGATTCGCCGCGAGCTTCCAGTTCGAGTCCCATGAACAATAGTGTACAGTCAGCATTGGCGTAAGGCGAGCAACGGACTTGAATAGGCAGATACCTAAATCTTCTACTATATATCCGATTGCATATAGAGCGTGCAAAAGCAGCGAAAAGAAAAAGAAGGCAACCCGTGACTTTGATCTTGGCCTTCAAATTATAGACGCTATCTTCTAGAGCTGGCGGAGATCCACAAGGGCGATTTTTTTTTTTTTTTTTCTAGATGTTTTCCAAACTGAGCGAAATGATGCGATACATTTGTATATTTTATATGTACTGCTTTGTTTTGTTTCTCTTCAAGGATTAGTCGCATTGTTATTATTTTACACGCAGCTATAATAAATAGGTTTTTATCGAGGCTTTTACGAATTTAGATAAACGGTTGATAATATTAATATGCTCAAAATGCATAGTTATTCCTGGAAATATCACTTCGTTACTAATTTTTTGCTTTTGGGCTTTCTTTATGAATGTATGAACTTGTACCTATCTTACATCAGCCAGCAACATATTGATTAATCAAGGGATCTCTATAGCTCACATTCTTTATATACCTTTATTACTGATAAGTTAATATAAACTAATATATACTCATAATAATAACTGCAGTGTGACATTATAGAAAGAACAAAGCAATCAGATAAGGTCTTCAGTTCATTACGTGCCTACAAAATGATCGGGCCAGCTAATCAATAAGCCCGATAAGTCACGACTGTGTGTGGTTGCAGATGAATTTTGGCTTCATGCAGTTTTATAAAACATTTTGGTAACTTTTTACCATCAGCGACTACGAAAATGAACGAACGTCAACGGCAAGGGGCCTGCTATGTCTTTTGGACCTTGTTCTCCCAACCACCGGTGTCTATAAATACAACCTTTATTGATCAAATAGCAACAGTCTCAAACCACCCTCGCTGGCAGGCTTGGGTTGAAGGTCTGGGGCATGGGGCCACAACCTTGATGTGTGCAACGATGTCACCAAATTCGCGTCGTGTTTTTAATTAACCAAAGTGGCAGGAGGGATATTATGTGCCACTGTGCACAGCAACAAGCCATCTTAGAACCGAGAAATGAACAACTGAAAGTATTGATTACGAAGCATTGCATTTTGTTAGAACGTTTGTTGGCTTGCCTAAGAATAGTCGGTTTATATTAAACTTTCACTAACCCGCTGACTTTCGTTTTGTCTTGCAGCACACAAAACGCACCGGATGGGTGCTGCGTGATGTCAACGACTGCGAATCAATTTCGGGTCACATGTACAGGATGAGCATGCTAACCTTCCTGCTGGATGGCAGTGAGGGACTGAACCAGATTCGCTGCATGGAACTGGCACTGGTACACGATTTGGCTGAGAGTTTGGTGGGTGACATAACGCCGTTCTGCGGGATTTCCAAAGACGACAAGCGAGCCATGGAGTTCAAGGCGATGGAAGATATCTGCAAGCTGATCGAGCCCCGTGGAAAACGCATTATGGAACTGTTTGAGGTGCGTTAGTTAGCGAGCCTTACTCTTTGTGGAATGCGTATTTATGTAATTCTAATTCTGCAGGAATACGAGCATGGGCAGACTGCCGAGAGCAAGTTCGTCAAGGATTTGGATCGCCTGGATATGGTCATGCAGGCGTTCGAGTACGAGAAGCGGGACAATTGCCTTCTGAAGCACCAGGAGTTCTTCGACTCAACGGAGGGCAAGTTCAACCATCCGTTCGTTAAGAAGCTGGTCAACGAGATCTACGAGCAGAGGGATGTCCTGGCGAAGGCAAAGGGCGCCACCCCGCCGCCGGCCATTGAGGTGCCTAGCATGGAGAGATCTTCGAAACTTGTTAACGGGCATGACGGCTCGAGTTGAGCGTTATTCTAGGAACCCGTCTTAGGCTAGCACATGAACACATCCTCACATACAAACCACCACGCTCTTAATTTGTAAGCCAATCCAACTAACAAACTGTTAAGCCTACCTCGACACGCTCATAGCTAGATCTAATTCTTAACTCACTAATTTATTGCGAAAGAAACAGAAAAGATGGAACCGATGGGAAGTAGCTAAATGGAAATATTATAGTGGACACACACACCTGTTGAACACGTCTCCTTAGTTCGTTTCCTCTAAGTTAAGCGTAAAGTTGCGGATCGAGTTTTATCAATATATTCAATTGATCTGACTTAGGAACCCAATTGTAAATAACTTAAACGAATTGTAGTCTATTTAAAACGTATATTGACCTTAATTATTGTAACATTTGTCCTAAAGAAATTTTATTCAACGAACCGAATGTCTAAATCAAAACGAAAGATCAGAATCAAAATCAAGTTAATTGATTTTTTAATAGTTTGTTCACACGTGCGTTACTTTTACCCTTGAATCGAACAATTGTCACCAAAATTATTATTAAAATTACATTGTGAATTAGGCAATATAAAGATGCAGTCACTCATTAGACGTGGCCAAAAGACAAAGCACCCATTGTTTGATTGCTCACAAAAGTGACACTTTATTGACGAAACATAGAAACATTATCCAAAGGGGTTGGAAACTGCAGCTCTTGTCAGACACATTCGCTATGTATTCTGAAATAAGATTAGGCTAGTTATCTTTACCGATTCTGTTTAGGTCAAACAAACCTTCGATGACAATGAACTGACTTTCGCGGGAGGAAGTTTGGTGCGAGTGCTGCCCATGCCTCTTGGCCTTATCTGGTGGTCAAAGCTTGTTACGTCTATGGGATTAAGTAACCGTATTGTAATCCGACTTACGATGCACTGTTATAATCCGATCTGTCTGACCCATCGCATTCTTTGCCCTGCATATGTACTCTCCAAAGTCTCTTTTCGTTATCGGGCGCAGTGTGATCCGCATCACGATCCGAAAGACGTGGTCCACCGAGACCGACTCATAGGAACCTCCTTGCAGCAGTTGCGAGTCCCTCAGCCAGAAGTTCACCGATGCCGGCTGCGATTCTGTGATGCACTCCAGCGTCAGCTTTTGGCCCAGGCCCACGTAGATGGTATCGTAGCGTGTCCAGATCGTTGGCGCAACTGGCATATATCGCAGTATTATGAATTGAATTTCTTGGTTTTGTTCTCACTTACAGTTCACCACCAACATGACGCGCTTGCTCACTGTGGGCGGCACACCGTTGGAGGCAATGCAGAGGTAGGCGCCCATGTGGGCGCGCTGCAGCTGCCACAGTGTGAGATTCTGACCCTCCACACTGAACACTTCCCGATCGCCGTCGTCTGAAACCAGGATCGGAGTCGATTCCTCGCGACGCCAGGTAATGGTGGGCATGGGAACTCCGGTCGCACTGCAAGTGAGTGTCACGTTCTGGCCCGAGGAACGAACTACGTCCTGGCTGGTTTGATAGTCTACGATGTCTGGCGGCACCACGACGTCCAGGTAGCCCATTTGGCTCTTCATGGGATCCGTGTTGATTTGGCACATGTACCTGCGGGAAATGTGTATAAGTATCTGCCTGATAGATACTTTCACTCACCATCCGCGATCCGACTCGTGAACATCGCGTATTTTCAGCTGCCAGATGCGGTGCTCCGTGTGGGAGATGGAGATGCGATGGTTCTTGGTGATGACATGGTTCTGGATGCTCAGTATCGTCTGCGTGTCCACTCGCAGCCAGGCCACCTTGAAGCTAACCAGGTCGTGGACAACGCACGTGAGCAGGGCATCCCGTCCCACGGGAACTGTTGAATTGTTGATGGGACCGCTGAACTTGGGATCCGCTGCAAAGGAAGATGGCACCAAACCCAATTGTTTGGCATTTATGGCTTTCATCATTAGGGCGCTAAATGGGGCGGCGATATACAACTGCTGGGTGGCTTTGGGGTGGCTTATGGTTTATGGGGCTTGCAAATGTTAGAGACTGGCATTTGCTGTATTTCTATTTCATGGAACTCAGGCGCCAACATTTAATTCAATTAAAAAATAACCTTTTTTTATGTGCAGCTTTTCTAATCCACAATTATCTGGATAATTATTTCACTTCTTTTGCTCGCACATTTTTGCGTGTCTCTGCAGAATGTCAACAGCCTAGTCAAAATTGCCAGATGGCCCCCAAATGGTCAACGAAATTTAAAATTCTTCAACGGCCATAAATTTGTTGAGGTTAACATTAGGCCGAGACAGGGGCAAATAATCCAACAATTAGGTAAATTAGGTGTCCTAGAGATGTCAGCTACATTCTGGCAAAAAAAATAGAACCAAGATGAAATAATTCGGTGTCTAGCATATCTAAGCTATGGAATTGGGATAGATGTTTTTGAAACGGCATGACATTTAATATTTAGAAAGATAGTAATGACAATAGTAATAATCTTAAGACTATGATATTTAGTTTAGCCAATTGTTCCTTTTCCGTGTGCATACTGAAATCATTTCCAGAACTGACCCATAGTGCTACCTCTTGTACTTTGAACAACGTGATGGTTAAATTTTGATTGCATCGTAAATAATGGAATAAACACGTCATAAACTCACACACTATGGACTCAAACTACTCCTTTCCGGTATGCTGCTGCTGATTTGCCCAACTCCAGTCGCATCGCAATAATTTTGTGTCAAACTGCCCGACCGCAAAACTTCGACAGTTCCCGTCAGCCAATCTAACCACCAGAGTTCCCACCGCAAACCGACCCACCCACCCCACCCCATCGCAAACACAACAATGGACAGGAGGCAGGAGTAATGGAGGAAATCACATCACATGCCTAGCAAGTAGCACGACTCAGTGGCCAGGAGACGAGGAATCCAGCTCCTGCTCCTGCTCCTCTCCTCACAAACGCCTAAATTACAATTATGACCAAATAATAACCCGAAAAAATGCAAAAATCTAATAGAGCGCTGTGTGTGGGGGGCAGGTGCTGGTACCTGGAAAATTGTAAAAAGCTGTGCTACACCTTTACATTTGCCCCATGCCCCACGAATTGATTGCGTTGCGGTGGGTTCCACCAAACTAGCATCAAATTGGGGAGCCTACGACGCCATGCCATATAGCCTATAATTTGCGATTATGTTTGGGTCTGGCCCAAGTTGGGCGCTTTGGAGTCCGAGTCGGGGCTCCGCCTTCAGTTCGTCCAAATGTGGGGAGCGAGACGCCATTGTTTGACTGCCTCCAGTTGATATGGTTTCTGTTTTTGTTGGTATTGCAATTTGGCTATTGCATGTTTGCATATTGAAACATTCCGAAGAAAGGGACGAGTGAGTCTTTTTTAGCCATAAAATACATCGTACCTTACACTGCGAAAAAAGTAGCATAATCATCAGGAGCTAGGTGGATTAAACTAAAAATAAACAAATTACTTGTATAAAAACATCAAAATAACAATCAACAAAGAACGCTATCAATAGTATTATCTTATAGTTTTACAGTTATCATATACTTTAATTAGCAGCAGGGGAAAGCAATATGTGGTACTTTTGGAATTCTTCCGAGTGTATTTATACACATACATACACTTGGCTGTTTTAGTTAAATTTAACTCCTTTTATTTATGGCTGCGAGGTGGAGTAATTTAGCATTTAACTTTCTCGCCACCACACGCCTTCGTTGTTGCCACATTTTATAGGGGAAATTGACTATGAGTTGCTAAACATATACGATATTCCCATTCTGTGGCACGACTTGCATCGCTGGACAAGGACTTAAGCCGCAATTTCCCCACGAAGTCCCTGCAAATCCGGCCGAGTCCTCTGCCCACGCCACTTGAACTTGAAACGGAAAGTGAATGTCCTGTCTCCTGTTAGACACTCCAGCTGTCTGCAGGGAAAAAGAATCACAATCAGCACGCAATGTCTGCCAAAAAGTGAAGTAAAAACTGCGAAATAACCCACTGCAGTGCCTTCCAGACCCGCAACTCCCACATGGCCGCCCGAAAAACGCGGCACTTCGCGGCAGAAACCGCCAGCCAGGAATGGAAAAAGGAAAATATCGCAGAGTGCAATAGGAAGTGGGAAAACGTCGCCTTTCCGCGACTGTCTGTCTGCTGCCCGCTGTGCAGGGGGGTGGTGGCACGTTGGGTGGTGGCAAGTTGGGTGGCTGTGGCGGAACATCGTGCGGTGCATCACTCCTTTGAGCCACTTCTCACTTTCTTATCGCACGCTGCGGCTAGCCTGCCAATATTTATGTTTACTTTGCATCTGGCACATTGATTTAAATGCGAATTTTGTCGAATTTTGATATATTTATCGCACTTGGCGAGCCAAAGTGAATGCACATTTGTTTTGTTTTTCGCCTCACATTTCCCCCAGCGGAAGTTGCCCCTCGTTACTCTTTCGCAGCGCTTTCCACCGGAAACCCTCTGCCCGCTCCCTTCCATCCTGTCTGTCCTGTCTGGGGAATATGTTGGCCACAGTTTATTCACTTATGGACTCGTTGGACTTCCGATTACCAGCTGCCTTCCATTTTATCCGCCGCCACTGGTATCTGCAACGCTCTTCGTTGCCCCTCCAGTTTTAGATAGTTTGCAGTCAATTAGCTGTACACTTTTGGGTTCATAATTTCGAACAAAATGATTCCAAAATATCATAAAAAGTCCTTAATCGTTAGTATTCCTTTTGAAATATTCGAATAATTAATTTTCATGTAATAATTTACGTATATCTCTAATTTCGGACTGTTGTGCGTTACAACTTCAAAGCATTATGCTTTCATTTCTTATGCCACTACTGGCAATTAGTCCTATTTATCCTTTGGGACCACATCTCGTATCCACTTACAATTGTTTAGTTCCGAAAAGCTGGCCTGGCTCAAACACAAGGACTGCATGAGCAGCAGCCAAAAGCTGGGGAATCGTCTGCTCATGGCCGAAACTCAAGCGCGACCAAGGTGCGAAACTTTTTAATATTTGCTGTGTTCCCACTTTAATTTTTTACTTTGCCACTTTCACTGCCCAAATGGCCGAAGTTCAACTTCCGCCGCACCAGCGCAAATGTATTTTTTCCGGTTCTGCGGATGAAGTTTTCCGCCGATTGCCGTGGCCAAACGTCCGCACACTCGTACAACTGGTCGCGAACTGATAATCAAGTGTCAAAACTCATATTCAAAATTCAAATGCGGCACTGGCGTTGCGCATGTGTCCTGCGGCCTTGCGAGCCGAGTGGGTGATTGGGTGGCTGGGTGGTAATGGTGGGTCTCGTGGGTCTGGTTGGCCAGTAGTCAAGGTGCCCGGCAGCCAAAAGACGGTGCTATGCAATAGTAAATGTTTCATTCATAAAGCGCCCGACGTAACATTTTCATATGCACGTGACGATATGAAGTATACGACATGTTGCCGGGGGAAAGTGACACATTATTGGTGTTTGAGGGGCTGGAAATAAAGGCCAACTCCCACTGCCAAACGCGCCCAACACCATTCTAATTAACCCCGGAATGCCGCGCATCTTCTGCCCAACTTTCACCCGAATCCACCTCCCCCGGCTGCTCCTCCACTTTTCTGCGGTGCTTGCACTTCCAACTGGCTTGGTTTGCATGTGTGAGCTTCTTAGTAAGTTAGCAATAAGTTCGCACCGCTATTTGCGCACAATTAGCGCTTTTCAATAGCGATAACAATAATGATAATAAGCACGTGGAATTTGCTTGATTGTTGTTTCCTCGGGGGGCACATCTTTTGCTGCCACATGCAAGTTTCCCTGGACTTGGGTACTCTTCTGAAATCCTTTCCTCATTCTGAGTCAAAGCCTCTGTCTTAATTAAATATTATTTCGCTTAAATTAGGGTATGCTTGAATGCAATGTTGAAGTCAAAGTGACCGATGAATCCTACTTTTTCGTAATCAGCTAAAGGTTTTATACATATACAATAAGCTAGATTTCTGCAATTCTAAAACCCGTATAGGTGACCAGCAGATCCATTATATTAGGCTTTTAAAAATGTTGAGAATTTTGGAAATCGAAAACGCTAAATTAGATCTCAATCTGCTTTATATGGGCATCCAAAGCTATATATACCTTTGTTTTTACCTATTAGTTTTGATCAGTTTTTATATAAGGACAATAATCCAGAATATGGAAATGTTTAAGATGGATCTTAAATTAAGCATCGATAGTTTGAGCCCAATGAAATAACTACCGGATCCCTAAACCTACAAGCAAGCGCCTGAAATGTTGAATAAAATAGAATTTTTTCTGTTTTAATTATCTGATGATAACTTCAATTATTGCTCCTTGATATATAAATATTTGCTTGTCGACTTTCCTTACTTTCCTTACTTGTACTTACACCAAGTCTTACAAGTGCCCTAAAAAAGTAAGTGTCTTGGCTAACCGTGTAGAAAATAGAATACAAATTTTGTAAGGAGACGAAAATGGTTTACAACTTGGATGTTACTAAAAATAAAATTATGGCGGTGTGTAACTCCGCTACAAAATTATGGTGCTGTATAGCGGTAATAAAAGAAGTAAACGAAGTATATTTAAAAACAAGAAGAACGTGTGAATAATATTCTTCTAAGATTGGTTAGCGAAATACTAATATATATTATATTAAGCTAAATAAAGAAAAAGTGCAACATTAAGTCTACCAATCACCACTGCATTAAAAAGAGGCGGGACGAATGAGCCGTGTAAATTAATTCACAATGTAATAACTTTGAAAAAAATATATGAGTATTTCAAAGCAGAATGTTGCTCCGATCACTTACTCTTATTCCGCTTAACTTGATTTTAATATTCCTATTCAACGTTAACGAAGCAAAGGAAATCGAAAAAGATAAAGTACAGGAAGTAATATACTCAAATTCCATTCGAGGCCTGTCTGAACTTCGCGAGATTGAGAATTCCTATATGGAGCATTTGAATAACTATGTCAGAGCTCTACAACAAAAAATCAAAACTCTCAGAATGTATGGTATATTTTATAATCCAACTCTTGAAATTGGAATGGCATCTTAACTTTTAATCAGTTTTATTAACTCTATAACTAAGGAAGATCAGGACCTTAAAGTGGATCGATATAAATATGTGTCCAATCCCCTAAATTGTTTGGGACTTGTAAGACGAGCTCATCAAGATTGGCCCAAGTTGATATCTTACTTAAGAGATCAAGGAAATGTAATGGGTGTGAACTATATTTGATACCAGTTTTCTTTGTTTCATGGGAAGCTAGAGCACATTTTTGTATATAATCACTGCAAAGTTTGTTCGCCATCTTTAGCTTCCCATGAATATTAAACAACAGGCTTACAGGCTATGGGCTTACTTAAATATTTTGCAGTCAGTATCGAGGAGCTGAGTAAGCTTGTCCATCGTACACCCAACGCAAATGATATGGAAGAAGCCCTAATGGGAATGGATAGAATTGAGCACTTCTACGACCTGAAGTCATCGGATATGGCCCAGGGTCTTGTGGCAGGTCAACAGCTAGGGTAAGCAAGTTTAGTTTTAGCTCTATTAGATAATAATAGTAATAATAACTCTACAGCTCGCGAATGCCAGCTCCCGACTGCATGGCTCTAGCAGACTATATGTACAAACGATCAGAATTTGGACGTGCGGCCGAGTGGTATCGACTAGCCTTAAGTGTATTAAAGAAGCCACAAAATAGAATAGAATTTCAATTTAATGCTCCAAAACGAGAAGAGCTTGAAAATATGTTTGTGAAAAGTCGACTTCAAGAAGGTAAGCTCAAGAAAGGAAAAAATGTTGTGTGCTTATAAACAATTATTTACCATCAGGTTCCGTTGACAACTTGAGTGACTATCTGAAAGAACTATCTGAAGACCCGGAGACTTCATTGGTGCCATTAAGACCACGGAAATCGTCCACTGTAATTGAACAGGGCTGCCGGGGAAAGTTTCCACCAGGTCCTCAACTGGTGTGTCGCTACAACAGCACCAGCACTCCATTTGTGCGAATAGCTCCTCTGAAGGAGGAGGAGATCAGCAGAGACCCACTTATCTGGCTATATCACGACGTGATCTACGACAGTGAGATAGCTCAATTGACGAATTTGACCCTAGAAGAGATGACTCTGGGCATCACTGATAACTATACGACTCCAGATCGGGTAAGTCGCCTCTTCCACTTCAAAGTCACCGACGACGATGGCGGGAAGTTGGACAAGACGTTGGTGAATCGTATGGCGGACATATCGGGCCTCGATGTGGGCAATACCACCTCGTTGGCCAGAATCAATTACGGACTTGGCGGTTATTTCCAAGAACACAGTGACTACATGGACATTAAGCTTCATCCGGCAAGTAGCATTTTGCATATAAATATATATAATTCATTATAAAGCTGGATCATCCACAACACTTAGGAACTGATTGAGGAAGGGGATCGACTAATGACATTCCTGTTCTACGTATGTTCTAAACTCATTACAATTTCTATAGAAAACAGACTACCTAACCAATTTACATCTTTCAGATAACCGATGTTCCAGTGGGTGGTGCCACAGTTTTCCCCGCCGCCAAACTGTCCATTCAGCCGAAGAAGGGATCCGCGCTCTTTTGGTACAATCTGCACAATAATGGTGACCCAAATCCATTGACCAGGCACGCCGTTTGTCCCACAATTGTGGGCAGTCGATGGGGTTAGTTGTATCTTAGTTCTCAACATAAATATCATATTGCAATTTCCTTTTTTAGTACTAGTCAAGAGCATGTTGAACTACGAGCAGATGTTCAAGAAGCCCTGCTACAAGTAAACCATTCTATGGAGCATTAAAAAATTATTTTTTCTAAATCTACACAGATAGTTTTAATTGATGTTTCAAAATGCAAATGATATTGTTATAAGCTAATGTTATATCTTAAGTATATGAACTGAATCTCTAATAAGATTCCCACTGGTAAAGTTAAAATACTTCTTAAGTTCATAGCTAATTGAATAAAAATGTTAGCCAGCTTATGATGAGCCACAATATGAGCCAAATGACTGGCTGTGTCATTATAATAGGTTCAGTTCAATGGATATTATCTCCTCAATTTACGTCTTCCTTTCCATTCGCATTCGATGACCTACTAGGTGGCACATAAAACCACCAGGCGCACGCAAAAAAGACCACGGATCCCAGTTTGCAGATCAGCGCCAATAGCCACATATATCTGTGGAAATTATGAGACATTATAATACTTAATACGTTCATGGAAGTAAGGGCCAAAAACATACCGGCTGATATAGAAATTATCGTAGACAAGACAAGCTCCTCCGGCATTCTTATCGCAGGACTCTTGCCACAAAATGCACGACTCGTCAATCAGGGCGCCGAAAATCAATGGAGCTGGTATGGTGCCCAGTAGTCGCACCTTTATCCACTGCAGACCCAACGCGAAAGATCGCTGATCATCCTGAACACATCTGCAATCAAGAAGATGTGGATATTTCAAAGTTAATTATTTAAAATTAACTAGAAAAACTCACCTCAGTGTGGCCGACAGCGCGGGCATGGTGGCGAGGAACGTGAAGACCATCAGGATGAAGCAGAGGGCCACGAAGAGTGGCAGAGTCTGGCAGGTGGAGTCGCACTTCCGGTTGGTGGCATCTGGCCGGAGGTAGGAGGTTTCAGGGAACGGACTGCCCTCCTCCACCCAGCCAACGTGTGCGATGCAGCTGCAGTTGTGGTAGCGCTTCAGGCTGTCCGAGTGCTCCTCCTGGGTACATCCTGCGTAGCATGGACTGTAGTACATGACGCCATCGACGCCACAGATTGGATCGTAGTTGGTGCGACTGCAGCCGCAGTTGGAATTGCAACTCGCCACCAAGGCGGGAAAATCGCTACTGGTCTGCATTCTATAGCCAGTGGTGACGCCAGCAAACTTCGGATTTGGACAAGAAACCAGGAAGCTAATGGTAAAGAGTGCCGCCACCGTGGTGGCCAGCAGGCACATCTTGATAATTCCTCTGCAGGCCAGATTCCATTTCTTTACCAAATAGCCACCAAGGAAGGTGCCACCGCCTCCAGCTGGCACCGTGATCAGACCCATCACCAAAGCCGAGTACATGGGCGAAATGCTGAACTGATTCTCGATCTGCTTGGGCAGGAAGGCGGCGAATCCGGCTATCACCAGACCCTCCGTGGCTCCGGCCAGGTTCAGGAAAAAGAAGGTGGGATTAGCCAGCAGGCTGAGCACCGCACGCGGCAGTCCCCTGACCACTTTATTGGAGTCATCCGCCTCCGATATGGTGGCATGTGCCTCGGACACCCTTTCCAGCTGCAGCTTCTCCGCGCCGGGAAGCAACTTGGGATACCCGAAAATGGGCAGGGCGACGAGAAGGCACATGGCGGCTGCAAATATGAAGCCCAGCCACCAGGCTCCAATCCACACCTTGCTGTCGCTGGTCAGGCTGAGTCTGCAAGGGGTCCAGATGGGCTCAGTTAGAAGGGATCTATTTTACTAAGTTGCTTAGTTTAAGTCTATTGAAATACATCAGTGAAACAAATACTATGGCTACCAATGCTTTTGCGGCCTGTAACATTTTTAAATGGCAATTCAGTGGCTCCAACAATATTAACTCAACGTAACCCCGACCACTCGTAAACATGTTCAAAATCATAAACAAAATTTTCATGTTCCCCACATTATTTACGTACTGGGGGGCTAAGGTTGAGCAGACATTATGACTTATGGCATCACCTTGACAATAAGCCATGCGGTGGTATCCGTGTGGACTGGGATGCAGATGGGTTTCTGTTTCGGAGCACGGCAGTGCCAGCCATCCAACCATCCAAACTCCCAACGTCCCACCGTGAAGGTGAATCAAACCAATGCTCATTCTCATTCGCACCTTATTTCCTCGTTGTCAGCGGGAATGTTGTTTTATTACTCTCTGGAGATATTTACACGGCGAGGTGCTTTGTGGCATTTGCCGTTGCCGGGTAACAAATAAGCTCCACAGCATCGGCCCCATCCCCATCCCCATTCAGGCTCCACTCCCCCAAGGCCAGTATTAAAGTCACCTGCTCTTTATCTCCATCAGCACTCCCTTTTTCATCCGAGGGCGCTAAGTCGCCCGATTAATAACAATCATTGCGGGCTTATCAGATGCACTTACTGTACGGGGTCCACGGTCATCCAATCCGTATAGATGAGCAGCAGTTGTCCTCCAAATACGTAGCCAATCGCAGGTCCAACGGTCGCCATTGTGTAGTAGATGCCTGCAAGCAAAATCTTTCAATTAAACTTTAACTTCAGTGAACATTTGTGAGGGCAATTCGTCAACGATTCCGTAGTCATTCCAATTATCATTATCAAATAGTCACATCTTTACTTTGCATGTGATAGGTCTTGATTTTGATACTCCTGCTTGTACAGTGCGTTTCAAAGTTTTAAGGAAAGCCAAAACAGTTTGTAAACATATCATAATACATATGTACATATATATACGATATGGAAATATACAATAAAAATCCCATAAAATATAAGATTAGCTTGAAGTGCCAAGAACTATTGAGGAGCGAGTAGCCATTCAGCGGATTGTGCCTTTATTTAATATATTTATCTTTGAAACGCACCGTGCAATCACATCCTGGAGCTATCCCACCAGCCCCAAAAGGGAGCAAAACTGCCGTGGAGAAGCGAATTTCAATTGTCTCAATGCCAGACAGCGATATCCAGGAAGGCAAAGCGGCAGAGCGGCGATGCTGGACGGGTTTGATAATTTCGCTGTCGTCTTCGGATGGCACGATAAACCTAACTAAGAGGCAATAAATTTCAGTTGCCGCTGGCTCTGCCCCAGACCCGCGTCTCATCTGAGTCAGCAACAATGTGGCTCTTTAAAATTGGGTCAACCGGGGGGAAAGGAAGCCGGCTGACGAGCCGAGAACCCTCGGCAGGATTGGGATCGAACTGTGGACGCTGGGGGCGCGACAGCAAATAGCAAATAGTATTTACTCCCTTTGTAGCCGACGTCGTTTGGCAATAAGGCGAACAAAAATAAATATGCATGTGTGAGCGCAACTAGCAGATGCTTTGATATCGCATCCCGGACCCCCAGCCCAATCCTGCCCAGAAGTGTGGGTATTTGTGCATACTTCATTTGTTGTGCGACTGCGGCAGACAAAAGTTTGGCGCATCTTATCAACGGCTGCGTCGTTTGCAACTTACCCAAGTAAACAGATGACATCTTCTTTGAGACGTTCTCATCGATATATGTGACGCCCAGCGTGAAGAGGGGCGAGGCTCCGGCTCCGTGGAGCAGTTGGGCGGCCAGGAAGAGCCACACCGTCCAGGTCAGACTCTCGCCCTGTCCCTCCCCCATTTCGTTCAGTTCGCAAGCGGTCTGCAAAGATATGCGATTTAATCGGAGGAGGTCGCCATGGCCATGGCTGGTCTACTTACCATCGAATGGCTGGAGTTGGACGCCACTCCCGCTGGCTCGCACACATTCGCCTCGGCAATGGTGGCCCGGTAGTTGCCCACCAGGAAGTTGGGCAGGAGGAAGACCAGCGATCCCATGCCCATCACAATCAGTCCGATGGCGATGAAGCGCGGCTTGGAGGCTCCACGTCGTCCGCCGTAGTAGGTCACGGGAACCAGGCAGGCGAAGGAGGCCAGATCGTAGCCACTGGCCACCAGTCCCATCTGCCGGGAGCGGAGTCCAAAGCGACGCTCAATTGTGGAGATGGACACATTGATCAGACCGTTCACTATGAGACCTGGCGAGAAAAGGTTTCTTTCAAACATTATTAGAAATTCCGATATATTTTAATTAGTAACTGGGAAACTTCGCTTTCACGAAATACGCGTTCACATGGAAGCGTTCACCCACTACAAACAGCATAGCATGCTTTTCAGGATCAGCTTACTGAATACATATCCCAACTTATTACCAAATCCATGATATATGGAAACTGAACTTGTGCACAGGTGACTTTTTATTACAGTCCGAGTTTTCGATAGACAAGGATTTCTGTACTGTGGCACCTTTCGCTCAACATTCGGGCATCCTTCCATGAGGATCATCCCCCAGTGCAGAGATATGACATGGTGTATGATGTAACTCCATGGCAGACTATCAACAGATTGTCCCACAATAATAGAGAGGTACGGGAAGGGCGGAAGTAGTCCTGCTGAACATGGAGGGAGGGGAATTGAGTGCTACGGGGGCGGGTCATAAATTAAATATCTGCACGACAAATTGGTTTTGAGGGCTTAGCCGAATTTCCTATCATAAATAAATATCTGTTAGTTGCGCCCTCTGTTAGACCGCCCTCCCCCACCTGCAAGGCCATTGTTGCTTAGAATATTTCTTTTTTCTACAACAAATTCAATTTATTTTTCAATAATCGCCAGGAAGAAGAGCTCTGCTGGTCATCTTCGGTTATAAAGGTGATAGAAAGCGGAGGGTAACTTCGTAGCGGGAGGAATAGATATATTGTCGGTGGATGGGGACACTTACAAGTCATTTACCCCACTAAGTGCAATAATTTAATAAATCCCATTGGAAACCTCGAGACGGGGAGGTTTTACTCTGGAGTGGGAGTGAGAATGTGACCTTTGACTTGAAGTATGAAGTGAAGTGTAGACGGCTTTATTGGATACGTGACTATCTAGGATTTTGCATGTGCATCGATGCATTCTCCTAGGGATGCGTGTGATGCACTGGATACAAACTGTTTGCCTAATTAGCAGTAAAGATATTTACATTAAATTACTACAAATTTAAAGCGTAGAACTGAATAATTGTACATACATGGTAATCAACTAACTAAATAGTACAATACCATATTGTATCTTAGGATTACTGCTTAAGCAGCTATGCATTTATAAGAATTGATCTCCAGAATCGAAATATACACATGCTCACATCTTCCGCATCACTCCCATTTCTAATTCACGCATATGAATTATACGGCCAAATTACTCGTTTCCATAGGAAGATGCTGAATTCGAAGCCATAAAAACAACAATAAACCATTTGAAATGGATGCACGACGAGCGCGGAACGCGGCTATCCAAAATTGTTGCGGATGATTTATGTTAATACCGTGTCAACTGATTAATATTTTCGGTCACGTGCCGCCTCATCCGCATCCGCATCCGTAAGCCGAGCCACGGGCGAGCAGTTGTTCCAACTCTGTGTCACCCGCAACCAGCCGGAAGCCTTCTCGCGTCGAGGGTCAGTCGGAGGCGGGAACAGGAGCCCATCCCATCCAGCAGCCAAGTGCAACAGATGCCAGCCGGCCATTCGAGCTGCAAGAACTGCATGGATGGACTCAGTTTGCTTCCAGCACACGGCCAAGGCATAAATACTGGGCAGGCATCCTGCCGGAGATGTCCGCGTGAATCGCTGCTCAAGCGATCAGTGCAGAGCCACATTGGTCTTCCCAAGCGAAAAATCCTTTACTTCAAGTTTAAAGCCTGAACTAACTTTAGCTTTCATTGAAAAACCCTATGAACTATTCAAAACTGTAGCATCAGAGGATTTTGATGGCATATTGATGCCTACTTCTCTAAGGAAGTACTTTCCAAGAAAAGGATGATAATTTAATCAAGTTGGGTCTTCTGGCACAGCGTTCCCTCACGTTTGCATCTCAGTCCTCGCTGGCAGCCGTCCAAAAGTGGTAGAGCCGAGTGCACTTCTGCAAATTTCATTGAATCGCTGGAACACAGCCTAATCCCCCGGAACAGCCATAAACGTGTCGTCAGCTTTCGTGAAATTGGCGAATTTTAATTAACCGCTTGAACCCATTAGGAGCGGGGAAACTGCTGGCGAAGCTGGGCCGTAGCCATGGGCACCAGTTCCAGTACCAGTACCAGTACCATTACCAGTAGCAGTATCAGCTTCAGTTTGGCTCAGCCGGGGATCTGGAGTTGGGTAAACAGCGATTAACATTGTTTTGATTTATGCCGCTGCCCTCTCGCTCTCCGGATTCCCCCAATGCCGTACTCCAGAGTGACGCCTATGACAACGTCAAGGGGCTGGGCCCCACAAGCCCCCATGACCAAATCCTTTGGAAATCGCTGGCGAAACTGGGTCCATTTACACTTCCAGGGGCCTTTCAAACTATTCAAAGAGCGGTGATTTTTTGAGGTTAATGCATCCTCGGGCTAGAGCATCATCCGCACCTCGCCCGCTCCAGGCATTATTAATTTTTAATTCGCTTCCATTCACAGGAGCTCCTGCCCAGCTCCTTGGGCGCGTTCTTATCTGTTGCACACAGTCCTGCTGGCCGAGGCTGAGAATGCCCAGGATGCTAATGAAGCGATGCGGATGTCCTCATCGCCTTCCCATTGCATTGTCTTGGCCAACTCGAGACTTCTCGAATACAGGCTGGCTGAAAGTTTTCTTAGCAAAAGTTTGTCTTGTAATCAAGAAAAATATGGCCATGTTGATTCAATATACTCAAGACGGCAAAGGTGGATCGGGGTCTGCTTTGCAAATATTATTTCAAGCTCTTAAGTCGCACGACAAGTTACCCCAGATTGCCATACTTATTCTAGATTGTGAATATTGTTTTATACGAGGAACTTTAAACCCAAGCTGAAAAGTAGAAACCATTTTTGAATTATCTTTATCCCGATTACCGTTTTAGCCTTAATTATAATCACTTTCAGCATTTAAATACGATTGCTTTATCCATGACATGTTTTATATTTAACGTATAGCATAACTTAAGCAACTGAAATTTAAAGATTCTATAACTCCACTGTGATGATTAAGGTTAAGTTACGCAGTCCACAGAATTCAAAAAGCAAGCGAGCGTGGGCGCAAAATTCGCGCGACGGACCATTTAATGAAATTAAGTAAGTAATTCGGAACGAGAAAATATCACCTTGGAGAGCACCGCCCCAGCAGAGCCAGAAAAGAGCCCACTTGGCGGTGCAGAAATGCTGGAGCCACGCCGGATTCCAGCCGCACCATCCGAATCGCTGGCAGTCCGCAACGGAATCTGCTCCGGAGGAGGCGCTGCCCACCCGACTTGAGCGGGCACTATTGTTGTTATTCACATTGGAGCACTTGGGCTTGGGAGCCGCCGCGGTGTTCGAGTCCAGCTCAATGGTAGCCTCAGACATGGTCTCACTTTCTGGTGCCGCACAACAAGCCGCGATACGAATGCCGAATGCCGAATGCCACTGCGATCCGCACCGAACGACGGCCGGAAACTGACTGAGCTCAGATATTCAAACCGCCGCGGACAGCAGCTCAGCCCGACTTTGCTGTTAAGGACTCGTCGCTAACAGGGCTCTGTTGCAGGAAACCAACCAACAACCACCCTGCTGTGCCGACACCCACTCGGAGCATCTCGGATTCATGAATGAACCACCCACCCACTCAGTCAGCTCCTCTCCTCTCGCTTGCTCGCACCTATCAACAGTTGTCATGACACTGCCTTTGCTCACCGTATTATTCTTGGGAATCGTGGGGCAACGATGGGGCAGACTCCCCAGAGGAGTCACTATACTTCCCTCTTATCGGATAAAATCATTTTTCCTATTGGGAAATGCCTATCGAACTCCAGCTTGAGTTCATGTGAGCTATTTGCCATTGAATTCGCCCAAAAACACGATTATCTCCAGCCATTAAAAATAGTTTTTCACTTAAAGGCATGTGTAGTTTCATTACAACTTTCATGTTTATTCAATAAATTTTTAGGTTTAGTAGTTTTTTTCTAATTCATAAACTTATTTTATGTAAATAGGTACTAAACTTGCCAATGTTAAACAAAATCATAGCTATTGACAAAAAACAAATTTCGGATCAAGAGTAAACAAATTATCCAATTGGCTTGGTGGTGAATTCAGATGGCCAAAGAAAGGGTTCTAGTTTAAGGCAAACTTCTAGCGACCGGTAAGCACCAGAAATATCATCCATTTGTAAATTAAGTACAGTACATTTTTTAAGTAATTCCACTTAACTGAAGAAGACACGCTGAAGCATTTTCGATTGGTACGTTTTGGAAAATATTTGAAAAATTGGTTTGCTTTTGACTACTTAAATACGTACGTAATATATAGATATATACACATATCCATATTGTTACACTTAATGTATTAAACAATAAAATGGTAAACAAAAACAAAAATCGTTAACAAAGAGCAAAAAAAATATATCAGAGCTCGGTGTAGCTTCGTCTAGACTCCCCTTTTTCCAATAGAGAGTACACACGCGGTATTTACAAGATCTTCCATGAATCAAAATATGTTTACATGTTATTATATATATATATATCTCTATGTGTGTGTTGCATTTAAATTGTATCAATAACGTTTAGGTAGGTCCATTAAAGGCTGACATTTTAAAAAGTTGCACGGTGCTGGGAACACATTGGTGTTGATGGGGATGACTTGAGCAAGTTTACTTATAGCAAAAGTGTTCGAATGTACACTCCCTGTACTTAACTCATATGGTTTGGTTATAGATACACGTACAGTGAACGCTTTGGGCACTACGACAAATATCACATAATGAGATCAATTGGATTTATTTTGGGTACTTTTGTTTTCGTTTGCGCTTCATTTCCGTTGTTAAGTTTTGGGTTGTAAAATAAGAATGTACGATTAATTGCACAATGTCATTGAACTTAAGACTTCCTTCTGTTTTATGGTTGGCTGGTGGGCTAATTACAAAATTAGTGGCAATTCGTAAGCTGATTAAGTACCTAATTTAAGTATGCTTTTGTTTTGAAAGTTGTTCCAATTCATAATACTTCAGTTGATCCGATCTAGTTAGCACTTAAGATTTGAGTTGAGAAAGCGGGAAGGAATAAAAAAAATAGAAAAATTGCACTATACATAGGTGTTAAGTAATCCTATGGTGGGAGAATTTCCCTTAATAAATGGTAACAATAGTGCTTTTCGTATAGTAAATATTAACTTAAGTAACAATGTGTTTCCGGTGGCTGTATTCTGATTATGGTTAATTTTCATTAAGTATTCATTTGAAACGGTAAGTACAAATTTTCATCCACACGATTTTCGCTCCCTATACCTATTCAACTTTTTAAGAGTCAGCTATTAACGGCACACTAAGCCAAATGGTGTTTCGATAGGTTTTTATGGTTTAAATATATGTATATGTGTGTACATTTAAAATGTTGTTTTTACATTTTACATTCATTAAAGTATATCCGTTTTTGGGTCAGTACTCACTTCAGAAAAGGGTCACGAAAAATAACAAACCATAAGTTCTTAATTTCGCGTGCAATTTTCTTGAAGTGAATATTGAGCATTAGATTTGCATTCGTATGCCATAAGTATAATTAAAATATATTTATATTTTCTTGTGTTATAAAACTTAAAATGAATTTAACCAAAAATAAAACAAAGTTAGTAATAACTTGTGTACTTCATCATATTTTGTTGAGTTGGGGGGACACCCAAATTTTCATTATCATTATCAACCTTGACTTCCTAACCATTTTTCAAGGCGGGTGGGGTACAGTACGAAGGAGAGCCATGGGAATGCTGGGTGGGTGTTAGATTTAATCGTTTAAGTTGTGTGTTTTCACATTTCGCATCATTTTGCTTTCCATGTAGTTACGCATTACGCATTTCCATGTATTTACGCACCAAATATATTTAGTTGATCCTAGGGCCCTTTAAACGATATTTGTAGATGTTTCCTCCTGCTCTTGCTGTTTATCCTCTGGCAGAACGCAATCGGCTACCTCGCTGTGCATTACGATTTCAATATCGCCCAGTTCGGGGACATCCTCCGCCTTTAGCGCCACATCCTCTGCCCTCGATAGCTTCTGTAGCGTGTGAAGCGTTTCCTCATTGATCGTGTGCTCCGGCGAAATGTTTTCCTTTAGCTGACGCTTCAGGCTGAGCGGGATGTACGCTGTATTGCACTCCGGCGGGGATGGCGATTCTGTGCTGCTGGACGCGGACGTCCCCGTGCTCAATTCACTTTGAGGAGGTGCACTGGACGCTGCCTGTTCACCGCTGTTGTTGAAGGAGATGTTCTGGCGAAAGACTTGCTTGCTGAAATCCCTCAGCTGTCTGGAGGCTGCGTCGAGAAAGGAAGAACTTCCCGTCTCCGTGCCTGAGGACGTATTTTGGCTGGCGTTGGAGATGTTGCTACCGGTCAGAGAGGCCCACGATGCAGGAGCAGTTTTTCGCGCAACCGAAAGAATTGGATTTGGATTGGTGGTAGAACTGGTGTCGCCTCCTACGACGCTTGTCGCTGGAGCATCTGTCAAAGCAAAATGTACAGGAATTATTATTATAAGAAGTTTGGTAATATCGGACTTTAAATACTTAATCCCCTTAATTACACTTATACAGAAGGTAAGCGGTTTCAAACAGCTTTAAAATAATTAAATGCAAAGTATATCATAGCTGTTAATTAAATGGAACATCTTTATGGAATTTTTTGAATATGAATTCTTTATGACTACAGTTATCCCCTTCTAATAAATATAATTTACATAAAAAGCAACTAACTCTGTGAGCTGTTTGTGATCGTGTTGGACGCGGGCAGGTGGCTTATTTGACTGGCCTTAGGTTCCGGCGACGAGCCAATGTTGAATATTGTAAGCAGCTTGTCTACCGCCGACGGATTGGCTATCCACGATGTTTTCCGGGTACGCGTCGGTGGCGCGTTGCTGACGGGCTCGGAAGGCGGCAGCGGCTCTGGCTCACTTTTCAAAACAGTATTCGTATTGCTCGCCGCAGCAGCAGCAGAGAGAGCAACCACGCCGGCCGATTCCTTGGTCAACGTGATGTCATTATCGCTGAATACGACAATGGGACAGATCCTTTGTGAAACTTCAGGGCCAGAAACTACAGAGTCTGTAACGTCGGTGGAAGCTGACGTGCTTCCATTGCTAGTACTACTGCTCCCGCTGCTGCTGCTGCTGCTTCCCGGCGAGGTTGAGCTTGAATGACTTGAGGTGGGTGATATGGTCAGGTGCGGAGAAACCTTTTGCCCGGCTACCTCTACGGCTTTTGTACTTATGTGTGCGTCTGTGTTATCGCCGGACTCTACAATAACCACACTGCTTACTGGCACGGCAGCAGCTGCCGCCTCCACCGCCTCGGACAGCAGGACCGCCTTCCTTGCCGATTTCAGCATAGGGGTGGGTGGTAGATCAATTGGTGGCGTATGTGGCGTAATCGGTGGCAACTGCCGGTTGGCGATCGGCACCTGGGGATCCTCGTAGATGCGAGACACTTGGAAGCGAGACCTGGGTGACACCGACAGCCGCTTGATCGTCTGCGTCGAGGAGGTAACAGATGCCATGGCGGGCAGAGAACTAGAGGTCGGCAGGGCCCCAACGGCATTGAGACTGTTCTGACTGCCACTGGGCGATCCAATGGTGGGTATGGACATGCAGCTGCTGGCCGAGCGCGGCGGGTGCGGGGGCGGATGCTGGGCCAGCGGCGAGATCAGTGGACTGGCCACTTCTAACACGCGCGAAACTTGAAAGCGGCTGCGGTTCGGCGAGGACGACGGCGATATAGTGGGCGGACTTGGTCCCGGGGAGCGGAGACGAGGTCCACGCTTTACCTCCAACAGGGCAGTCGGTGTGGGCAGGGCGGTTGCTGCAGCGGTCGCGGTTGACGTTGCAGTCACCGTGCCAGTAGCCGCATCTACAAAAGGGCGACTGTGGCAGGTCAACGAGATCTTCCGCGAACCCAAGTAGTAACTGCCGCGACACCGTATGCCCGGAAGGCTGCCTCCCACATTGCTGCCGCCGCCAACCATGTTCGCCGTCTTCTCCGCCAGCTCCTGTGCTTGCCGCTTCTCATTTCGCGAGCACAGGGAGCGAACGGTGCCCAGCACCCTTGTGTAATCCAAGTGCGCATCGCTGCCGATCTGAAATGAGAATGAAGAAGGATTGAAACCAATCAGTACGGGCATATTCGAGTTCTATTCGATAGCGGATCGTTTTTATTTTAAGTAAAGCAGATACTGATTGAAGTAGTCAGTTGTGGAATTGCTCAGTTAACCAATGAACAGCTTCGTAAGGAGCTTTTGTATTGGAACAAGCATTGTCGGGGTATAACTGAGCAAGTGGACAAGAGGTTTTTGTTATCAAGGCGAACGAATCTTAAATTAAGCTAAAGTGAAATATTAGCTAGGGTTCAGGCTACGCAAACTACTAAGACCAGGTGGTCAGAGTGCGTTTCAGTTGTTAGAAATGTTATCGGATGCAAGCCAAGCGTGATCAAAGGACTGCAGTTGAGCTCAGAGGGCAGTAGGCAGAGAGTTGGAGGAGCAAATTGATCGGGGGTTTACTTACGCTCTCCTGGGGCAAAGGCGATGGCGGTATAACATTTACTATCGGCACTATGGGCAACTTTAACGGAGATGAGAGAGGCAACGACAACAGTGACCACAAATGAAAACGATTTGATTAAAAATTCAAAATCAAAACTGTCAATGCATAAAACGTCTATAACACAGCCATCCAAAACTAAGCACGATATTGTATGAAGTCATGGTATCAGTATGGATAGCTACGGCCAGCCGCAGCTTTTATACCCTTGGCAATAATAATGTCTTTAATAAGCTTATTATTTATATTGCACTTCTCACAATAACTAAAATCGAAATAGAATTATTTAATTTATTAAATAATTACCAAGAGTATTACCAAGAGTAAATAGCTGAGTATGTGGAAAATGTCAAACACTTTTGTTGAGCAAATATTTCAATAGTCACTGTTAAATATTACTTGTGAATCTACGAACTTTCATTTGCTTTACAAAAGATGCAGTATGTAATGGAAATGGAAACTCAAATTCTACCGTGGCCACGCATTGAACACTCGGCTTCAATGGACCAATTCCGGGGCCAGATAACTTACCGTCAGTCGTTTTGGCTCATCGTTAATGTCGATCTGCGTGAGCGTCTTATTGGATTTGAGCACCTCGGCGATTATATTCAGACTTTCCACCTCTAGTTTATTGTCGCGAATGTCAATACGCTGGAGCTTGCTGTTGCCACCAAAGGTGAGGATTGAGGCCAACGTCTCAATCCCCTTGGCGTTTAGATGGGCACTCTGTAGCCCCAACGTTGTCAGAGTGGTGTTTTTCGTCAATTTGTCCTTTATGGTTAAAAGGAACTCATCGGAGAGACAATTCTTGCCAATATTAAGCAGTTCCAGCGAAATGGTCTTCTGCAGCAACTCAGCCACAGCAGGGGCGCAATCCTTGCTTAAGTTATTATTCCACAAAGTAAGAGCCTTCAGTCCGCTAGGCGATCGGTTGGCTTCCAGGTTAGCCTCGGCCAGCTGCCGGCGCGAAAGTGTGTCATTTTTAGTTAGCTTTTCCGCAAACTTGGGATCAGCGGAGGCGGTAGAGCTGACACTGTTGTTACTGGCTCCGCTACTCATGCCGTCGAGCGAAGTCTCGCTGCACAGGCTGTCGGAGCTCTGCGATCGGTTGCGGCTGGACTGATTAAGATATGCACAACTGGACTCCGTGCGTCTTAAGCCAAGGCTTGCTCCTCCCGGCGACGTGGACGGTGGTGGAGGCGTGGGCGCAGGACTGGGAGACGGGTAGGAACTGGGGCTCAGTTCTTTATCCTTCAGGAGACACTCCTCGGCGATGGTTACTTTTGGGGGCGGGAATGCATCTTCAAGTTTGTCCAACGCGGGGACTACTGGCGCAGATGTGAGCGTCGCTGCCTCCTGGGCGGCAAGAAGGCACTCGGTGGACTCCGTGGCTATGGTAGCCGTCTCTATGCCACACATCTCTTTTGTCATGTCATCCAGCCGGGTGCTATCCAGTAACACCGAAAGGCGGCTAAACTCGTCAGGCAGATGGCGACTTATGTCGCCTTCAGATGCGCTCTCGAACGCCGAGTCCGTGCTGTGCGTGTCCTCAAAGTCGTCACCAGCCTTGGCGTTTTTGTTTACATCCAGTGGACGAGAGCCAGCAGCCCCCGCCACAGCACTGCCATTGATACAGTCGCTTTCCTCGGCCGTGACTTCAAAAATTGCCGCCGGCGAGGAACCACTAGGAATGTTTTCGATATCCAGTGGCGGTGGTACGACTGAAATGGTTGCTGATGCTCCTGCTTCCGATGGCAATTGAATTGTATTATTATTGGTATTGTTGTGGGAATTGTTAGCATTGTTATTATTGTTGTTGTTTATGATGTTGTTCTGTACACAGGATTCATTGGGTTCAACGGTTTTAGCCTCTGTTGAGAGAGTAATATCTGAAAAAGAGAACAAATTCAGCGCTGTTTGATGAAACTGTTCGAGGACAAAGTTATTCACCACATAAGTTGCGTTCGTTTTGAGAACATTGCTGTTGTTGGTGCGCTGGAGACAGCGGCTCCACAGTTGCACTTGCAACAGCTACCGTTTCTGACTCCATCGGGTTGGATGAGATCATGGCCGGAGCGACTTCGCCTTCTGCTGGAGTCTGCTTGACGGTGTTGGGTTCATAAATCTCGTTGCTGATTTCGCTGATGTCCTCGGAGCAGCAGGCTGCCAGGGTGTCGGTGGATATGTTTGAGGGCGCCTCTTCGCTGCTGCTTTCGCTATTCATGGAGAGCAGCTTGTCCAGCATCGACTGACCGCTTCCGTTTTGGTTGCAGTTTCTGACAGTACGAACGGTGTCCTCCGTGTTTTCGTCGTCGTTATCATTATCTAAGTCCACAAGGACACCTACCGCTGGATCGGTAGATGTCGTCTCCTCCGACGTAGTCTCGGGAATAGTGGCTTCGTGCGCAGGAGACTCACCATCGACGACGTCTTTCGTTTGATTGGTGACAGAGCTAAAGGATGTGGGAATGGTTTCCGGGGGATCCGTTTCCACAGGAGACACGCACTCGTCCACCTCAATGGCACGGGTGCGCTTCAAGGCACCCATTCGTCGCTCCAGCTCGGTGGACTGGAGTATTAAGGCTTGTACGAGGTACATGACGCCCTCGTTCCTTATGTTGTTATTGCTAATGTCAATTAGCTCCAAGCTATGGTTATAGCGCAGCATGTCTGCTATGTGCTGGGCATCTACACAGTCCAAGTCGTTGTAGCCCACCCACAGCTCCTTGAGCATTTTGTTTTGATAGAGACCTCGGCCTGCAAACGACACTAAAATATAATACATACAATCTCGAATATATTTAAATATTGATTACATCTCAGGTTTCTTTGCCTTGGTCTATCTTCACTCAAGGATTAGAAACATGTTGATCTTATGACTAATCGCTATTCCCAAAACGTAACCAAACCCCGTCTAACTTACATAAATGGACGAGTGGCTGTCCCCTAAGACCGCAGTGCTCCAGCTTTAATGTGTGCAGGTTGGCAGAACCGAGGGCCCGCCCAAGACTGTCGGCACCCAACTTTGTTATCTGATTGCTCTCCGCGTTGAGTAGCTGCAGCTCTTGGCTGCGCTCCACCATGTAAGCACACAGTTCCCAGCAGCGCTTCGTCATCTCCACCTTGTTGTAGGAAATGTCCAGTTCATTGGCAGCTTCATAGTATTCGATCATTTGAAAGAGGGCCATCAAGCAGCTCTCGTCCAGCGTGCAGTCGGACAGATCGATGCATTTGTATTGTATCTGGAGGTTGATTTGGCCATTTTACTAATCGAAGTTTGAAGAAAGATGTTCCACCTTACCCGTTTGAAAATCTCCTCGAGGGCTTCGCAATCGTTGGCGGTTAGCTCTTTCCCTTTAAGGGGAAGTAAAGGCTGCCGCGCTTGGTTCAGATCCAGCGCCTTTAGGTGATCCACTACGCTCTCTAATGGCATGGTGTTATGCTTTTTACACGACTGCTGATACTGATCGACAATCTCGGAACTGCTCTTTACAAGGTATACTGAAATAGATAAATTAACTGATTAATACGTATATTAGGGTTCTTTATAGGGTATACTGGGTTTCCTATACAAAAAATGTACATATTCAAGCATTGAGACTTAATGTATAGTATATATAGATCGAAAGTCGACAAGTATTTGAGGCAGTTCTTCTGTTTTGGCCACTCAAGTGTCGCCACTTCAAAAGACAACAAATATATTATATTTGTAGTCCATATGAAAGATAACTAAAACATGTGGCGCGTGCGAGTGCCTGGCTCCCTACCCGAACAAAATCTCCCACTTCCAGCAACCATGGTGACATGATCATCGACAATTGCCGGCGTTGGCATCAAACACATTGAGCGACATAGACAAATTGTCCACACAAAGTAAAAAATTAAATAGAATTGCGGCGGCAATTTCCAAACAACTTGTGTTTTTTCCAGCGGGGTTGGTTGACTCGAAATCGTGAACTTGTAATTTGCGACTCATTTGCGTTGGATACTGTTTGTATACTGCGTATCATTGGGGGGCCAAGCTCGGAAACCGCAAAGTCTGCTCTTTGATGCCAGCTCATGGCCAACAACAGGAACTCTTTTAAATATATGGGTCTATGATGAACGATGCTCGGCGGAATTAAATAATTAAATGTAGTACAAATTCACATAGTCTGTTTTCAAGGGAATTGTGGGTTACTATGATGCATTTTGGACGCATTCAGCGACTACTGCAAGTTCGCTACAAACAAAAGAAAGAACAGTGTGCCAAATGCCAAGTGCACCTTTCTTATAAATAGTTGGAAGCACACCACCGCTCACCTCCACCCAGACAAGCATAGGTTCTTATGAAAAACGTAAACAATTTAATCTATCATTGCATTATCTCGGCACATCGGTGTTAGAGGCAATTAAACGATTCGCTTTAGATCTGCCACAAACTTGGATGCCAACACACAGGCGGCAATGGGAGAGAAGCGAGATTTTGTCAAGAAATCTGTTCACCGATTCCGAAAGATTTTCAGTCTTGGCAGGCATTCAAAAGTGCTTCAGTTCTATTTCATCTATATAATAGTTCCGACCACCTCCGCCAAACCGAGGCTGCCTTGAAACCCAACATCTGTTAAGTGATTCATTAGCGTTGAGTAGAATAATTCAAAATCTGAATTATTACAGATTTCTCACGACCAAGCAGACAATGTGACGACCAAGTTATTTGACGTTTCTCTTTGAATTTTTGTTTAACTATAAATAAGAATGATTCAAACCAATCAAATTAGTATTGGACATTTGGCATTATGGGTCAACGGTCGGCGGAGATACGAGGCATTATATAAACAGACGAAATAGAAAATATATGCTATTTCCAAAGAGTATTATGCTCTATATAACAGACTGATAAAGAAAAACATCTATGTATAAACTATATTTTAAAAGAAAAAAAATCATTTATTATTTATATAGTTTATTTAAACAAGTTGTGTCTATCATTCATTTAACCATTGTGTTGTTTGTCATTCCTGCATTCTTTTCTTTGATATGATATTTATTTGCCGTAATATTTTTTGATCTATTTTTGATTGTTGAAATAATTAACAAATAAACAAAAACAAGCCAAGCCCACCTGAGAATTTTATGCGAAATTACCTAAATAAAGCTCATTTGTCATCACCAACAATTCGTTCGCATATGCCGACTTCAAAAGCAAATAAGCCAAGTTATAGATACAAAGATAGATAGCGGCAATACAGGTAAATAGAGCTCATTGGCCTTTGGAGGTGACAAATCCATAAATGATCGATACATTGGAAGGGGAATATGCGAATCGCTGGGATTAAGAGTATGTTTGTTTGTTGATTCGCGCTATCGATCGCATTGATAAATGACTAAGCAACACAAACATTGTAGAATCGCGTGCCGCCGTCTGACTGCGTTTATTAAATGCCTTCTCAATATTTTATTATTCCATCGATTTTTGTGCCTTGTTCGCCGCTGCTACTGACGTTGGCGATTCTCACAAAAGTCACAGCAAAAGTCGAATGTACAAATAGAGAAAACCTACAGTAAGTATACTATAGTATAGTATAGCAAAGCACTCACAAGAGAACCGGAAAAATTGTCCAATTAAATTGCTGTTAATTTAGTGCTAAACATTTACAATGTCTGAATCTTGCTCTCGCCGCTCTGTCATTAAATTTATGGCTACATTTCGGTTTACTGCAAGTTGGCCACGAATAATAGAACAATAGAAGACGGCAAATAATAGATTGCAAGTTAAGAAATTTGGAAAAACAAATTTAAGTTTGGAAAGGAGAAGTTTTAAGGAGAATACTTGCAGGACAAACTGGTTTTGATATCATAAAACTTATTTAGCATTATATTTTTTTCATTTAAGGCACCAAAAGCGAACATATGACCCTAATTAGTGGATTATAAAATATATAGACACAGAATTTTCGTAGCTTGTGGAATTGGGGAAATTGAGTTAGTGTGTTAGCTTGTAATTCCATTCAACCTGTTTTTGACAATGCCTCATTCTTATCTGATTATTGGTATCAACCGCTGCCGTTGACTTGAATTGACAAATTGACTGCCTGAGCGACGCTCGTTTGTCATTATCGGGCAGCAATTCTCAGGCAAAAGCAGACGAAGTGGTTTTGTTTTTTAAGAAGATAAGCGTCTCAATGGTTCTGGCTAGAAAAGTAAATTAAATAAATAAACCACAAACGCCCAAAATCAGCCATAAACACGCACCGGAATTGTAAACAGGCGTGTGCGGCGAAGGCGAGTTTCGTTTTGGCTAAATGCAAACATTTGCGTTATTTGCTGAAAAGCTTACTCATATGTACATGTTTTTAATTTTCTTTATACCCTTTTGCCTTCGAATCGCATAAATTAATTACATCGCCAATGTGCACTAATCGAGCTCGTGACATTTTGCACAGCAATTGATATTCTAGTTATTATCTTTTGTGACGTTTCATTGACCGCTTGCATGTGAGCGTGAATTTGGCTCAAATGAAATTTCGAAACCCCATAACAACAATGGCTTAGCCGTTCAGTATTTTGTTTGCTTAGTGTTGAATGCATTTTAGGAATAAGACAAGTACCTCAAATAATATGCATTAATCGTAGTTTTAAAGCCTTTGACAGTGTTCAAAGCTGTCTTGGAAAATAAAGTTGTATGCATAAGATCATTATATATTTTTAATAAAAAAAAGTTTCCTATGAAAAAGATCAATAATGGTTAGGATTGGTACGCATCAAGTGAATTTTTGTTTTATAATTTTGATTCTTACAGATTGAGATTCTTGAGATTATTCGAATTTAAGTGACTTGGTTTGTCACCTGAATTTGCCACATATTTATAATAAAGGTGCGTTCGTCACACGACTCTTATCTCGCCAAGTCAGGAAAAAGTTGTCGCTTCTTCCAATTATAAATGCGACACAATAATTGAATATTTGTAAATTTTATGCTTAAATCTGTAATTCGATGGAAGTGAAACCCTTTAAGAAAATATCCCATTTACAACCATATAAAAGTTGGCCTAGTTTGGGCCTCAAATTGAGGTTATTTACTGGGATCGGACCTTTCGCTGCTAAACCAACCCGGAAAGTGGATGGAATTTCTATTTGCACAAATGTACTATTGTGCAACGGTACCCTGTGAGTGTGTATGTGTGTGGCTGGCACTTTCATTCTTCGCAGCCAGAATGCCTGTCGTCTGTCATAAGTCTTTTTCCTGGGGCTTCTCGTTCGCTGCTTTTGTTTTAGCGACAACGATGACATCACATACTAAGTAGTTTGTAGGCCCACGACGGCGGAAAAAGAGCAACAAACATGGGTACAAACACACAGACGCAGACAAAGGCGAGAAGGGATTCGAAGTAAACAAACAAACGGACAGCAGCAAGGCAAATACAAAAACACAATCTACACACATAAATAGGGTGTCACCTAAACAGAGGTAAATAGCAACACAAGCGGGGCAATCGTTTAAACAAATTCATAGACATTGCGACGAGACGAACGCGGAGCACAAAGTGGAGCCCACGATAGGCGCCAAGGCAAACTTAAAGCGGAGCAGAAGAGAGCAAAGCAGAAAGCAGTAGCATAAGCAGACGCAAAGGCAAAACGAAAAGCAATGCCGGCTAAAAGAAACGGCGACCAAATAATAAAATAATAATAAAACATGTGAGAAGCGCGAAGCGAACTGGAAAGCAAAAGCAATAAAAACAACGAAAAACGAACGCAACCGTATCTTATCAGCAATTTCTGTTATCGCTGACGTGAAAATAACAAATAACAAAATCAAAGGAAACTCAAAAGCAATAGCACACAAAAAAATTGAACAGCCGGGTATTGAAAACAAATTAAAAACTTTTAAAAACAAAGCAATTTGCGATTTAGCAAAATCAGCTTTTCACGCCAATGAAGAATGTTTATACGCAGTTTATTATGTAGGCAGAAAATCAGGAAGTTTCTCTTCTATCATTTGTATGCCCATTATATTTATATGTATGTTTAAAATAATTAATACATTAATGGAAGTTATTGGTACGTGTGGTACTTCACTTAACTAGGTTATACTCTTTAAAAGTCAATGTTATAAATAATGCATTTAATAGTATCGTTTCCTAAAGACACAAAGTTTATCTTTGTATCTATGCAGGCAAGATACCTGTTGCGCTTCCACGTTAATTAGTTTCTTTTATTAATCTCTTAATCAGCTCCACACTTCTTCTCTTCCAAAATGGAATATGCATTTTCCTTGTGCTTAGCAACAGCAAATAATTCACCACGCTCGAGTAGTAAATAGCCTGTAGAACGCATCTGTCGGATGCAGCGCTTTTCCCTGTTCATTCAGCTGCGGGTAAATGAATATTTCTGCGCATTTTGGCGACTTGGCAGCCACTTGAAATTAGCTGACAGATCTTTCTCTCGGATCCTTTTCGCAACGGCGCCACAATGGGAAACAAATCTATTGAATTGAATGAACTCACAGGAAGTGAAGCGAATGTGTCTCGAATCGAGTCGAATTTTACTTCCGTGTTTGCCCGCGTTTTATCGCCTACGATAAGATCGATAGCACGGAATCCCAGTGGGACTATAGAATGAAAAATTGTGAACTGAACAGTGAGCATATATTGCAAAACCGGAAAAAATCTACCTTCAATTACCCGGAAAGTCCATTCTGGCGCAACCAGATGTTTCTATATTCAGAAACAGATCAATTTTAAATTGGAAATATAGTTGTTACCAACAATATAGAACTTTAGCTCGGTCAGCACTTACAATCAGTTTTTTATAGCGTGCCAAGAATTTCTCCAATTTTTATGACCACAACAACTGTAAATACGATCCGCATGGGTCATCAAAATATTGCTTTACCTATACTACATATACCTTATCTGAATACTAAAACGAACACAAAATAATGGAATACCTTCTATCCATACCAAAATTAAAATTGCGATCATTTAAACTACTATACGAAGTAACATTGCAAAACGTACCTTGCTTCCAAGGATTGGCCGGCTCCAGGTAACCGGTGACCAGTTGGTTATCCGGAAAAGAGACGCGTCGCGCAATGGACGAGGTGAGCGAGCTGTCCGATGATTTTCGCTGCAGGAGACTGGGCGCCGTCGACAGGATGATGCCCCTAGGAGGCAGGCCAAGTGGACCAGTGCCTCCACCGCCCGCTCCTCCTGATCCCGAACTGACGAAATCCGGGCACATGGTCGAGTTGGGATTGGAGGCCAGCGAATCGGTGCGCCACACGGCCGTCTGCTTGGCATCGTGGTATATCTTGATCTTGTGCCGTTGCTGCGTTCGCATCTGAGCATCGAATGCGGTCGCTTCAGTAGCAGCAGCAGTCGAATCAACGGTCGGCGCAGCAGCAGCATCAGCTGTTTGTGCTAATTCCGTTCGCTCTGCCACAGCTGCTGTTGGTGTTGTTCTGGCCGTCGCCGTTTGACCCTCAGCTGTTGCACTTGTTTCCTTTACGCCAGCTGATGTTTCTGCTGCTGCAGCAGATGTGGTTGCAAGGTGCGTGGCAATTGTTGGCTCCGTTCCATTGCCTTCTGTTGTTGCTGTTGTTGTTGTGGATAGGGTAGCTGTGGCTTTTGTTGTGTTTTGCTCTGCAATGTCGCGATTATTGTGCAGCATTGTTGCAAAGCGTTTTCAGTTGCCGCTGTCGTTTTCAAGTTTGTCGCACTTCAAGTTTGCAGAATATCTCGAACTCGTAGTTATTTTTTTGTTGTTTTTTTTTTTTTTTTTGTTACGTTTTACATTTAAATACACTTTATTTACACACACCGACACGATATGCTATCGTATTTTATTTCGTTTTTTTTTTTTTTTTGCTTGTGCTTCAAACGTGCGCTTTTCGTTTACATTTTCGAATGCTTTTATGAATTATTTTTTTTTTATTTCAACACTACAAAATGAATGACAAAAGCAAATTAATTTCAAAGTTATTTGTATGCCGCTCGCCTACAGTTTAAAAGGCGATAAAGTAATGTTCGAATTTGTCAAACGCATCGAGTAATCAGCAGAGCCAGTTTACAAAACACAAAAAATTTTCCGCTCAAAAATTTCCACCGTTTCGAACGCACAGTGGCCTAGGCACAGTTGATCAAAAATTGTACACCCTTCTCTTTATATTCGTAGCTGGATCACTAAATGCTTTTCTCACTTCATTTACTTGATTCAGTAGCAGTTATAAGCTAGATTTATTTGTATAATTTTATAAGTTAATTTGGTCTACGGTATTTTAAACCTTCCAACTAGTTCTTTTTTCACCCCACAGTGCAATGTTAGTGTGAAAACAAAAGAAAATGGAATATTAAAAAAAGAGAGAGAGAGTAGAGCACACGGAACGAGGCGAAGCAAGAGAGCAAAAGAGAATGGCATAAAAACATTACCTAATTGTTATTGTTTTTGTTTGCGTTTGCATAGCCAGAGAAGCGAAACAGAGAGCAAGAGAGGAAAAATCGAGAAAAGCCAGTCGCAGATTGTTTGCGATTGTTGTTTCTTATCGCTTTTCCCCTCTGCACTTTTCGCATTTTTGTTTACCTCGCCAGGTTGCCTTTCTCTCACGCGCCTATGCAAGTGTGGGTGTGTGTGTGTATGCGGCTGTACTGCGTGTAAGTGCGAGTGTGTGCATGTGTTTGTGTTTGTGGGAATAACACGCGCCCTGTTGCATGCAAAACTCAAATTAAAAGGAAAATTGCAATTGGTAATTACACAGGCATTCGAAAGGGACAAACAATTGCACGCTCTTGCTGCTCACTTTTCATCGAATTTTGTTTTAGAATAATACACAAATTACGTCACGCATGTCGGTGTTAGTTCAAAGGAGGACTACTGAGTTGTTATTGTTGTTTTCGAAGGTTTTTCTTTGATTTCCGTGTTTCTTCTGCTTTCAGCTTTTATCAGTTTTGGTCACCTAATTCACATGTTGTATTTGGCGCATTTCGTTTTTACGCACCCAAATCTCTTCTTTATTTTTGTTATACAACTTTTGGCGAAGGATTTTTCTTTGTGCAGCCAATCAGTTTAAGTGGCGTTTTATCGGGCATTTAACCGAACCGTGCTCCATTCAGCATAGCATTCAGCTACCGACCATTAGGCATCCGCTACCCAACAACAACCGATCACAAAGACGTTGAAAATGCGAAAGATAGAAATAGAAACCGAGTTGCGCATTTTCATGCTGGCCGATGAGCGGTGTTGCCAGACTGTCCGGACGCGTATTGGTGATAAAGGACTGTTTATGCTGATATAAAATTCTTGAAATTAGTAAAATACGATATGTAAATTGGCATGAAGTTGACAATAAAGCTGATCTAAGTTCATTCCAACCAACAATTTCATTGAGCAACTTCTGTTGCAACGCATTTTTGAAACGTTCAAATAAGTGGGCATCGATTGAGCACTGTTACTCAAAACATAAAACAAGTATTTACAGTAATTGAATTAAAACTGAGTTAAGCATATTAGCGTTATTAGAGTTTTCGGTCTTTAGAAAATTATCGAACTAACCCGTGACGACGTGCAAACCACTGTAAGCTCTGTCGACAGTCTGGCAACCCATCCACGTGTGCTCTTTTAACGCACCCTCTCGCTCACACTCCCTTAAATCGCACGCAACATACAACATCAAAACAATAAGTTTCTGTACACATGCTCCTGGATTTTCACTTTAATTAGCATCTTAACTGTAAGCCGCACAAGTCATAGCTTTTAATTGCACATTTTAGGCACGATTATCATGCTTATACCACAAAGTTAGCCGTTGCTCTCTTAATCACTCTCTGTATGCCACAATATGATGTCAGAGGAAACCTTTTTCCATACACATCGTAAGAAAATAATAAATTGGAATCCAATACGGCAGCTATCACTGAGCAATTCGTTTGGCAACGGAGCCGTTTCCAGAAAAGCGATCCAAATGTTTGCGCGTTACATTTTAGGGTGAAGTGCATACAGAAAAAAAAAACAAAACTTCTATTTTCAAGGTCACTGTTGAAGTTTTCCAGACACACACGCACTTAGCCCTGCTGTTAGCCACCCACCGCAGCACTCAGATTATTCCGAAAACGAGCATTAAAATTATTCGAAGTGAAGAGGCTTACTTCGCACTCAAATTTAGTTACTGGGTCTACAAAATTTCCTCTGATGGAGCCGCGAAACTGGCGAAACAATTGACGAGCTCTGGCCAGTGTTACCAACTGCTGTAACTTCTCTATACCAAAGTATTTTTGCACAACGCTATCTTGTACGCACACTATACTGCATTCTCACTGCGTCGAGTAGGATAGCAGATAAAGAGAACTAGAATTTAGCTAAAATTTAACATAATGTATTTAAAATATTAATATAATAAATATTATATATTTATATAAATATTAATATTAAAATATTTATAATATAATATATAAATATTAATTAAAATATTAATATAAAATATATAATATATTGAATTCAGTTATAAAAATGGCGTAAAATGACATAGTGGAAATGCATAGTGGAAAACGAACTAAAATACCTTTTCAATATTTTGGTATTTTTCTGTTGCCACACAGCATTCCTTGGCGCACCTGGTACGGTCACACCAATGAAAAGCCAACTCAGCTGAAAGTGAACCCATTTTTATACACAAAAATTAGTAGCTGCAGCGAAATAAGTTGATTTCACCCGACAACTGCGCTCCAAAAACAATGCAAAATGCGGCTGACCAACGAGAAAGCGACAATGCAGTCCCAGCTGAGTGACTTGGCCCTGTTCTTGGGCCTGGTGATCTGCTGTCTTCCAACTTTGACGTGGGCTGCGACTCTCTCTGACAAGCGACTGTGCGCCGACCCGAAATGTGAACGTAAGTTGTAATCTACGGCCAGGCAAGTCAGCCTTGGACCTTCCGGCACCGCCATGTCTCTCGAAATTGCATAATTAATTCCGCGTTCTGCTTTCAGAAATTATCTCGACGGGCATTGCCAAAATCAGCTATGCCACCGGCGGCGAGGGGCTGATATCCTTCAAAATCAACTCCCCCATCCGCGTCCTGTCCAAAAGCGCCGGGTCCAATATGCAGCTGTGGGGAGTTGACATCAATGGACGGCGCGGCTATGCTAATAAGGACTTTATCATGGAGAAGAAGATCCTGGTCCGGGAGAAAGACCTGTTGTTCGAGGTGCCAGTGGTGGGACCTGGCAGTCCAGTGCAGTCATCGGAGACTCCAGTGAAGCCCGTGGAGACACCAGACAAGCCCCTGGAAACACCACAGAAGCCCGTGGACACACCACAGAAGCCCGTGGAGACACCACAGAAGCCCGTGGAGACACTACAGAAGCCCATGGAGACAGCAGTGAATCCTGCGGAGACACCAGTTCAGCCATTGGAGACGCCAATGCAGCCAGTTCTTAACGCCTCTGAGTCAACCGATGACCTGGCAACGACCACAACGTCACCACTTGAGGTTGCCGTTGATTCAATAGTGGTTGAGCACGACAAGCTGCAGGATCAGCAGGTTCCAGATCCTACGGCGGCTTCCAAAGCCCAAGTGCAGGTTGTAGAAGGCACTGAGCTTCCCCTGGAAGCCATTCCAGCTGTAACGGAAAGTGTCACTGTTCCAGGGAAGACAGAAGACCCCCAAGAAGCAACGAAATCGGACTCGGCAGTTGTTGACACGAATGAGCCACAGACATCCACTTCTGAGCCCATTAAATCGCAGGAAGATTCAAAAGCGCAGCAACCTGCCAAGGAAGCTGAGAAACCTCCCCCACTGTCCCAGGCCATCAACGCTGATTTTGATGACTCTTACGATTTCGATTACGGGGATGACGAGACAGACGAAGACGAAGACGACAATGACGACTCAAAACAAGGTAGTCAAGATAACGAATCGGTCACAGAGATAGCAAACGATAGCAAATCAATTAACGAATCGATTGAACTGAACCCTCTTATGGGCAATCAACTGAACACAACTGATAAATTGGAGGATGCAAAGGATGAGACTAAAGAAAAGCAGATAGAAGTGGAGGTCTCAAAGGAGGAAGGCTCTCTTTTATCCACTGAGGGCTTAAATGGGACGACACTAGAAGAGAAAATTGATCAGAAGGAATCTGCTAAGCAGGAACTGGATGCAGTCGTGGAATTAAAGTCGCCAGATCCTTTGCCCATCGAGGAGGTCACCGAAAAGGAGGGTGAGCCCCCGCAAACCATTGTTAAAGATGAAGTGAATGAAGAAATAGCTTTGGTTACTGCTGAAATCCAAGCTGAGCCTGAAAAAGAAAACGTTACCGAACCTATTGTTGCTCAAAATGATGAGGAAATAAAAGCGTCATCTGAGTCAGTAATTAGCTCAACCGCTCCTGTCTTTGAAGAGGCACCACTAAAAGCGGAGTCTGTTAGCCTGCCGCCTCTTTTTGAAAAGAAAAACTTTGAGAATCCCAATGATTACTACAAGCAATTGCAGGAGCAACAGGAAAAACAGAGATTACTTGTAGAGGCGGAGCAGCAAAAGAGGTTACAAGAGGAAGCGGAGCAGCAGAAGAGGGTACAAGAGGAAGCAGAGCTGAATAAAAGGTTATTGGAAGAAGCCGAGCTACAGAAGAGGTTACAGGAAGAATCAGAGCAGCTGCAGCGATCAAGTGAGGAAGCGCAGCCACAACTGATTAATGATTTTGTGGATGCACAGTCTAATGAAATCGTTGATAACAACAATGAGCAGAAGCCAGAGCAATATCAGCAGTACCATCACCCAGAAAGTGCCTTTAATTTCCCATCAACTGCATCACATACTACTCCAACGCCTGACGCTGAGTCACCGTACGCAGCAGTCCAAGAGGAGACCACAGAAGCATCCCAACCAGATAACCGTCGTGAGGAAGTTGGTTCCGTGGAGCCAGTAGCTCTGCCCGCGACGACTAGCCCCGTGTCGGAATTGCCCGTCAAGGAGGACGCCGTAGGCTTCGGTCTCTTTGCCACGATTGTCGACACCGTAAACAATTTTATAGGAAAGGATCCCCAGAATGCTCCAGCAGATAGCAGCGATGAACTGCACAGAATTCTTTATCCAGGAAAGCCTGAGGTGCCATCTTCTCAAAAGAAGGCGGAAGGTGAGTGTTTTACGTAATCATAATAACTATTATATACCATTCTTGAAAAAAAGCTAAAACAAACCAGGCAACCAATTTAGAAATTTAGACATGATTTGTTACATACTCTTTCCTTTTATTTTACATTTTTCAGACCCGGCAACTGCCGATGTGGATGGATATTGTGCCCGGTTTCAAGCCCAAGATGAGCACTGTCATCGCTCTATATCCCTTGATAATTTTGTTGAAGTAATGGCGGGCAAGCTGGTTGATCACAGCCAACTTTTGCTCTGCGTAGTTATAGCGGCGACTTCTTCCTTGTTCTTTATGTTTGCATACTACTGCTTCTGCAACAGCAGTCAGGAGGGAGCACTTCTTTCGAAGCTGAACCATTTGGAGCGCAGTCTATTGGCCTCTCACAAGGAGAACCTGATCATTAAGCACGACCTGATGACTACGCGAACAAAGTTGGCCAGCATTGAGGACAACTCCTTCGGCTCAAACGACATGGTGGCCGACCTTAAAAAGCAGCTCGAATCGGAGCTATACGAGAAGGCTAAGCTGCAGGAGCAGGTTGGCTCATTAGAAAGGGTAGGTCCACATTATATAATCAAATAAACCCTCACTTAACAAGTCACTCTTTTTCAAAGGATCTGGATAACGCCGCTGAGGCTGGCCTGGAGCTCAACAAGATGCTGTCCGAAGTCCTGAACAGCCAGAATGGGGATGATGCTTTCATGAGCACCGTCGACGAACTGCAGCGACAGCTCAATGACCAAGAAAGTGAGTATCCGTCGTTGATTGAAACCAATTTTAAAAATGGATATTATTTGAATTATTTCGGTGAATTATTTGAATTAATTTAATATTTAACTCGATAACTTTTGCAGAGATCATCATTGAAATCAACACAAGTCTGGCCGAGAAAAGTAGAGAGAACAGCGAACTGCAGTATTCTTTTACCGAGGCCACGACCCGCCTTTCCAGCGAGCTGAAGACGCTGCAAGAGGACAACTACGAGTTGGAAATGGAAAAGTCTAAGCTGCAAACTCGACTTCAGGAAATTCAGGCAGAAACGGAAACGGAGTTGGCCAAGGCACTGGAAGCAAGAAATTACGAAATGCAAAGGCTGCAGAATCAGATTGTTGAGCTGACTGCCAAGTGGGAGCGGGAACATGGCGATCTGCAAACCAGTTTAGCAAAAATCGAAGCTCTCGAAGATTGCCTTAAGGCTGTGAAAAAGGATGCCAACCTAAATGTCCAGGAGCTGATCAACTCGGCCAAGACACGCGGTGAACTCAACGCGGTTCATAAAAAGTTAGTCGAGTTGCAGGCGAAGGTGGAGCAAGAGGTGGCCCACAAGCAGCGTCTGGAGAGCCAGTTACATCAATCGAGTCAAGATGTTGAGCAGCTGAAGCAGGACTTCAACCAATCAGAGCGCGATAAGCTAGAAGCCCAGACGCGCCTTGAAGTCTTATCCGGGTACTTCAGGGAAAAGGAGAACGAACTTAAGAAGTAATTTATTAAGAAATACCTTTGAGGAAAGTCTTTATCTCTTAATTACTTAATTACCATTTCAGAGAACTAAGTCTGCAGGAGACCAAGTGGCTGCAGCACCAGGGAGAGAATGCCAGCACAGTGGAGACCCAGACGCTGATGAAGAACGAAATCCAAACTCTGAAGTAAGTCACAGTCACGTCAATTCGCTTTCAAAAAATGTTAAAATCCTTTTCCCTATAGATCTCAGAATGACGAGCTGCGTGCCGAGATTGAGGCCCAGATAGCCTCCCACAAAGCTCAGATGGGCACGCTGGAGAATCGCGCTCATGAGTCCTGGCTGGCGGCGCGCCAGTCGGAGCGCCGATGCGAAGAAGCGTTGGCCGAAGCCGCTAGCTTGAGGCGCAAGCTGACCACGATGGCCAGCGGAGGTGGAGGGATAGGCGGAGATCCGGGCGTAATGGAGGCCATTGCCGCCAACGGAGCTTCTGTGCTGGGGGCGGAACTGAAAACGGCACCATCGCCGCTCCCCTTGCCGGGTTCCCCACTACTGAACATGCCAAATCCACTGCCATTCCTGCCGGCACCCTTCTCACCGTTCATGGGCCTGCCGCCGCCATTCCTGCCGCCAACTGGAGCGGGAGGGGCACGTCCTCCGCCTCTGGGACGCATGCGTTCCCCGCAGCCCTCGAATCGCGGCGATCGGGATCGAGAGCGATACTCGGACTACAGCGATTACGATGACTACGACGACGACGATGAGGACGACCGGGGCATGGACCGTCATCGAAGGCACAGCGGCAGCTGGGGTCGCCGGCATCGCGGCTCCTATAGCCACTCGCCGCGCACATATCGCTCGTTGTCCCCGTCGGACAGTCGGTACAACTACAACGACACGGAGACGGACTTCAGTCCACCCCCAAGTCCGCCGCCCGTTTCTTCGGGACGCAGTGCAACATCGCGACCCTACAGCGAGGTATGAGCGGATGGGTGTTCCCGTGCAACCAAGTCCTACCAAGTATATTAGACTCAAAACTAGTTCAAATATATTTATTAATCAACGATTATCGAACGGTCGGATCGGTGCGGGTCGGGACGGCCTCTTAAACCGATTCCCCAAATCTAGGGATCTCAGGAGAATTCATCAACAACTAAGAAAACTCCTGTCTCAACGGTGAATGATATCTAAGAAAATTGAATCAAATTAAACACAATGACAAACACCAATCCAATGTGGGCTGTTTTAATTGAGAATTGGGAACATACATATTGACTTATTAGATATAATTAAATATCACTTGCAAGGCACATTTTTAATATAATATTTATTCCTGAGATGTAAAATTATTATACAATTCTTTTAAAGACATATTCGGAACAAAACTTAGAACCAATTTAAATTATTTTCATTTTGGTATGTAATTTCAATAATTTTGTTTGCTAGCTTATCAATGAAAGACTTATCAATTAAATAACACAATGTTGACCCTTTAATTTACACAATGTTGACCCTTTAATTTACAATTTAACTAAGCACTTTGTGTGAATCACGACTCCAGGCGCATAAATTCCAGTTCTATACATTCGCCAGGTAATTGTGAATAGCTGCTACTTGTCGCACTAAATGAAACATTTAGTTTAGGATGTCTAAAGTGCTGGGAAATCTGCGGAAAAGTATGGGATTAGAATCAACACTTTAAAAATCAGTATACCTACCAAGTCTTCCTTGTCGGTTTTATAAAAATGCATGGTCAAAGCCTCCATTCGCTGATTGAGGGCACGGTTCATGGTTGACTTGCTGAAGGCGAAGAAATCGTCATACAGAACCTGGTTCGACATGCTGAATACCCTGAGGCGGGGACAGGCAAGCACCGCGTCCCATATACCATCGGCATTTAACCATATGCGCGAGTTCTCCAGATGCAGTTGCTCCAAGAGAGGAAAGCAGTTGATGATCGTGCGGAAGTCAATGGCGCAACATCCTTCATCATCGACAAGCGTTAAGCTTCGAAGATTTCGGAGTTTGGCCAACACCTCCGTTCGCTTCATCCAAATATTGTCGCTGAATGCGGCAGCCAACACGTCCTGACCCCTTATGCGTCCAATGTCCGACAGCAGATCGTCCAACTGTTCGAAGTTGTGCAGGCGAAGCTTCTTCAGTTTGGGCAGGCTCAACAGCTGACTGATGTTATCGCTGCCAAGGTGAACTATATCCAACTCCAGCTCCTCCAGTTCCTGCAGCCTACTGATGGCCCGAACGTAGGCATCCTCCTCAGCACTGTGCCACTGGATACCGAGTGCCTGAAGTCGAAGGTTCTGGCAGATTTCCTCGAAGCACTGTGTGCTTAGGTACCAGCACAGCTGAAGGTCCAGTCGGCGAATGTTTCTCCAACGGCTGATGTGGTTACCACTGGTATTCCCACTCAGCCCGATGGCTTCCAGCTCCGGAAAGCAGGCCACTAGAATGGCGATATCGACGTCTCCATCTATGTCACTGTTTTCATCGCCCAAGTAGGTCAGTTGCCGCAAATTGGGAAATGTGTGGCCCTTCCACTGCTTAAGTTGATCCATGGTCAGGTACCGGAGTGTGAGTTCCGCCACAGTGAAGCGAATGCACTGCAGGAATTCGTCCAGGACCTCATAGTTGTCCTTGAATGTTTCCTGGTCCACGGTGTGCTCCTCCTGGCGTTGCCAGGTGTACGAAATCACCGATCTCAGTCGGGATGCGGACTCGCAACTCTTCCACAGCTCCAACTGCTCCTCCAGATTGAGATACTCTACAATTTTACTATTCAACGGTTATGCCGACGTCTATCCCTGATTCCATTCAACTCCACTTACAGCAGGCAGTCATCATTAAGGTTCTCAATGCATGCCATTTCCACAATATTGGCCTAATCCTCAGAAAAAAAGCCTGTGCAGCCCGATGAATGATGATGAATGAAATTAGATTGTTGCTTTTTATGACGAAAGCATGTTTTGCCAGGAAAAGCTTTCGGCGGCAGAGCTTTTTGCTGTTGTCAACAATCAAATCCCAAACATTCCACAGTTGGGGTATTCATTGAATCCCATCAAGGGAGCCCACCACTGGAGCCCCAGACATAAAAAATGGATCGGCCAACAATTTCGGCTTATTATATTAATTGAAATATCTTTCATGCACAATGTACTAATATAGCAATAGAACAAACAACAACATATCTAACCATTGCAAATTTTAACAAGTGGGAACTCGACTCGACGAGTTCCTCGGCTATCAGATACCCGCTTCAATTTCAGATAAGATTAAGGCAGGTGATTCTCAAGCTTTATTTTGAATCTACGCTGCTCCCATCACTTATTTTTAGTCGATTTCCAGTTTCCGGAACGAGCCCACAGCTCCGAAGGAGGAACGATGGTTCCTTCGCACATGGACTCCAAACTCGCGCAGCTTGTCATTGGCACCGAAAGACTGACTTTCCTGAAAGTAGGACCCGTAACTGGACAGTTTTGTTTCCATGGTGTGGCTTATATCCTGCAGAGTACCCCCAGTTCCTCCGTATTCTTGGGGCAAATACTCGCGACGCACTAGCTCGTTTATGGCCGCTGGATCGGAGCTCACCGAGATCTGCAGGAAAACATCATAAATATAGGACTCGATTATGCAGGCATATTCTATGGTAATCAGGCTCACCCGACTCTTGATTTTGGCCGGGAAAAAAGACCTCAAGGAATTGAACCCAGTTTCAAAGGCCGCAGGAACATTGATGAAGTGTATGCCCTTTTGACGCGTCGGCATCGCCTCATCCGCGTATGTGGAAAACTTACTGAGCAACTGTGGCTGCAGGGCAAAGAGATGGGATCCCGTAACTCCAGCCATGTCCATTATCTCCACATAGCCACTGACCGTGGCGTTGTCGTCCTCGAACATCATGATCTCGCCGAACATGGAACCCACGCGGATTATGTCCTGGAACTTGTGTTTGCTCGTGTCATAGGAACCAGCTCGGATTATGGTCACCCGCGGTCCCGGATCGTCTGCATCCATGGGAATTTGAAGGAGTACTCTGTGCGGAATTTGGGTTAGGGAACACAGGAAAGATTTAAGCAAGGACTTCTCTGTTCCATTTCGCTCCTTACCCCGTTCTTACAATATCCAGCACCTGGGGATCGTTGGCCAGACGCCGATCATTAAAGACCTCGGGAATGGACCTCTGCAGCGTGTAGAACCGATCGAACTTCTCCTTGGCCCTTTCCAGACTGAACTTGGTTCCGCGCAGAAAGGCGAGAAGGAACTGGTCGTCGGTGCAGGCCCGCAGATGTGGTTGCTTCAGTACCCAATCCCTCAGCGCCTCGATGTCCTGGGACACACGGGCTGGAATCTCGTTCAATTCTGTGGTGCAAATTTCTTGCAGGGCGGCATTAAGGGGCCGAACAGTGCTCATTTCGAAATGGTAAAAATCGTTATTGTATGAGGGAACCTCTCCACTTGCTAGCAAATCGGATTGCGTGCATATGTTTACTGCTTGAAAATGCCGCGTCGACTGCCCCAATGATACACGAGTAACATGTGGAATCAACGACTTTAGCCTGATCACAAGCCGATTTACCACAGCCGAAGAAATTTGTGGACGAAGAAATGTGGTTGTGGTAGTGGGTGGTGGTGGGTGGTACCAGGCTGGCGCTTGCTGTATTCCAGTCGGTACCCTTGGCTGTGGGTCGCTCCGCGATTGATTGGCTTAATTGGCTTTGGATTTACTTTTCGAGTGCATGCGGCTGCGGCTTTTGCAGGCCCGATATGAGCTGTTAAATCCCATTGATAAAGAAGGTTAATCGAGTGCAAATACTTAACGAAAGGCGCATAGATAACGTAAAGCTGCTTGATAGCTCACAAGCTAAAAGTAAACAAGGAAATTAATATATTAATTTAAAGTACAAATAATTGCTTTGCAGGGCAACTTCTTTTAGTTTGAGTAGTTTATTATAGGATAAATTAAATACTAAGCGACAAAATATTAATACAAAATGATTGTATTCACTTATATTGTTTTACTTCCTGCACCTAGCCACCACAAATAGATTTATTTCTAAGAAAAATCATACAAATACAATCTGCCGTCTGATTTTTAACATTTTTGAAATGTACCGCCAAAGGCGATAGCCACCAGGCCGTTTGGTATATTTTAGTGAGTTTACATTGTGTATTCCAACGGGCACACTGCTTAGACCTTGTCAGACTTAAAAATCATAAAAAACTAATCTTTCCCCATGACAAGCGTCGATGAGAATCCGTTCGCCGCTCTGCTCCAGGAGGGCGCCAATTCCGATGGCGTGTCGCACAAACTGGTCGAGGAGGTGCTCCTCTTCACGCTGAACAAGACGTCCTCTTCAGCTGCCCTTTGCCTGGCAGACGTGGTGGTGGACACCAGCGAGGAGACCCTGAGCGAGGACTTGGTGGCCCACGCCCTCTTTGAGCGCCTGATGCTGGCCGAGACCAGCCAGTATGCAGCGGGAAATGCCAGTGCGGAGGCCATGGAGCTGCGAGCCATGTGCTATCTTCGAGGAGCCTTCGCTCGATGCGAGCGCATACAGGCGGAGAGGAAAATCGATTGCTCCAAGGTATTAGCGCTCATCCTAAACAATGCCAGCACCTGCATGCGCCAGCCAGACCTCTTTGCCCCGCAATCCTTCGGTGCCCAGTGGATGGAGATGTTTGAGCAGGCCGATGAACACGACACCAGCACCCAGGAGTTTTTGATCCGCGTCAGCTGTAAGGTTGTGGAGGAGGTTGACCCTATTGAGGCGCTGGGCGCCCTTAAGGCCATCTTCTACCCAGTGCTCACTGAGCTCCAGAAGATCATTGCCAAGGAGAACCTTATTACAATGAAGAAGAACGCTTTCTGGATCCTTGGATTCTTCGTGCGCGACAAACGAGCAGCAGTTCTAGGAGAACTACTAATTGACTTTACCACTCCCAATCCCAAAGCTAAAGGTATTTTAAGCCGAACGTAAATATTAGCTGTAATAAAACGGCAATCGATAATTTTCAGGTGGCGACTATATGGACACTTTGTTGGGCAGTCTACTGTGCATCTCAATCCTGCCCAAGACCCAAACAGCCAAATACGAGTTTTTCAACGAGCTGTCAATGAACCAAACGGATCCTGCTCTATGGGCACTATTATCTCATCACCAGCAGTCCATTTTCCTGCTGGTCAAGCAGCTCCTTGTGCTCTCACCCGAAACAAAGAAAAAGACCCTCCAATGGCTAGCCAATTGCCTAGATGCAAATGTGTCGCGTGGTCATCTGTGGAGCAGCATTAATATCAACCTGGAGCAAACAGTTCACAGCACGGCCAGCGATGCCTTCATGACCTCCTTGAATGCAGTCCTAACACGTCTCTGTGCTCCCCTGTGTATGCCCTCGATAAAGGTAAATACATTTGTGCAATTGCTCTTTAACTTTACTCGAAAAACACACTTAGAGGTACTGCGTTCTTCAGGTCTTCAAGCCAAGTCAGCACATAGTAATACAGTTTTAAATATTCGCTGCAGGTTCTCTTGGTGGACCCTACATATTGTGCAGTGCCGGACAAAGATAGGCAGGCGAAGAGCGTGAGCATGCTAAAGGCCTACGACGAGACTTGTCTGCTTACCAGCGAAGAGGGTGAGGAGCGTTTGACGGCCGAAAAGTACAATTTCGTGACGGAGATCTTCTACATGACACACAAATGCTTCGAACTCGCCAATCGTCCCTGCATTGAACGTCTCGTTCGCGTGATGCGCGAACTGCAAAACACTCAGACGGCGTACGGAGAGGTCTTGAACAGCGATCCAAATAACGAGCTGACCAAAAACCTTTTCCGCATGATAATAGAACAGATGCAGCAGGTGCTGTGCATCAAGAACACGCTCTCCGAGCCCACCAATGACACGTTCCTATTGAAATTCTTCGAGGCTTCGGCTATTTGGCTGACAGAGATTGCCATGCTGCCCCGTGAGACCTACGAGCAGTGCGTGGACAAGCGGGATTTTTCACCACAAATTTTCCGCAACCTGGAGCTGCTGGCAGACACACCGCCCTTTGTAGCCCCTTATATGCAATCAGTGCCAGAGAGCATTATCGACAACATGGTGGCGTATTTGAATTTCTGCCGGAGACTGAACGACGATCAATACATCCATATATATTTCTCCGCCCATGATGCCTTTTTCAAGATGATACTGCTATTCATGGGCAGCTCCGTGCTGGTAAAGAATCCTCACCTTCGGGCCAAACTGGCTGAAGCTCTGGAATTTCTCTTGCCCACGCAGATTATGGGAAGCAATCGGAAGACTTTTGTTACCCATGTCTTCGACAACCATTCGGATCGGTTTAAGGTGGTGCGCAGCCTGCTGAACGTTTTCGTAAGCATCGAAATGACTGGACAGTCTGTGCAATTCGAGCAGAAATTCAACTACCGCCGGCCCATGTACGCTATAATGGAGTTCCTGTGGACCAAACCCGAGCACGTTCAGTGCTTTCGTGACCTGGCAATCGAAGCGGAGCAGAATATGGATGCCATTGAGCCGCCCATATTCTTGCGTTTCATTAATTTGCTTATTAATGATGCCATCTTTCTGTTGGACGATTCATTGTCTAATCTGGAGCAGATCAAACAGCTTCAACAGGCGCAGGAAAATGGTGAGTGGAATAGCTTATCGCACAATGAGCGTCAACAGCAGGTGTCGAACCTCCAGCACCTGGGCATGCTAGCGCGGTTTGACAACCTTATTGCTAAGGACACTATAAATTTCCTCAAGCTGCTCACCACTGAAATCAAAAGCATTTTCTGCCACAACAGTATGGTGGATCGCATGGCAGCTATGCTGAACTACTTTCTGTTAAATTTAGTTGGTCCAAAGAAGGAACGCTTCAAGGTTAAGGACAAGAAGGAGTTCGACTTCGATCCGGCTCAAACTGTGCTGGAGATTTCTCACATCTACATTAATTTAAGCTCTGATGACAGCTTCTGTTTGGCGGTGTCGCAGGATGGTCGATCCTACAGCGAACACCTCTTTAGCTATGCTGAGAACATCCTAATCCGAATCGGAGGTGGCCAACTTATAGGCGAGATGTCCGAGTTAGCTGAGAAGGTTGCGCGTATGGGTGCTCAATACAAGGAGGAGCAGGAGCTGCTGGCTGATGCGCCGGAAGAGTACCTGGATCCGATTATCTCCACGCTAATGACCGACCCCGTGGTGCTGCCCAGCTCCAAGGTAACAGTGGATCGTTCTACCATCGCCCGTCATCTTCTAAGCGATCAGACCGACCCCTTCAATCGCGAACCGCTCACCATGGATAAGGTCAAGTCTAACGAGGCTCTAAAACAGGAAATTGAGAGCTGGATTGAGGGCAAGCGGGAGGCGGCCCGCTCAAAGAGTAAAGGTAGCAGTGAACCCGCAGCTGCAGGCTCAGTTGCCCAACCAAAGAGTTAGCTCCACGGGATATCAGATAAGGCAGTAGTCAATGTTTTTTTTTCATAAGAATTCCAGTCATACATACATGGTTTTATGTGTATATGCAATACTTGCATAGTTAGTGGTTTTTGAAATTTATTCTTAATATTTTTGTCCTTGTCAAGCAAATAAATTCTTTAACAATGTTATAAAAACTTGCATTGCAGGATTTATCGTAGTCACATATGGTTTTGTGTTCTGTATATGTGTACATATATGTTTAAATAAACAGAGTTTCGCTGATAAAATGTCTATATATTTACCTACAATGAGCCTCAAATGCAAATATACAGCCCATGTTTTATTAAATCCAACAATACAATTACTAAATATCTTTTTCCGCTCCATTGACTTCTGGGGGCTACTCATTGACCATATCGTGGCTTACTGATTCACGGAAGCGTTGGAAGTAGCGACGGCCAGTTAGGTACCACAGCGCCTCGTGATAGCTTCTGGGCAGGACCTCCGGAACCACATCGCTGCAGGAGTAGGTGAGGTGCAGGACATTGCATTTAAGCTCCGTAAAGCTATTGCCATCGACCGCATTCACCACCGTCAAAAGCTGAATGTAGTTTTCGTGGGTGAAAACCACGTAAGCCTTTAGTTTCATGTAGCTGTGGACGGGAACGGAATGGGTGAACGTAACGTCCGCAATGAACCGGATCATGCATCGCTGGTTGGAGTAGAGGGACGCCGTCATGTAGCTAATCTCGATGGCCCTACGGATGATGAACCCTCCGAAGATGGTGTTCGATTCGTTTCGGTTCTCCGGGAACGGATGCATCAGGGTTCTGCGGCTCCACTTGGTCATCCAGCGGCAATTCGGTGGAAGAGTACTCATATCACTCGGTGAAGGTCCGTCAGCGCCCTTGGTTCGGGTAAACAGCTCGTACATGAGCTCCTTTTCCTCCTTGGTGGGCTGCTGCGACTCAAGACGAGTCGACGCATCGGCTCTGCGTTTCTGCGCTTCTTGGTAGATACTTTCCTCCAGCTCATTAGCCGGCACCAGAGGATTCACGGGAGCCGGGCCATTATTGATGGCATTGCGAGCCTCCACCACAAAAATGCTCTTTGCCAACAAAATTCCTTTTTGTCGCGCATATGCCGTGACCTCTATGGAGCTATTATCCGTCCATGAAACATGACCCGAAAGGGACACGTCTGCATCCGCTATAAACATATCCTGCAAGAAGTGGGCGTGGTCCACCAGCAGGGTGACAAAAGTGTATGGCAGTGGCACACCCTCCGGAAGATTGGGCAGATGGATGTGAAGATGGCAGATCCACACTGCAAGGTCCCTCTCATACATCAGGAATTTGGCTACGGACTAGTTAGCTTACTTTACCGGCAAGAAGGTCGAGTTCCTCCATTATCCTGCCCATGCGCAACATGCCCCTCCCGTAAACGAATCTTTGCCTCATCAGAGCGTCTGTCTCCAAGAGCACCTTGGCGGTTGTATGTGAGTCCACCAGGGAGCGATTGGGCAGTTCGTCTAGCTTCGGCTGAAACTTGAGCAGCCCTTCCCTGCTCCTGGGGATGACATGGTAGCCCCCTTCCACGCCGACGTGCTCTCTGATTTTCTTCGCCACTGTGCTTGGAATTGGAATAAGTGCAAGGTAATATGGAGGCTTACCCGCGGTTACCATCTGCCATCGTGCCCGAGGAGTGCCCCGAATCCAGCTGCTCCCGCCCGCATTCCACGAACCTGTGAAGAAGTGCACCCATTTGGGGGCACAGGTGTCTCACGGCGATCACCCTTCTGCCAAAGTGCTGGCTCAAATTCATTTCATTTCATCAATTTTGGGTTCGTGTGCTGCGCAGCAAATATACATATGTCAAATAATAAAATGCAGAACGTTAAAATGCTATGTAATGTACTTTTGAAAATCGGTAACAGAATAACGGCTATTAAAATAACAGAAATCTTAATAAACACATGTACTAGTTTCCAAAGATTTCACGTTACAGCTTCAGCAACTTTGTCGTTTTAAAAAGTAAAAGTCGAAAGCGCTTTAATAATAAATTCCTAAAATTTTTGGTTAGACAAATATTTTAACAATTCGAAAGCTTGATTTGTCGCAAATTGGTGTTGACCATCACTGGCCAACCCATTCTCTATCTCCCACCATTCGGTCTGGCATTCTTTCGGTATTATCTCTATTCCTGTCCTGCTTACTCATCGAAGCAAAGCCGAATAACGGATCCTAAGATCGAACGAACCTGTGCTAAACGTGATTTCGTTCAATATTTTTCATATATTTCAATAGTTTTGACCCGATCAAAAGTGTTCGTTTTAATTTTTAACCAAAAAATCGATAAGTAGTGAGTATGGAACCTGTGAAAGAGGAGGCGATCGAATTTAATGGCCATCGCGACCGAAGCGCAATGCAAATGGCCGAGGCTGAGCAAGAAAATGGCGCTGGCGCCCTGAAAATTGCCACCAATGCGGGCGCAACCGATCGGCCACCGCATCACCAGCTCGCGCTGCCCTCCGAAGATCAGCAGGATGAGGTAATGACCCCCGCCGAGAAGGCCAAGTTCGAGTACCCGCCCCCGCCGCCGCCCCCAACTCCCGTCCAGGCTCCGGCGGCCACCAAGGCCACCGGTCTGACTGCCAGCCAGGAGCATGACGATGACGAGGCCAACTCGGAGAAATGGGAGGATCCCTGCGCTCCGCCCCCACCGCCTCCGCTGCCGACCAGCGCTTTCCTGGCCACCGGACTGGGCTACCTCAAGCTGCCCGCCTTCAAGCTGAAGGACGCACTGGAGAAGGCCATCACCAAGCTGGAGGCCAACAAGCGGACGCAAAAGGCCAGCCCCGAGGTTAGTCTATTAAATATTTCCATACTTTGGTTTTTGTGTTATTATTACCAGTGCACACTGTCGTCCGATTCCATATAGATTTTAAATTGCATATTTCTTGTTTCTAGAAACCTCCATAGTTGTCTAAATTCAATTACCACATATTCTAAATGCTTGATGGAGTCCATACTAGGTAAAGGGGACAACAAATTAGAGCAGCTTCGATAAATATGCCATTTAAAATTTAGTTAAAGCAACTTTGACCTGCCATTGATACATTCGGCATTTATTTTTCATCGAATACAGACAGATCCTCATATATACATCACGATGTTTTTTCAATGTTGTTTTTATTTTGGCAAACAGTCTTCTCGTTCCATCAAAAGCAAGAAGGTGGTGGCCATGGAGATGTTACCCAGACGCTCCAACCCAGAAACGATTTGCGATGAGCCCCTGTCGGCCTCCACGTCCACGGCTATGATGCTGCACCCGAAGACCAAAAAGCCAGCCGTGATTGTGGCGATGGAAAGGCGTTTTAAGATAATCCAACTGCTGGCCAAGCAAAATCGAATCCTCGAATCCATTTCGCGGGAAGCCATTCCGATGCCTGGCTCCTCGAAGCACCTGCACGAGGACGAGGGTCTGGCACTCCAAGTGCTCTCGGCCCGAGCATCCACACCTTACACACAACCCTCCAGCATGTTGTCCTGCACGGCCGTTAGCTGCGACCTGGAGCACGATTCGCCGCGGAAGCAACAGGCCACCAAGGAGGCCGTGCCGGAGCAGCAGTCTCGTCAGGTGCAGCAGAAGCGTCCTTCCAGCACGGGCACGCACAAGCCAGGAAGTCTGCGAGCCCCCAAGGCGGTGCGTCCTGCTGCTGCTCCGGTGGTCAGCAGCAAGCCGGTCAAGAGCTATACGCGCTCCCACCTGCTGGAAATTCGCAACGGAATGTTCAATGCTCTGATGCACAGGTCTAAGGAGAGCTTTGTGATGCCTCGGATCGCCACCTGCGACGACATTGAGTTGGAGGGAAGGCTGCGTCGTATGAATATTTGGCGCATCTCGGACGGCACACGATTCCGGGCTCGCTCTATCACAAACAGCTCTAACATGACCAACAACAATGAGTGCATGCCTGCCTTTTACAAAAACAAAAATAAGCCGCACTTAATCAGCGACGAGTCCATCATTCAGAGCCAACCGCCCCAGCCGCAAACGGAGTTCCAGGTAAGCACTTATTTTAAATCAATTCGCTAGCAAAGCATATTGATGCTATGATGTCTATACAGAATAGAAATTGCTAATCTTTTTTATGGGAATTTAAACCTCCATATAATTATAACTAATATAAAGGGGGGCGACTATGCCTCGTCTATTGGATACCCCTTACTTTTTATGCCGAATAGGGTTTTGGTCCTTATCAGAATTCTTTATGAACTGGGCGTTTTCCACCTTTTCCCTTACATTACTTCACTTGCCCAACACCATTTAAGAATTCAGTTTATTTGTACGAATACATCAGAAAAAGGGCGCACCTTTGCGCACTATTCTATTAGGTAACACAAAGTCGCATTATGCCTCCGCTTATCTGATAAATCAATGATTGCATTGCATGACCTCCAGAGGTCTTTGGCAATCATGCTGATCATTTGCTGGACCCTTGCTACAGTCAAATCACTAATCTAGAACATTTTTACAACTGATTGCGAATAAGTAGCAAGTAATTACTACAGTCGTTTTAGACTATTTCCTTTTATTGAATTGTATGCCAATTGTCACCATCCGCTTTCGCTGGTGTTGATTGTACAAATACACTCGAGCGAAATCACTTCTCCAGGTAATGACGCTTTCCATCGACGTCCCGCAACCTTTGGGCCGCCTGCTCGGGAGTCAGATCCCGCTGGGCCATGGCCAGCAGTTCAAATCCCACCATGAACTTGCGCACGGAGGCAGAACGTAGCAGCGGCGGATAGTAGATGGCGTGCAGGGTCCAATGAGCACTGGATGCGTGCGCATGCTCCGGTCCAGTCGGTGCTCCGTGCCAGCCCATGGAGTAGGGGAACGAACACTGGAACAGATTGTCATACTTGGTGGTCAGCTCCTTCATGGTCAGTGCCAAGTTGTATCGCTGTTTAGTGGTAAGATCGTTGATGCGCTTGTTGTTGTTGCGCGAGATGAGCATGGTTTCGAAGGGCCAAGTGGCCCAGAAAGGCACCACCACCACCCAGTCGGGATTCTCAATGACAATCCGCTCCTGGCGCTGCAGCTCCCGCTCCACATAGTCGGCCAGCATGGGCCGCTCGTTGGTGGCGTAGTAGGCACGCAAACGCTCCTGCTTCAACTGCGGTTCCGTGGGCAGGAACGAGCACGACCAGATCTGGCAGTGCGGGTGGGGATTGGAGCACCCCATGGTGGCTCCCTTGTTTTCGAATATCTGCACCCAGGCGTACTTGGCGCTCAGCTCGTTAAACTGGCTGATCCATCTAGATAGGCAGTGAGATAAAAAATGGGTTTATTATGGGTACCTTCTGATATAAACCATAAATCCACCACTTACTCGTCGATAACAACGGCGATTTCCGCTGCACTCATCGTGGGCAAAGTCAGATTCGATTTGGGATGGAAGCACATCACCCGACAGTTGCCACGGGCGGGAGCTATCTGGAACAGGGGATCATCACTGTTGGGCGGAACGGGCACTACCTCCACTAGGGCCGGAAAGTCGTTTTCAAACACATAGGTGCTCTCGTATTTAGGAGTTTGCTGGTCATTCAAAATACATATTAGAACGCTTGAAACATTTGTGAGGCTTAGTTAGAGGCTTACAATTCCATTGGGTCGGGTGACGCCAGGGCACAGGGGATTGGTGGGATCGAATTCGGGCAGCTCGTTCTTCTGCGCCTTCTCCTGCTGACCCGACCAAGGGCGTTGGGTTCGATGTGGGCACACCAGGACCCATTGTCCGTTCAACGGATTCAGACGTCGGTGCGGGTGTTCTGCAACGACATTCGATTTTATTGAAGATTAATAGAGAGAGAGGGAGGGAGTTAGTCCATTGATTTGGAACCACTTGTTGAGCACCATTCGACCATCCACCATAAGAGCTGAATCAAAAAGGCATGGAACCCCTGTGCATTGCACCTTTCCACCTACCACTGGCCACAAACTGCATCGTGTCGAAAGACTGGCGCTCGTATCACTCCGATCGGATTATGACTACCACTGTCTACTACGGCTTTGGTCGCTGCTCCGCGGGACAAGCGCAATGTCAACCTGCCGCGTTGCGATTACGGTTCCTAATGCTGGTGTATTGCTATTGCTATACCTATTCTGATTCTGATTCTGAATCCGATTCCTATCCCGATTCCAGTTGAGCTGTTTTTCGCTTAGCAAAGCGCGCTTTTTCAGCTGCATTCCTCTCTTTTTTCGCTCTTCCGACTCTGCTCACTCTGCAGGCGACCGTTTGGCTTGGCACGCATTCCGCCTTTCAGTCGAAGAATTTTCCATCAGCTTTATCTCTCCCACTCAGCTGGCCGTGCTGATATGGGTGTGTAAATAGTGTGAGCGCGATTGTGTGTGCCGCTAGTGATGCGCGGGAGTCGATAAGACGTCCATAGAGATGGCTGTTTAATGCTTAAAGAAATATAATTATATTTATATTTTATCCGGTACCTTTATGCCTAATTGTGATCAACACAAACAGTTTCCTCAGTCTATTCAGCTATACTGTACTCACTGTAATCTTATTGTAGTCACTCACAGTACTCACTGTAGTCTTATATTGATTAGCTGAGGAACAGGTATCTGATAGTCGAGACACTTTTATTTAAAAAACGAAAACTTAAGATGATTATTTCAAAAATTTCAGGATCCAGCAATTGTTAACCAAAGACGCATTGGAAGCGGTCGTTTTAACCATTCCAAGTGGGGCTACAACGACGACGACTACCACTTGTATCAAAATGGCAAGACGCAGCATATGGAGGAGGTAAATTCGAAGCACCAGAACAGCAAGAACATGACGGTTCTGCAGTTCTTCGACAACGGGGAGATCAGTAGTCAGCCTCAAGGACGACCGAACACACCTGTGATGGGGATGTCTACCAATCGATCGGAGAACGACACCCTGCTGTCGAACGAGTCCAGCGAAGATTTAAGTCGCGCCAACGAGAACTATGTGAAACGCGTAATGTCTGGATTCCTGGTTGTATCGAAGCCCAAGTCACGAGACGTCGAGGATAGGCATCACCGGCGGTACAGGAACCAGAACGAAGAGCCGGAATGGTTTAGCTGTGGTCCTACGTCCAGACTGGACACTATAGAGCTGTGCGGCTTTGATGAGGACGAGGAGAAAATGCTAAGGGAGCGCAACAAAAACCAAGGAGTAGGTGAAATAGAGCGGGAAGCGCCAAAACAAAAGGTTAGCATATACTAAGTCAGTCCTTGACGCAATTCATAATATATGTAAATCAAAAACTCTTTATCTCAACGCGCTTCAGGTGGACCACAAGTACAAATGGACGCATGCAGAGCCTGTGGGTCGAAGTAAATATATGCCCAAACACGACACAAACAATAATCATAACGTGGAAAACATGAACAATGTTATGGCAGTCGAGCACCAGCAACAAAAGGAGGAGAAACGCTCAGGCAGTGGACGTTCGTTTCAGTTTGATACGTTTAATCAAAGCCAACCGAATCACGAGGGTAGCAGTTATGTTAATCAGCAGACGCCACAAACGCAGCCTCAGCAAATTCATCAGCAATCGAATAATTCGAATACGAATAATTCTAAATTTATGTCGTTCTTCGCCCGAGAGGGGAACTCCTCCTCGTCTTCGCTGAACGAATTTTTCAAGCAGGCCATAAACCAGGGTCATGGCAACAATCCGGAGCAGCCCAAATCGTTGGGTCACATAGGTCAGATGACTTCGGTGGATCAGCTGGAGGCCAAATGGCGTCGAAACTCGCTGAACAATGCTGGCGAGTCTGCCAACAAGCAATCTGATAACTTCCAGAAGCTAATTGGCTCAATCTCTGCGGCTAAACCGCAGTCGCAGGTGGTAGGCTACGACGCCATCTCCAACTTCATAATGCAGCAACAGCAGTACCAGCAGCAGCAACAGAAGCAGCATGTTATCATACAGCAGCAGCAGCAACAGACTGCCTTTTTGGCGGGCCTCCAGCTGAAGGCAATCCTCGGCCGGGCCGACACCCAATTGCTACTACTCCGTCTGACTAAAGGTAGTGATGGGCAAAAATTAGTTTTATTCTTTTATTCCTTATTGAACTTCTTTCAACGCTTCTCTGGTTGTTCTGTTTCCAGGGGAAATATCCAAGCACGGATTGCTGGTGCAGTTGGCCAACCCACGCTTGACAGACATGGATCGCGAGGCCATTACGGCTGTATTGCAGTTCACAAACACCCAGCAGCAGCAACAGCAGCACAAGCAGCAGCTGGACATGCTCTCGAGCACGGTTATCGCCAGCCAGTTGCAGAATCTCCACAACTTGGCCATTGTCCAGCAGACTCTTGCAGCCAGGCAGCAGCCACAGCATAATCCCCAGTCCCAGGCGCCACATCAACTGTCGCACGAGGACTTGCAAGCGCATGCCAATGTGATAATGCGAAACGCTGTAATGAAGCGAAAAATGGAGGAGCAGACCTCGAAGCTCATTAATGGCGGTGCCAAGCATCAGGCACAGCAGCAACATCTAAACCGTGCCCAGCAACGCCAGGGCCGACCAGATGCCGCCTCGAATGCGCTGCTCCATGCCTTGATCTCTGGCGGTGGCAACAACCAAGCCTCTGGTCACCTTATGAATGGACAGCCGCTGCAGCATCAACCAAACCTGAACAATCGCCGTACTGCTGCAGATGCCAATTTGAGATTCGCTGATACCCAAAACTTCCAATCCTTTGAGTCTAACCAGCCGCAATTTGCAACCCAGTACAAGCAGCACTACCAACAGTCCCATCAGCAGCCCCCACAGCAGAATTTGCACCATCAGAACAACAGCAAGACCCAATCATCTATTGCTATGCTGCCCAACAGCGGAGGTAAGTGATTTAAGCACTTCATTTAGAATATCTATTACCGTATTTGATCTGAAATTTATATTATACAATCGTACAGTGGGGTCCCCGTAAAGTATACCTTATAAATTGCACTTTGACTGACAGCAAAGTCACCTCATATATTTCCTGCCAACTTGGTACACCTATATGGTTATAGTTCCAAAAATCGTGATAATATCCAAGGAGACCGATTAATATGTTTACAGATGTGCTGAGTTTAAATCTTTTAGGGTTATGTTATTATTAATAAGCTGCTTTATGTTCTCGCCTTCTTGGTATTTCTCTGGAGTCTGAGTCAGGCAGTGAATTCTCAGACTGATTTTCGAAAGCAGAGCAAATATGCACTTTCGCGTATTATTTGTAAACGGGTTTTTATGACTGCAAACATTGCACACTTTGTTTGCACGTCACCAATGCACTTGATCACGTCTGGGATATACAATATGTTGATTCACCTCTCCACTGGAACACCTCTATACGGATAAGCTGGCTTAAGTTTCGATTCAGAAAAATCAGTAAGATCAAAACAAATATAAAACATAAAAGGTTGGCTATTTTTTCGAATATAATATATATTTCAAGCAAAAACTTTTGAACTGATAGGTTATATAGACCATATCTCCAAGGACGTTTTTAATGCTCCTTTTCCTAGTGTTGATGTAACATTTCGTTGTTGCATAACAATCGGGCACCAGCTGCGCCTAAATTCCCAAGCTTTGCTGGATTCTTTGTTTGTTCAAGAGATCACCAGAACCAGGCTTTGCTGAGCAAACTTTAGATTTCCCAATTGAACAACATCTCAGCCCCCTGAGTCATGGGTTCTATTTGCCGCTGGCTATGTGCGCAAACGGCTACCCATCGATCTCGCCATTGGATATTGCCGGTTTTACGTTCGTGGGACATTCCCAGAGTTAGCAGATATTTGCATCTCACTTGCTTGCTGGCTTTTCCTTTCAATTGTTCGTGCATGTCTGGGGCGAGGCATAAATTTAAAAACAAACATTTAACGACAGCACCAGTGGCGTTATCAGCAAGCGGAATGTGGCGGACTATAGATGGGAGCAGGCTCGCTGGGGTAATGGTCGCAACGCATGATTACTGAAAGGGGGTCAAGAGCAACGCTTCGATTCTCGTGTGGGATAAAGCAAGATGTATTGGAAAGCTGTTCACTTGCAACACTTCACATCATCTAAGGATGGCCTGACTTCTGCGGCTGGATATAAAAGTAAGGTTTAGACTCTCATTCGTTTGTATTTTTATTGCATATTTAAAGATAAAACCGCCTGAGTGGCTTAGTTCTGGGTGGAAGGTGAGTGAACTTTTCCGGCAAACAATATGTTCCCGGTGGACTCCTCCTCAATGAAGAACACAAACGGCCGGTTCACATTGAATTCCTCGATGAGGGTGCTGCCTCCGAATTTGTTCTCGATCTCCACGACGGTGGCAGCGTAGGCTTCCGTTCCCTTCTCGTTCACATCGATTCCGGCCTTCTGCAGGATGTTGGACACCTTCACCTTGCCGGCGACATCACCGCCGCGTGTTAATCCCGGCAGTGATGCACTGTCTTCAAAGATTTCGCGCACACGCAGGCTGCGCAGCGTCTCCTTGAGGTTCTGCTGATAGTCGAAGTGGAACTTAGGCAGCGTCACCTTCACTTTCACCTCTTCCATCGCCCACTGAGCGCTCTTTAGCTCGTCGTTTTCCAGATTCTTCACCAAGTCCTGGATGCCATTCAAGGCGTAGGGCAGCAGCACGAACATGGAGTTCTTGCCCTTGTAGGGCAGACGCAGAATCTGCGCCTTCAGCTTCTCCGAAGTGGTGTAGTAGAAAAAGTCGGTCTGCTCCATGAACTCTACCCGCGAATAGTCCATGCTGTGGTAAAAGGGACCCTGGAATGTGGTGGTGAACTGCCGCCGCCACAGACCGTTGAAGTAGATAAGATTGGTCAGCAACATCACGCTGCTGCGCACGTTGTCCGGGGCCACCAGCTGCTGGAGTCTGCCCTGCGTGATGTTGGCGGCCCAGGCGTTGATGGCATCTGCCGCCGCCTCGGGATTAGTGAAGTCCAGCGCCTCCACTTCGCTGTCGTAGAAGTGTTTCAGTGTGGCCGTGAACTTCTGTTGCGTCTCAATGAAACTGTCCGTGAAGAGCTTGGTGCGCACACTGAGCGTCTCGTGGAGCTGGTTCTCCTTCTTGAACGAGTTGAGTGTCTTGCGGTAGAACTCCCTCACATTGTTCTGCGAGCGAATGTCTGTCTGCGTGTTGGCCAGCTCCACTTGCGTCTGGGTTCCGGCTCCGGCCGCCTCGGCCAGCAGGGCCAGCACCAGTTTCACGGAGAACGGCGAGATGATCACGTTCTTCTCGGCCGTCTCGTTCTGCAGCACAGTTTTGAGCAGGTGCCATGAGAACGGATCGTGCGAGTCGCTCCGGAAGGGCACGAAGGTATCTATGTCGTCGTAGATACCTGCTCCACTGGGCAGACTGGCAGCGCCACCGGGCAGCTTGTCCGTACGGGTCTCAAATACGCCCTGGGGCGTTGTGGTCGTCGGTATGGAGTTGGCGTTGCCCGTGGATAATGCACTCAAAAACAGCGACAGCAGCATCACTGCCAAATATCCGCCCATCTTTGTCATCTTTGCTTCCCTGTGCTTTTGCGTCTTGATCTTCCTCGGATCTTTGCTTTCGCCTGTTATTCGCAGCAAAACAACTGTTAAATGCGGGCTTCGGTGGGGCGAGCGGCGAGAGAGCGCCGGTGGAGCGAGCGATAACCGTTTCACGCGCCGTTCCAACTGAGAGTGACTGGCGCGCCGAGCGGGCTGTCCATTTTAAAATCCAGCTTCAAGCCGCTCTCGTCGTTCTCTGCTGCAGTGCTGCCTGCGCCGCAGTCGCCTCTGGCGTCGACGCGGCTGCGCATGTGTGTATTTTTTTTTGTTGGGACTCCCAAAGAAGACGCATACGTACGTCATACGAGTGAAGAAAAGTGCACTCAGAGAATTTGCATGGCTGCATTGAAAGAATACATATTAACTTTGAATAATAATTCCTTTATTTAAATATCCAAAAGTTTCATTTGAAAAAACTGTCTGATGTAGGAAAGCAATTTGAATTGTTCGTTGGGAAAATATCCGCCTTTCCCCATTTCAGTTCCCAAAAGGGAAGTTTGCATACATATGTTTCTTTCACGTCCGAATAAAGTACCCAATCTGGTTAACTTAGTAATAGCTATGAATATAAATTTCAATTTTAAAAAGGCTCAAGTTGTGCCGGAGATAATCTGGCAACACTGGCAACTTGCATAGAATTCAGTGTTGCTAAGAGATGGCTAAAGAAAACAGCTGATCTGAAACCATATCTCATGGTGCGTTGATGTAACAGCAGCCGGCAAGGGAAACTTGTGCATTTAATGAGAAGTAAATAAGTAGCCAGAGGATTCGCACGTGCCATGCAAATTCGTCGTCCGCGAGGTGTCACTGTTCCGCAATTGATGGTGGTCACGGCACTTGGGCTGCTAGGCGGTATTTACATTTGGCAACCATTGATTTTGAAGTACAAAAACGAGGGCAAACCCGAGGCAGAACAGCCGCCAGCAGCAACTGAAACTAGTGGACCCACAAAGTTAGACCGCATACTAAACCATAATCTGGTGGCCAAACTCACATTTTAATTGTATTCCATTCTCACCCACAGATGAGTTTCATTAACGGCCTCAAAAGTTTCGCCACAACGACCGTTGGTCTGATGGCCATCGGTGTCGGATCCACTGTTCTAATCTACACCACCCATCGCCTTGTCATCAAACCGCACCTTCTCGAGAAACGCCGCCTGGATGCCGAGGCCTGCGCGGAGTACCTCTTCCAGCAGGAGGGGCACTCCCAGATCGGCCAATCAAAACCCAAACAGAGCGGGTATTAAGCCAAGGATGCCAGTGACTTCATAGACATCTTTACATACTTGTAGCCTAGTGATTAGTTACCAAATTTCAACGCTGTAACATGGTGAACAATGGACTTTTACTTTCTTACCCTCAGTTTGAGTGGAGAAGCCCATCTTCTTATGTTCATTTTAGAGTTAAACAGAATGGAGTTTTTATGGAAGTAATTTGAATTGAATAAATAATGAAAAGCACAATTGGTTTGAATAAAAAACTAGAAACATAACATAATAAACACTTAACGAATCTCTGCACTGTTTACCGGATGCTTTTGTACAGGCTTAGGGAGCTAAACTTATCCTTGGCCTTTTGCTCCTGTCTCCTCAATATAGCCTCGCGCTTGTGGGTGGAAAAAAAGTTCCACAGCGAAAAGGTGTCGTCCAGTCCGCCGGTGGCAATGTTTGTTCCATCCGGGTTCCACATCAGGAAGATGGTGCCGTGATCCTGATGGGACAACAAGTCAACAACGCGGTTTAAGGAGGCCAGGACCACAATTTCGAACACTGCATTGTCCGAACCATCTGTAGAAAACAGACTACATTATTTTTAGCGACCTTTGGGGATCCATTAAAGTCCTCACCACGCCGAATAACGTTGACCAGCAACTCGCCAGTGATCTTGCTGTATGTTAGTGTCTTTATAACTATTCTGTGGTCCCTGCGCCTGTACGAAGCCACAAATTGACGGCGCGGCATGTTGAAGATGAAGATCGATGCTGGACTCCGCTCCGCTATTGAGGAATTATTGTTGTTGCAAATATACTGATTATTAACCTGCCACTGGCTTACCAACGGCTAAATCCTCTCCAGTCCACGGATGCCAGTCAAAGACCATGGACTTGCCGCCCAGCTTCAGTAGACGAACCTTTAGCTCGGCATCGAAGATGACAATTTTGCCATTCGTATCGCTGGACGCGAAATACTTATTGGTGGGAGAGAACTTCATTTTCTGCACGGTGTGTCGATGCTCGCGCAACTGCATCACCGTCTTAAGTTTGGGCATCGAAAGCACGCAGATCAGGCCGCACTGAGTGCCGCAGATCAGCTCCTTGCCGTCGTGGGACCACTCAATGCAACTTATGTAGCCTATATACTTAAGGAACAGCTTGCGATAGGAGACCAAGAACTCCGTAGGCGACCTCACCTCCCAGAGGTCCAGCACTTGTACGAAAGAGGAGGATTAGGGCGCTTAGGTAAAGGCTGTTTACGGACTACTATACCTGGGTAGTTTCTATCCATGCAGCCGATGGCCAGCTGTTTGCCGTCCGGCGAGAACTTTATGGACGTGGGCGATTCGACATTGAAGACCATGGTGCTCTCGTCCAGATTGCGCCACAGCATGATGTCCTGGCCGTAGGACATGGCCACCATGCCGCCGGATGACCAATCCATCATATTGTAGTCGACGGGACTGCAGATCCCAGCCATCTCATGAGTGGCAATCTGAATGGCGTATGGTCGCGCCCGTGGATTACATGGCCAGTCCGAGTCGGCGGAGTCGCTATCCACCACCCCGGATCGTGTTCTTTGCTGGCTGCTAAACTGTAATAGTCGGCGCTCCCGGATCCCAAAGGTGCGGTTGATGTTCGATATGAAGCCGCTCTGTCGCCAGTAGCTGGCGGTCAAGTTCAGACCCTGTTTGTAAAAGCCCCTATCAATTAGGAAACGGAAAATATACAGCCAGAAGTCGTGCGCTCACCGTTTCGAGGATATCTCGCTCCTTCAGCTTGCCAATGTAATTCAGGTTGAACTCGATGTTCTCCCGCTCAAATCGGTTGGGTATGAACCTTTCGCCGACACAGGACACCTCCTGCCCCTTGCTTATTTCACTCTGTGCGGTAAGGAAACTGGACTTAGGTGGTCAAAGTGCTTGGGGCCTGTCATCTCACCTTGTAGGCCGCCTCCTGCTTCCAATTTTCGCGTCGCACCTTTTTGAAGGGCGGCAGAGACTTCTTGTCTAGCTTGGAATTTTTATTGGGACTGTCACACACACTCATCTCGACGAACATTAAAACCTTTCTGTTTGGCTGGCGCCATATTAAATTGTCATCGGATGAGGAAGAGGAATCAAAAGAATCATTACAGTTACAAGTACAGTGAACACTGCATAAGGCCAATTTTACTAAACTGTACTGGGCATTCTCTAATGTCGGTTATTTGAAGTGTGGATTTTATACTTCTCGATGCATTAAATACATAGTGATGTTTCAAAATTTTAATTAAGATGTTTTAAATAGTTTATTTTTAAGCTCAACTTCATTTAGTTAATACCGCTAACTCGGCTTGTTCTAATTTCAAAACTTTAGTACAGGTACGGATATGCTGACTAACCGGTGGAGCGTCTTATAGGAGTTGTCCACAGGTTGCCGCACGAGGGGCAAAGATCGCGCCTCTGTAGGTAGGTTTTGATGCACTCGCGGTGGTACTGGATGTTGCAGGACGCGCAGCGGATGTCCCACAACACCAGGCATTTGCACAGCGTGCAGTTCTTGATGGTTTCCCCGTGATTGGAGCCCAAGTAGAAACTGAGCTCGACGAGGCTGCGTGGACCCAGGTAGATTCTCTCGTCCACCTCCATGAAGTAGCCCATTTGGGTCCACTTCTGGAGCAGCTCCTGCATGCGGCTCTTCTTCAACGGCTTCCAGGTGGCCTGTAGAATGACATCGTTGTAGGCAGCATTCCACGCGATGTGACATTCCTCCTCGGAGGCAATTTTGTCCAGCAGTTTGGAGAAGTACTGGCACTCCTCAGCAGTCAGACCCGTGTTGGCGACGCTATCTGGCGTGGCGTCCGTCTTGGCGTACACCAGGTACTCCTCGGCCATGATCGGATACTTGATGAAGACCAGCGACTGGCCCAAGTCACTAATGGTGTCGTTAATCTCCGCCACCAGTGCCCTTATCGCCTCCTTGCTGGCGGGCTTTGGAGTCTTGTGGTTGGCACACAGCGGCGCCAGAATATCGTCGATCAGCTGATAGCTGAGGCAGCTGTGGTTCTTGCAGGCGCGCAGGAAGCCGCGTTTCACCGACTCCATTCCCAGTATAATGCAGCTAATCAGTGATTGAATACGTTTTAAAACAATGTAAATGTACACAATTCGATTGTGAAGCGCGCCGTCGCAGTGTGCCCAGCTTGGCGGAGACATAAAATAATACACGGAGTGAGCTTTGGTCACATTGAGGCGGTAATTGGCGGTAATTTTAAAAATTAACCAGTTTGGATTTATATTTAAAAAGTACTCAAGTTGTTGTATCTTATCGAGCTACACATTTATTATAGTTTCTGTGCCTAAAAAAAAAATTGGACCGCCCAGAATTATCCGACTAAAGACTTATAACTTTTGTTTCTATAAAAAGCCATTTGAATTATGCATTTTTTAATTTATTATTGTTTTGACTTAAAAATTAACAGCACAACAATTAATATTTTTAGAGAGCTTCGCTTTGTTTTAAATACAGCGTATATAGTAAGAAACGGGGTCATAGGTAATATCGGAAAATGTAATATATCAGCATATTGATCTGATTTTAAACTTAAAAATAAAACCGAATATAATTAATCCGTTTTCAAACCGATATATTTACACTAACTTGCTTAGAACGAAAAAGCTATAAGTTTAGGTTTGTAAAATACATCAAAAATTAAATATTATTATGTTTGGCTGGCGCCTTATAACTTTTTTCCGTAAAATCCTAAGAGCCGGATTCTCGTCGACACCGGACTTTGGACATGCTCCAGAATCTCCATCTGAATATAATGTGGTTTGTGGTTTCAGGCGATTACAATATACATGTTAGCACATTTTTCGATGTCGAATAAATAAGAGAAGGGAAATATGTGTATAAGTATTCGTATAATCTTTTGCCAGGCCATTCAATTTTGCTTGTGTGTATATATTTATATATTTAGGAAAAACTTAGTATATTGCAGACGCAAGGTAAAAAAAAATATAGTCAAAGAGGCTATTTTTGCATGTAATTTATCGCGTTATAAGTTGTGGTATTGGTGTACGTCAGCTCGATGATAGCAAGCCTTTTTATAGCTTCTGTGCCCTTACTGATAAATAACTGCACAACAACTTGTAAATTATTCGATAAGCTTGATATTTAATTTATGTTTATTACTAGATTACTAGAGTTCCGAATCACATTTCACAAACAAGGAGAAACTGAAAAGTAATATTCTAATTTGTACAGTTTTCACATTTTCGATTTCAGATGAGACCAATTCAATAAATAACAAAAGAGAACTAAACACTAATTGAACTTATATATAAGCATTTCGATGATCGCCTCCAACCTAAAAGCAAACAAAATCATTAACAAAAATGAAAACACTGGGACTTATAAATTAAAGTGAAGTAATGGTTATTTTTGACTTGAGTTGCGCTTTTATGTACAATAGGCGTTAAGAAAATGAGGAAATCAACGGCAATTTAACTTGTACTTACATGGTTAGTCGCGTGTTAGAATCTAAGAAATTAGATCATGAGGAAAAATACAGAAATTAAAAGTGAACAATATAAACGAACATTCCTGACTGCTGTGCTCAAAGAAGCTTTGGTAAATTTGATATCAAGTTCACTGATTGGGGGCTAAGTTAATCATGTCTGGGTCTCCGTCTGTGCTTCGTTACAACAATGGGTTGGGTTTACCAAGGAAAAGTAGACAGAATATAACACAAAAATTATATTTCAATAACTAATAAATTAAGTAAAAAGATAGATGGCCCGATCTTTCGATTACATGAAATTATTAGTAACCAGGCTAATTTCACTTGCTAGGTGATGGGCTTCGTTCAGTTGAACAGACTTTTGTGTGGGCATTACCAATGTTTAGCATTAGAACATGACCGGTTGACATGGATTATTGTTTTTAGGTGAATGTAGTTTGTAGTTAGTTGTTGGAGTTGTTGTTATTGTAGTTAGAGCAACCAAAGTTAAATTGTTAGAGTCCGCATGAGTTTGTTAGATGATTGATTGATCGATTGGTCGAAGGAAAGACAGAAAGAAAGAAAGATGCCGCATAAATCAATAAATAAATTAGATCATCGCCGAGAGAGTTGTTACATTTTGGTTACATAAGTATATTTGGTAAGCATGCATTTAGTAGTAGTTAACAGTCAAATAATATTACATAGGTGTTAGATATACTGGAAATCGTTTGCCGTCGCACAAACTTAAACAATTAGTCAACCATATTGAAAGGTGTAAAATAATCGATATTCTTCCGCTTACACCACAAATTTAACATTAAAATTATACAAAAGCAAAATATCGCTAAACAAAAATCACATTTTCACGGCCAATTCATGTAACAATATGTCTACTTTGCCAAAGTCTCTATGGTGTAGATTCTTTCGGATTTTGGTTTATCTGAGGTTTTTCGTTTCGTTTGTTAGTGGCCAGCTTGCTACTCTTAGATTAGTCTTTGGTGTCTGGGGTGCTTCGCTCATTCGGTTATTCAATATTTCGGTAGCTAGCAAGTAGATGGTGATTATCGGCGGTGTACTTGATACTTACGCGACTCAAGGAGTTCCGCCGCCCCACGCCCACGCCCACGGTGCCCGTGCCCGGTCCCGCTCCGGTTGCATCCTGGCTAAGACCGTTCCCGGTATCATTGTCTATGCAAATGTCCGAGTCCGAGTCCACGCGCCTGAACTCGCTGCCATCCTGTAAGTAATCCCAGTCGATCAGGATTCTGTCGTCTGCTAACTAGAGTGCTCAACTCACCTGCGTTAGCTGCTGCGTGGTGGTAAGCAGCCTGGCAATGGGGTTGCAGCAAACAGGCAGCGTCTCCAGCAAAGTGGGTCGCGAGTGCGTCAGCAAGGGCTTCATGTACCTTGAAATAGAGAGCAGAATCGTTAAGTGGAATTCGAATAACGATTGCTTGTTGGTACTAACTTGGTATCAAAGTTTCCCCAGATCCTAGCCAGAATGGCCTTCTCGTGACTGTTGCGACGACGACCGCCGCTTGCTCCGCCCAAGCTGCCGTTCGGACCGTCCACTGGTGTGTCCAAATTTGAATCTGTTCCACCGGACAAGCGCATCTTCCCGCGATTTACCCCACCGCCCTCCACATCCTGCAAATAACCATCAGACTAACACAGAACTCTATTAAATGATAGCTCTACTTTTGACAGGGGTCAAAAAATAAAATTAATGAAGGATAATAGAGAGCCTGAAAAAGACTCGAGTAAAAATTATAAAATCATTTAAAACCGTAGAAATGTATTGAATGATCATTGGCAAAACCTACCGTCTGCGGATGTGAATTGTCCATTGAATTGTAAACCTTTTTTAGCAAATGGTTTAATGGTTTATTAAAGTGCGCAGAAATGTATAAGTAAACAAAATCGTGAGTTAAAAATTATTCTTTTAAAAGAATGGAAAGGAGAAATTTGATATTGAGCAATGTGTTTGCAGCCACCATGCTTGTAAGAATTTACTCCACACCCAACAAACTACTAATCTTCCCGCAATATTCGGTCTACAGCACGTATGTACGCTAAATTTATATACTCACACTGTGTACTTGATAGTTATTTAGTTGTTCAGTCTCATCGTCCACGCCAACGCTGCATCGAGAAAATTTTGTGACAATAAAGGGGAAGCATTTAAATGTATGCCATGCACTCACGGTATTTTCAACCAATTCAGCAGGAAATTAGCAGCCCCACCCTGAATTACAACCGTAAAGATGACAATCAGCGATGTGGCAGTCAGCATAGTCTGTCGTTCATCCGACACTGTATTTCGGATGGCCAAGGCAAAGGACATGGCGCCACGAAGTCCTGTAATACATATATTCGTAACGAAAAATGTTTGCACATTATATATAAAGACATGCCAGCAAAGAACAGCATATGCTGAAAGTTTGATGAAATTTTCGGCTTTCGCTTAATGTTCAGCAGCCACGACAAGGGATACACATTCACGGCCCTTCCTATGGCAGCGCAAATCTGTGAAAAGAAACTAGTTGTTCAGGAATGCCTTTTAAAGTGTTTCGAAATTAAATAAACTTACAAAAGCTGTTATAATGAACCCAGCGTCAAAATGATGCTTGGGAAAGGTGAACATCGATACGCCAATATAGGAAAAGATAAAGTTCTCTGCCAGAAAGTTTAGGAGCTCGAAGATCTGTTTTGTCCTTTGGCGGGAATCCTCAGACAGGTTGTTGTAGGTGTAGTGTGCCTGGCAGATGCCGCAGAAGAGCACGGCCACTACTCCAGTAAGTTCCGTTGCCTCAGCCAGCAGGAAGGTGCTGTAGCTCATGAGCACGAAGAGCGCGGACTCTAGTAAAGGAAAATCTCGAACCCGAGTAAATTTGGTCATGTGTGGTGGAAGTTAAGGAAGTCCTTAGCATAGTTTGTCATGTTAAGGGGGGAAGGATATACATCGTGGACGCCACTTTGAGGTATGCAAATTACCTCAAATTGGGAAGTTACATGTATACCCCTAGAAAATACTTAATCGTTAATCTTTAAAAAGGATATCAATGCTGTCAAGCATCCCATGGCCGCGCCAATCATCAGGGATAGTAAGAAGATGGAGAAGAAGTCGCTCAACGAGCGTAGAAAAGCTGTAGTTTCGAATTCCCCGGTACTGGAATAGTGTTCACCATAATTTTGAATCGCACTGCAAAAGAAATGATGTCTTACTAACCCAAAGCTGCCAACTAACCCACTGCCAACTTACCCACTGAGGACTATGGCCACGGCATCGTTGAGCACAGATTCGCCCAAGACTAGCGCATATAGGTTAACGTCGACCCGAAGATCGTTAAATATGGCTAGAATGGTGAGCGGATCTGTGGGCGATATCAGAGCTCCAAAGTATAAGCTGTCCAGGAATGTGAAACTGCTACTCAAGTACTTTGGCATCAGTTTCACACAGCCGTACATAAAGCCTCCGATGAGAAAGGCCGACAATGTGGTGCCCACAATGGCAAACGTAAGTATGGCACCCAGGTTGCGAAAGAAGTATTTCTGCAAAAACAAAATATGAACTCAGCAAGTTGTGTTCAATACAATATGCAGCTCAGTAAGCTCACCTTCTTCAAGCTATAGCCCGCATAAAATATAATTGGGGGCAGGATAATATTGAAAAAGACCTCCGGATCGAACGTTGCCTTAAGATCGATTTCGTTCTCATCCACATCATGAACCTGTCCGCGAAATACGTAGGCATATGTGTGCACTAACTCGGGCTGCTTTGTGCCATTTGTTTGGTTGACGGGGTACTAAAATAAAAAAAAAAAATTTATATTTATACATACTATTTGTGGTCAGTATTGACTTACCCTAAACCAAAGAGTATCAGGCGGCAATTTATCGCTGTACGTTGGAACTCCTTGAGGCTCCACCTGCATGTGAACCAGTGTGGCGGAGGTGCCGGCATACCGTATAATTGCTCCCACAATCAAGCCTGAAATTGGGTAAACAGATTAACTCACGCCTCAGCAGCATTTGGGATCGAAATAAGTTGGAACGTAATGTCATTTTTCTAGTATGAATGTTTTCTGGACTGACCTATCGCAAATCGAGAGTGTGACTAATAGCAGCGAAGAAATATGCTTATCAATTAAGCAAGCACTCAACAAGTGCTTCATTTTCCCGCCTGTTGTGACAAACACATTTTTGAGGATGATCAGTCGAGCTGCGCATAACAAAAAGCTTTCTCTGGCCCGGCTGAGGTATGCTAAATAATTTTCTCCGGTTTACGCCAGAACTGGGCTTTGAAAACGCCCAGGTCAACCTGTTTTATTGAATTGTTTCATTAGCTTCAATTAGTCGAAAGTTATTTTGTTTGCTCTTTTATTGCTGCACATACATATGTATATGAAATTGTTAGAATAACAAAGCTTGGCGCGATCATCAACGAGCAGTGAAAATAGCTTTGGTCGGAAAACCCCAATGATAATGGCTGACTAAGCACGTCAAGGTCTCGTGTAAAATATCTTTGCCGGAATGCATTAGCTCTGCTGCCGTTTAGTGCAGGTTCTTCTACGGTTAATGATGTTACTTCTGCCCGGGGTGGCGTACTTACATACTTACTGCCACCCATATGCTCGCACGTAATGTCACGGCTGGCGTGTACAAAGGCGTAATTCGAAATTGGTGACAACAAAGAGGTGGCAATGAAAGTGGCAGGGGCTACAATCGGGCAGGTGACCGATAATCAAGCGATTCGAGCTCAGGGAAACATCACCAAATGGTGAATTTACAAAAGGGAAAGCTCCCTGTTATACCAACGTACCGTAGATGACGGCCAATCCGGTCTCGTGAAGCCAGGAGACGCGATGATGCTTGAACAGCCAAATAGTGAGCACTGTGAGCGCCAGCAGGAACACGAAGACGAGCAGGTCCAGGCTCTGGATCCGGTGGTTGAGCGTGGCCTTCGCGTCCAGCGCAATGTCCGTGTCCGTGGCGCTGCATCCAGGTGCGAGGTCGCACAAGGCCACTCCGACTAGGAGAAGCATGCTGCTCCGCCAGCGCTCTAGCCTCCAGAATGTGTGCGTCCTTGGGCGACTCCCAGCGTCCCTATGCATCCAGTGGGGCGATGTCATCTCTACCTCTGGGTCCACATCGCCGTGGGACATACTTTCTGCTGTTTCTTCCTGCGCTCGCAGCCGAAATCGATTTTCGCGTAATGTTTAACGGGTTGGGGGGGTGGTGGTGGTGGAGGTGGAGGTGCTTGAAGCGCGGAGCAGGACGACCACGCTCAGGCGGCGCCAGGGGAGTGTGTGGACCTCCTTTAGCTTGTATATTGGATGCACCGCACAGCCGTTACATAAAATAAAAGGATCCAAAAAGAGCTTTACAAATTTCTCAGCAGCGCACTCCGCTAAAAAAAAAACAGTTTGTTCATATGGAAACAACCGTATGCGACTGCGGTGTGACCGCACGAGAGCAGAGGATAAATACTGCATTTGAACAGGAGCGGTTCTGTGAGGAGCCTTATTGCCTAAATATTTTGGTATATAATCTTACATATTGATACATAAGTACATTTCCATTGAATATTTTCTCAGGGGTCGGCTACCCTTGCACACTATCTGTATAGTGCAATCGAAGTGCTCGACCGAGACTCGAATAGCTGCTCCAGGAAAACTAGGGCGTGCTTAAAGTCGCAGTTGCAAGGATCCCCCTCATTGCTCAATACTAACTACTCCGTGACGCCTATGCTCCGGATGCCCCTTGGCGAACGAAGGACGTGGTGGTCGCCTACAAGAAAACTGCCAGCACCGGCATTTAAATCTCGCAACCAAAGCACCTTTTTTAAACGGAACCCATTGTTACAACTACAGATTTTGTTGAACAATTTAAATGGCACAAATAATTTGGGAAATATCATTGGACTGAGCTTTCTGCAATTGAAATTGTAGGTTCTACATTTTGAAATTACGTTACTCAGTCAATAACCGGTTATCGATAACCGTTGCCAGTCTGACCTGCTAAACACGCCACCTAGCGCTTGTTTCCAAAAGAAGGTTAATTAATTGGCGCTTTAATTCAAATATACATACAAATCATACAAATTACAAACAGTGTAGGGTTCTTATTGAGCATATTTATTTGGAAAATAGATATTTTAGGCAGCCTTACGCGTCGGGCGATTTTGAAGTACTTTGTAGGATATGTGCATATATATGGCTCCGCACGTACATATGTACATATGTATGTAATCCAATTTGCATTTTCAGAAAAGTTAACCTCTACTCCTTGCGCGATATGTAGATCAAACTAAAAGCCAAGCTGCAGAATAATATGGGATAGCTAAACTTAAGAATTCTGTGGCTGATCAGACGCCGCAAGAAAGTTAAGGGCTTGCCACTTTGCTTTAGGTCCGGATCCATTTCCTCCTCGATCTCGGTGCCCACCTCCACCTCCGCCTCCGCCTCCATCTCCTTTTTTTCCGATTGCTCACTTTCTGTTTCTGTAAAGTCTGGCGCTGTTTCAGCTTCTTCTGTTATGGTCTGCATAAGTTGACGCAATAGCTCCACGTTGCGCTCAGGATCAAAAAGTTCTTCCAAAGTAACCATCCCATGATCGCTTTCGACTGACCCACTCCTCAAGGGAATGGCGACCACTTCCGGCTCCGTATCAATGCACCCAATCTCATCCGCCGGTTGATGAAAGATGGGGTCCGATGTTTCAATACCTTTCTCGAATTGTTCACGGATAAGCCTGTCCTGTTCGGACTCGCAACTTCCACCTAAGACCATTTCGAGTTCCCCCATTATCGATTCGGGTACAGATTTCTCGGACTCCCCGCCTTTAGCATCCTGCGGAATCTCTTTGACCATCTCTGTGTATTCTTCCACTGGCTTATCGGCCAACTGTTCAAAAAGTTCGAATTCCTTAATAGATTCTATTTCCACGGCAGTTTCCTTTATTTCTGAAAATTCCTCTTTCTGCGCAATTTCTTCGTGCACCATCTGTACATTTTCTGCCGGGAGCTCTTCAGTTTCACTTGGAAGAGTTTCCTGGAGTGTTTCGTTTTTTGCGGGCTGTTCCATATCTAGAACTAACCTTTCGGCACCATTCCCAACATCGGTGGCTTCACTGTGGAGCTGCATATCCTGTTCGTCATCACTGGGCTGTAGATTTTGCATATCCGAGTTATGAAGGGCCACATCGGCCTCCATTTCGGCGACGACACGTTGAAGTTCTCTGAGGGTCTGCTCCTCTGCCATTAGGAGCTTCATCTCGCTGCTGGTGGCCGGAATATTGTCGAGCATTGTCTGCAGCATTGGACTTGGTCTGGCCGACAGCGATGTCTCCAACTCGGCCATCGGGCACTCCAAATTGATGCCGGAATCGTCGGTCATCTGCTGGTTTTCCAAAGAGGAGCGGCTCTTGTGCTGGACCACCACTGAATTGTAGATTCGGTTGCTGCTACTGGGACCCATGAAAACTGGAGCCGGAATCCTAGTGGTCCTGGACACCGAGCTGCGAGATGGCCGCAGCTCACCCTCCGACGAGGAGTGGACATCCGCATCACTGTCGACATGCATTGGTCGACTTTCTTCGGAATTTTTCACATTATTGTCGTTTTTATTGTTCTCCGTCCTCTTCAACTCCTCCTCGGATGCAGTTGCTTGCACGTCGCAGCTGGACATCGTTGCTATTTGGACGCTTAGATGACTAGGACCAGGTCAGCACAATTTGGTACACTGTTGTGCTCCAACTTACCCTTCACAAATTTAAGCAAGACTGACTGAATTTAACCCGGTTAACTAGGTCGACTTCCGTGTAAAATTCGATGAGTGTTTTCAGTACGGTTTTTCCTTATTTCGGTGATCGAAACGTTCCCTAGCGTAAGTGTGTTCGCCTAACTGTGTCAATTCAACAAACTGGACTGACAAAACTGGACCCCTGGTTCCACCTGGGCCAGGGCCAACTTGATTCGGCTGATTTTCGGGTTGGAAAACGCGACTCCAATGGCCAACTGGGTTGGCAACTCATTTATTAACTAAGTGGTAGCATTAATACGTAATTTGGTTAAAATTGATGGCAGAAAAGGCTTTATGGCTCTGAGGATTGGGGTTCCCTTCAGTCCTGCAACTCCACCTTCGTCTTGAGATAGTCGGACAGATCATTGTAGATCAGGGGCTCAACACGATCTGTATTGAAAAATATATGTAGAAAATGGTTTAGTTGAGTTGAGGAGCCCTTGTTCCGATTCTCTTACTATTGCACTTGTACTGCAGGTTGGACCATATAATCATCCTCTGCGAGAAGCAGAACACGCCCAGCCGACCGCCCTTCAGTGTGGAGTCGAACACATTGCCCGAGTCGAAGATCAGGTGGTTGCCCTCGTGCATTCTGTGGGGAAAGGGAGATTGAGACATGGGAACCCAGCCATGGAACCTGCTATCACTCACTGCAAGCGGATGAGGCCGATGGCCGGTCGATGCACCAGGGACCAGCGGTAGGAGGTCCTTTCCTTCCAGGCAATGTTCTTCGGATCCTTCCACAGCAGCCTGGCCTCTCCGTCGGTGTTTCCCTCGTGCCACAGGCTGTTCCTCATCATTGGCCCCGGACCCTCGGTGCTGTTGACCAGCTTAATCTGGATGCCCGGTGCCGCGGAGGCGGTGAATGGTCGTGGCTCCCAGTAGGTTTGGGTGCCCTTCTTCCACTGAACCACGTAGTACTTGTAGCTGCTCTGGTAGCTGAACACAAAGCCGGCGTAGTCGTCGTCCGTGTCATCGTTGATGTAGAAGGTACCGTCGAAGTCAACGCCTCCGAAGGCGTCCTTGCCCACCGCAAGACCAGGATCCGAATTGAGGGTCTGGACTATCTCGGTGCCATTTGCATGCACCACCCAGTTGGGATCCGCTTGGGATAGGCCTTTGGGATCCAGTGGAATGGTTTGAAGAGTGCGAAAGTCCGTGTGATGAATCATCGAGTTGTTGGGGCAGTTGTCCATGGCATTTGGCACCCCATCTACGTCTTCGTCATCCTCGCAAGAGTCACCCTTGCCATTGCGATTGAAGTCCTCCTGCTTCGGGTTCTTGGCCAGCGGACAGTTGTCCTTGTAGTTTGGTATGCCGTCTCCGTCCATGTCATCATCGCACTCGTCGCCTGTTCCATCACCGTCAGTATCAAGCTGGTCCGAGTTGCTGACCATTGGGCAGTTGTCCAGCGAGTTTGGCACTCCATCGTCATCCCCGTCGATGTCTCTGTGACAGGCATCGCCCACAAAGTCCATGTCGCGATCCTTCTGGTCGGGATTGGGGAGATTCGGACAGTTGTCGCAGCCATCGCCCACACCATCGTTGTCCACGTCCGACTGACTAGGATTCGGCAGCAGCGGGCAGTTGTCCAACTCATTCGGTATGGTGTCGTTGTCGATATCGCCATCGCACTCGTCCCCCAGTCCATCCTCGTCCGTATCCAGCTGCCTGGGATTGTACTTGAGCACGCAGTTGTCACACACATCGCCCACTTTGTCCCCATCCGAGTCCAGCTGCTCGGTGTTGTAGGCGAGCCAGCAGTTGTCCTGGCTGTTCTGGACATTGTCGCCGTCGGCGTCGTCGTCGCACCCATCACCATATCCATCCAGATCGGCGTCTTCCTGGCCGGAATTGGGCAACTTTGGACAGTTGTCCCGCTGGCAGTGCAGCTCTGGACAACCGATTGCCTGATCCGGCCATCCATCCACGTCGGTGTCCCTACCGCAGATCAATCCGTTGCCCGCCCATCCCACATTGCAGTGGCACTTGTGGCGCCGGTTATCCATTCGCAGGCACACAGCGTTGCGGTCACAAACGGTTCCATCTGTGCACACGGACACCGAGGATCTGTCTAGGCAGCTGTAGGTGCCGTTCGTTACATATCCTTCGTGGCACTGGCATCTGTAGGAACCCTGAGGCAGATTTGTATTATCTTTTAACCATTTTAACCATTAGATGTGCATCATACTCACAATCTCGTTTATGCAAGTGGAATGCTCCGGGCAGCGGAAGAACCCAGTTCGGCACTCATCGACGTCCAGGCACGTTTGCCTGCGATAATCCACGGAGTAGTAGTCGGCGAAGTAGCCATGGGCGTGGATGCCATCGAAGCCAACGGGGCACGGACTGCACTGGAAGCCAGGACTAAGATTGGTGCAGGTCGTAAGCTCGTCGCAAGGATCGTAGAGCTGGCACTCATTCATATCCCGGCAGCTGGTTCCGTTTACTTCGTGGCCCATTGGACACGAGATGCAATGAAAGTAGGGCGGGTAACCAACCTGGAGGCACTGGGCGCCTTCGTTGAGTTTAAGAGTAATCGCAAAAATAACGTAAGATGTTTGGATTGCATTAAAACGAATGGAATCAGATGAGTTATTCACGAAGCTGCCAAATATTCATTCAAATATGTATGAGTACCTTTTTGAGCCATTTCGATCAAAGAAAACTCTTCCCCAGCTTCTGTTTTCCAGGACAATTCTACTTCTTCAACAAGAAGAAAATCTAGGTTGATCCCCAAGGGATCAATATAACTTTCTTTTAAATAAGTTATATTTCTTTACCATAATCTATAAGATATTACGAGTGCGACTGTCACTCACCGTTGATCTCTGAATACATGACCAGAAAATGATAGCGTATAAACATGATGCGATAGAAAGGCATGTGGGATTGGGGAGATGATTTCGATGGGCAAATAAAAAAATGTGCAGCCAATGATGGAGTTTATTTATTAAATACCAAAGATTACAGCGTACATTTTGTATTAATAATATTCATAGTTTATTACAATAATTGGGAGATTTCAGGCGGGGCAAGCAAATTTTGTTACACGTTTATAGACTCCACTTTCTGGGCATTTGATTGGGACGTACATAAATAGTCTTTCTACAATAACTTTTCAAGGATATTATCTCATGTTTTCCGTTGGAGCTGCGTCTGCTGTCAAATGAATTGCTAATACTATGAACTCCGCTGTTCGCCAATCGTAGAGCTTACAACTTATGACTATTTTATAAAGTAGTAATTCTACGCTCTGTACTTGTAATTTAGTTGTGTATCATAGCTCAGCCGAAACGTTGCGATAGTCCCTTCCTCCGCGGATTAGTTCGTTACGACCGAGTATTTTCGGGCGGTGTACTGGCTCTGCCTCTGATAGTGTTGCACATTATGCGAGGGCACTAGAATGTTGCCTGATACAAATGAGAATTGTCGATTAGTAAGTAGGAAGGTAATGTGCGATGTGTCCCATTCACTCGGCCAATTAAGTCCACCTACTGGAATCGGGTCGAGCACTTTGTACTTTTGCCGCAAATCAATTAGACAACTTGGCATATAAGGCCCCAACATTCCAGCACGCTCAAGCCCGTCTTTGGATCGTAGTATACGAGTACCTCTGAGCTTTGATTAACCCTCTTGTTTCACACATTCGCGAGAAGCCCCAAATTACCCCAGGTACTATATAATTTTCGAGGGTTTTTTATTCAATCAGAAGGGTCGGCAGTCCTCAGAGGCCGAATTAAACCGAAGTGGGCATTAATAAATCAAATAATCGTGTGAATTGAGTGCGCTACGATCAAATGGGTAGGGCACATGAGTTCCTTAGAGACCGGTTGTATTCATCTAAGAAACTCAATAGTTAACTGTTTAAATATAGATGCACTGAATGCAGGCTTATTTTTTTTAAGAAAATATCACAAATTAAGAACAAAACACTTCAAATAAATTAAAATGTTATATTTTCTGTGTAAAAACGTGTAATTTTTCAGTCGTCATTTACTGTTGTTGAGCCCCAAAAAGTTCAATTTAAATGTTATTGTTTACTAGACCCTAAAATTGATACCAAACAGCTTAAGAACTCAAGCATAACCCCTTTCAGTTTTGTTAAGAACCTCAATAAGTGTTCTGGGTCCCCATGTTTACCCATCAACCCACTCGCAACTGAGCTGATGGCACGACAAACGCAAATTAGCCATAAAACCAACAAAATCCCCAAAAAGACAAAACTCCATTTAGGAGCTAGCACCGGGTGTGGGGCAGCCCATTCCAATCGAGTGGCTGCGACTTACCTGAGGGGCACGGTGTGTCCAGGCAAGGATTACGTAGCGAACATGTGCGTCCATCACCTTCGTAGCCGGCTGGACAGGAGTCACACTGGGCTCCATTCACGGTATCGTGACACTGAACGCCTCTGCAAAGGGAGACACAGATTGTTGTTGTTAATGCGATCGAGCAGGAGGATGAAATGGAATGGTATGGAATGGGTTCAGTGTGGTGTGTGTGCTATTCGGGGCACATTGTTTATTATTATTAATACCGACAGGCAGGAACAAACAGCAACAAAAGACTGTTAATGTTGGACACAGTCGAGCATACAAAGGCATATTTATTAATGATGTTTGGGTTTGGTGGGGGAAACGGCTGCACAAAAGCCACTGAGCTGGGAAAAGTAAGAGAAAAGGTTGCCCCGCCGAGGATGCGAGGGTCACAAAAGCACCGACAAAGCGCACTTCGACAAGCGGCAAGACATGTGCCAGGGGTGCCTGTGCTCCTCCGCCTCCTCAGGTGGATTTTCGGATGGTTCACCCGCAGGAAGGCAACGGATCCCGAAAAGAAAACAAATTACAATTACAAGAAAATCTTATTAAAGGCCAGCAATGCGAAACACAAATAAGTTAAGGATGGGGGCATCGAGTGTGTGTAGGCTGCGACGCGGATGGCCGATGTCCAATGCCCAATGGCCCATGGCCAAAACACAAAACAGGCAACTGCATTGCATGCATGTAGATTTCACCGACCGTTTTCCTTATTTATGCTCGAGTGTGGGATTGCTTATGGCTCTGCAAAATATTTACATATCATGACATGGTCATTAGTTCGCCCCGGGTTGGGGGTTACAGTTATTGGCCCATCGGCC